TCATAACATTAGAATAAATTTAATTAAATAATTAAAAACATAATAAATACTATTTTTGATTGTTTATGATTATTTTATCTATAAACATTTTTATTCATTTGATTTTAGAGTCTCGATATTTCCTAACAAAATTATGGTTTCTAAATTAGCGAGTAGGTATTACATATTTACCCAAATTGATTATACAACTGTTTCTATACAAACGTATTTTTGTTTTTCTTTCGTGTGAACTTTGCTCATTTTAGAAAATGCTGAAGCCGAGACGAAGGCTCACGGCCTTCGTCTCGGCTTCAGCATTTTCTACGCACGCACGCACGTCACGTAATAAGAGAGCCAACTAAAAGCAAACATGAATACTATAACACTGGCTTATATTAAAAAGAAAAAATATGACTTTTTACCGAATTCAAAAAGGAGGTTCTGAATTAGTTTGTATTTTTTTAATTATTTCTTTTTAATCTACAACTCTTGTATTTCGCTTAAACATATATCAAACAAGTAAGTTGTTTGATATACATAGGATTGTAATTATTAAATTTGACTTTAGTTGTATGGTATGGTTAAGGAGAACATTTATTTTTAGGGTTCCGTACCTCATAGGAAAATACCTTATAGGATCACCTTGTTGTCCGTCCGTCTGCCTGTCAAGACCCTTTTTTGACAATGAAAAATTTCAGTTTTTTCGAAACGTTTAGTTATATATTTATTTTTGCTTTAAAAAAACGGGACAATTTAGCGTCCCGGCATTCATGTCGGGGACATCGGGAAAGGTAACTATAAAAAAGGACAGTCCCGTTCAAAATGGGACGTCTGGTCACGTGAGGTATGGTTTAAATAGAACGCCCGCTAGTTTAATACTTTATCATTTGTAGTTGTTTTAACAGTGGTTGAGCCCGCTTTAACATCTTCGCACGAATTGTCCCGGCTCGCCCGTTGAAATACCACGACCACACAGAAGACAGGCGTCAAGTGGAAGCAATTCCAAGTACAGTTCGATGAGTGTGCGTCCCGGTGGCCTAATTTACTCCTCTTTCCCTTCCCACCCTTTTTCTTATAAGGAAAGGATGGGAAGTGGAAGTGGACTTTCCGGATGAGAGGATGCATGGAAAGGGAAAATATTTTCTTTCTGTGCATCCTCTCCTCCGTCGATTAAAGGTAGGCAACGCATATACAATTGTGTATGCTCGTTTGCCACCATTTGATAAAATAAAAAAAGGACAGTCCCGTTCAAAATGGGACGTCTGGTCACGTGAGGTATGGTTTAAATAGAACGCCCGCTAGTTTGATACTTGATCATTGTAGTTTTTTCAAAATAATACATAGTCATTCCAACGAACACTTTAATTTTTGGTATATTTTTCTTATCTTAATTATTTATATTACACAATATTACTTCATTGCTATCAATTGATAAATTATTTCATATTGATGTTAATTATGGTGAAATATAGGACATTTTAAGCTCAAATATTAATAGGCTTTTTAATAAAACTCCCTTCTCCAATGCATGCCAATGACATGCTGTTCTATTAGTACAGTTTCTTCATTTCTAAGGGCTGTGAACTGTCTGGTCAAGAGACCATCTCTCGTAGGTTGATTCTCCATTCTGTGCGACTCTCAGATATGTCCATGACTCTTAAATATATCTTCAGCGACTCACAAAAGAGAAGTAAAACGTTTAATACGGTAGCTACAACGTTAGTCTTTTGAAATTATGATTTTTCCTCCTCCTCCTCCTCCTCTCAAGCTTTATCCAGCCGTTTCACAGCTTTCGTTAGACCCAACCCTACATCTGGGGGTTTCATCGCTCTGCAGCGCAGTCATTCGCTCTGAAGCGATTCCATAACTTCAAAAGTTTATAGAATCCTTCCAGCTGTTCTAGAGATATCTTCAAACACCTATCCATCCATCAACATCACATCTAAACATTCGCATTTATAATCATAGTAAGTTAAATAAAAAGCAGCTCTTCAAGGAATAAATTCGAAGAAAAAAAAGAATAAACAGTAACCTATGTCAGTCCCCTGGCTCTAAGCTACCTCCTCAAGTAAAGCCATTCTTATAGTTTAACTAACACGACTTTTTTTATATATCTAAGATATGTCGTTACTAACGAAATGATAAATAATATGGGTAAAATAAGAGGCTTATAAGTATGTAATAAAAACATTTATTTCTACTTTAAAAGTTAAGAATAAGTATTATAAGTTTATTTGCGCCAATTTCTAAAAGCGTCTACAGCTTTGAAAACATCATCAGAATATATCTGAGGCAATTCAAAAGCGAGGAAATGTCCGCCATCTTCTAAAACTGTGGTTCCCAGAAGATTGGTGAACTTCGTCTTCAGGATGCTGGGAGGTTGGTACATTACTTCGTTTTTAGCTTGGAAAGCCCATGTTGGTACTGGTGTTGTAAATCTGGAAATAGACAATAATTAACACCAATTCCGAAAAAAAAAATCACACTTAAATATCTACATACTCTCAAAGTCAAAATTAACAGACTGCGTCTTGGTTAGTTTATAAACTTACTGATCTAATCCCAAATCTCTATTCTTCTTGCTTAAATCTTCAGCATAGAGTCTCATGGATGTAGTGATGCAGCCAGTAGACCAGTAGACCATGAGACAATCAATGAGCTGTTCTCTAGTAAACCGGAACCCAAGGCCGCCTTCCACTTTGTTGCGATGTTCACGACGTGTCCATAAAAAGAACTTCTCAAGGATGTAAGCAAGAAGACCGGATGGAGAATCTGTTAAACCTACACCTAGAAAATAGAATAAAAGTTTCATTTCAACTGTCGTCATATCTTACTAATATTATAAATGCGAATCTTTAGATGGATGGATGGATGTTTGTTTGAAACTATCTCCTGAACATCTCAACGGATTTTGATGAAATTTGTCATACATATAGAAAATAGTCGGGAAAAACACATAAGCTATTTCCGCGAGGACGGAGTCGCGGGCGACAGCTAATAGTTTTTAGGGTTCCGTACCTCATAGGCAAAAAAACGGAACCCTTATAGGATCACTTTGTTGTCCTTTCATCCGTCTTTCAAGACCCTTTTTCTCGAAAACGCGTGAAGGTATCAAGCTAGAATTTATTATGAATGATCATCATGAGGAAAGTTTTCTAACGTACCAATTGTATCGGGTTTAGTCGCCTGCAGATGGAAATAACCGAATTCTTCTATCATATACGCGAAGAAAGAAGACAGAGGATACATGCGGCTTGCTAGATGCTTCTCTACCACCAATGAAGGGAAATACGCTCCTAAGAATGTTTTAAACCCTGCCTTTCCGTTCTGTAAGAAAATATTAAATAAGTCTTATAAGTACTGCAGGCCCATAAATAATTTCTAACCTAAAACACGCTTGAAATATAAAAGAAAGTTGTGTAAGCAAAAGTAATTCTAGAACGGCCCAACAGATCTTGATGAAATTCGTCATAAATGCAGAACATATTCTGGGTTCTAGTGCTTTAAGACTTTTTAAGAACATATCCAAAAAATTAATTGACATCACAGGGGACCGAAGAGCTGGCAGCTACCTCGGTCAAAGAATTCGTTTAGCTGTCCAAAGGGGAACGCTGCCAGTATCTTCGGAACCTTGCCTAAAGGGACACCTTTTAATAATATATTTTAGTAAGTTATTCGTTTTTTAATATTTTATTTTATATCATAAATTTAAGACTATTCATTAGATTCTTTGTTAGTTTATTGTTAAAAATTGCATTAGTTATATTTAATAATTTCTGGTAGAACACATAGACTACTAATTATGTTTTTTTAACTCCACGCGGAGTCAGAGGCGATAACTAGTTTAAAATATATGATGATATATAGAAGTGGATAGCTATAAGCAACTGAATTATATAACACGTTTTGAAAATCTTCACATGTGGACTTTGAAATTTATAGTTAAAAACATACCTGAGCCAAGGCCATGTTGGAGTGGTAACCCAGAACATTGTCAGGGAACAGTGTTACCATAGCTGTGCCAATGGAGGAGCCCCAGTCACCTCCTTGTAAGTAGAACTTGTCATGGCCAAGTCTACTCATCAAGTTCTTGAAGACCACAGCCATCTGCGGAGTTGCAAGTCCAGGACGGACTGCCGCCTGTTACGAAAGAACATATAATCTTCTGTAAAAACTTCTTGATATTAATTAAAATCATTTTGATTAGTGAGGGGACATAAACATTGATATTTTAGTAAGGTTACTGTTGCACCAGTACATCGGCACACTGTCAGATTTTCTTCCTAACAAGAAGCACGTTTTAGGGTTCCATACCTCGAAAGGAAAAAAACGGAACACTTATAGGATCACTTTTTTGTCCGTCCGTCTGTCTGTCCTGTCCTTTTCATATTCCATTCTATTTTATAAACAATTGACGCCCAATCCATCGATCCAAAGACATATAATTAATACTCATCCTCTTAATTAAATTACAAGGAAACAAAGTCGGGCTAGAAAGAATATATAAAACAGAGTCTTATAAGAGTTGTGACTTACATCAGAGAATCCATATCCAGGTAAGCTAGGAGCTATAACTTCAAAAGCAAAGTTGTAGCCTGGAGCTCGTTGTGTGAGCAGAGGTATAGCCTCGTAGAACTCTCGCACGGAGCCAGGCCATCCGTGCAATATGAGTAAAGGCACTACTTCCACATTTGAAGGTACCTGACCAAAAAATAGATGTAGAAAATATGATGAAAGCAGAAAGAAGAATAGAAGAAAGAATCTTAATTACCTAATCAACTTTATAAAGGAAAAAGATAATTATAAGTACTTGCTTTATAATTGAACTTCAAATTTTATTAACTAGCTGTCGCCCGAATGTCCGCGTGGTATGACAAAATTTTTCTCACATTTTAAACCTTCCACCTCCACGTATATTTCAAGAGCAAGATAAGATAAATCCGTTTAGTCATTCTCGAGTTTTAGCGAGACAAGAACAACAATTGATTCCTATACTCCTCCGAAACGGCTTGACCGATTCTCATGAAATTTTGTGAGCATATTGAGTAGGTCTGAGAATCGGCCAACATCTATTTTTAATCACGCGCGGACGGAGTCGCGGGCGACGGCTAGTATTTATATAGATTTAGCAATGAAATTGTTGTGTACATCTTATTATTATTATAAATGCGAATGTTTAGATGGATGGATGGATGTTTGAATAATATAAGTATATCTAGAAAAGATGCATGGAATTTTCTACTAATTAAGTTTTAATACCGTGCGGACGTAGTCGCGGGCGACAACAGCTAGTTATATTAAAGATCTTGGTATCCCATAAACTCTCTAGGATAAACATCCCACTGGTTTTTCTATACTTAATTTTAAGGTCCGCTTTTTCGTTAGCTTACATATTGATTTTCCTTTGAATCGTTATTTAGGTCTTTATAGGAAAGATGAATAGAAATTCTTTGGTAATTAACCTGTGGTTTGACCCTGATGAAATGTATATCCAGACCCTGGATATTAGTTTTGTAGTGTGGATATTTATTAAAGAATGCTTCTCGTTCTTTAAATGGATACTCCTCAGCCCAGTAGTTCAGCCAGCCGTCTATGGATTTTGTATTGAACCCATATTCAAAGCCAACGCCCTCAAGAGGCGGAGTCAACGGACGACGATTCTTCAAACGACTTTTAAGGTCATTTACCATCTGTAGGGAACAAATTAATAAAAAAAAATATCAACCAGCCGATTGGTTCACTTTCTACTTAGTCGTTAGTTAAAGTTACATTTTGGATAAATCTTTTAAAATTTTACTCGCTTATAATTTTATTTACGTATTTTTTTTACAATCTAATAAAACTACAAGCTATCAACATAGTAAAAACGATCTTTAAACAAACAAAAAATATTGTGCAAGATCCTTGCATGTAGTACGTAAAAAACACTCAACTTACTCGTTGTACTCCTTAAGCAAAGGTAAGTTACACTCACTTATTTAATGAGGACACCACTGAGGATCTCGGAGTCTAACTTAAGTTAGTGACTAGGCCATAGTCAATACTGGCCCAGTACATGACTTCACACATATCTTTGAATTATTTCACAGATATGTGCAGCATCACCATGTTTTCCTTCACCGTAAGAACGTCGGATACTTAATGTGTCTTGAAATACATACCTCATCAGTAAACTGTATTTGAAATGGTCTGATGCTTTTGTCCTCTTTTCCTTTAAGTTCATTTGGTCCCCACCATTCCTGAGGGTCCAAGCGAGGCAATTGAGGCGGCTCCGTGTTTTGTGATGACCATATTTTATAAGCTATTGCAAGGATGATTACTATAACTATGATTCCTAACATCTGGAAAGGAAATATTAATTAGCACAATATAATAGAATTTAAGGTCCCACTGCATAAAAACTTTTTGGAAAAATTTATATTATCTTTCGTTAAAAAAAAAACAGATTTGTATTTGGAGTTATGTTTTATCTGTAACATGCTTTCATTTAAAATGCAAAATTAAAATATAATAATTAAGTAATATTAAAATTAATTTCAAACTTCAAAACCAAAACCGTATGCAAACATAACATAAATGCGAAAGCTTAGAATGATGGATGGACGTTTGAAGATATCTCCGGAACGGTTCAACGGTTTTTAATAAAATTAAACACACATATAGAACATAGTCTGGAAAAACAGATTGACTTATTAAGTTTGTTTTAAATTCGCGCGGACGGAGTCGCAGTTAAAGGGCGACATATTCGCGCGGACGGAGTCGCAGTTAAAGGGCGACATACACGGAGTTTCAAAAACAAAATGTTTTTATTACCTTTACAAATAAGTCCGCACTTCCTTAATACTAAACTTATTATGAAACAAATTCAATATAAATATTTATATAAATTTGAAATACATCCAGTCACTGCGAATGTATAATATACACTGGGCGTGTTCTGATAAGATACACATGGGCATAACAACTGTAGGGTTACCATACGATTGTATACTCCGCCTTTGGTCTGATGAGTGTGCGTGCCCGTGTCCTAATTTTGGTCGTTCCTTTCCCAACTTTTTCTTATAAGGAAAGGGGAAATATTCTCTTTGTAGGTCCCCTTCACCGTCGATTAAAGGTAACGCATATGCAGTACGCATGTCTATGGGTACCAGTAACTTTAAAATTACTCCAAGACTTCATTTTCTCTCTCTTGTCTTTGGCAGAATGTTTTCTGCAACACAAATATAAATTGCTATCCCTTTCATTTTCTTTGAAAAGAATAGAGACGACATAATATTTTAACAATGATGAGGTTCCACGACAATTTTACGATTTCGCACTATTACGATATCTTGCGTAATTTCAGTTCCAAGCATGATTTGCTTTTTGTGTTAATATTTCAAAGATGACTTTTTTATTTTGTTCTTTTTGACGTTGTACATGACGTACAAATTTACAATGATAAGGTGTTTGAAAATAAAAATCATATCGTCGTGAGTAGCCGTGGACGAAAGAATCCATAGTTCTGCATATTTATAGGGTGTTTTTTTTAATTTATTTTTACCAATAATGATTTTAAAAATATTGTATTGGAGTAATCATTACTAAAAATAGAATTTTTCTATTACTTGTAGATAAATCTAATTTTCCAATTCAATACCTAAGTTATTTTTTTTTCGTTTACAAAGTTTACGGTTTAATTTGGAACACGCTAGCTATACCGGTCGTTGTCGCTTGGGTACACATTGCAAGTGTAAATAGCTTTCAATCTGCAAATGGCGTTATCAACGCGGCGCAGGCTTGGGGTTGGCTTTTATTAAGGTTTATGAGACTTGAACGAAAACATAATATATTAGAGAAGATTTTCTCAGTTACTAATATTATAATAAAATATAATATTTAAGTGTGAAAGAAGTAAATGATAAAAAACATTTTTAAGACTACATCTTACTAATATTATAAATACGAATGTTTGAATGGATGGATTAAACAGTATCTTCGAAAAGGCTGCATGAATCTCGCTGAAAACCATAGATGAAGTAGTCTGGAAGAACACATAGACTACTATTTTTTTTTTAATTTCGCGCGTACAAGGTCGTGGGCGACAGCTTTGATAAAGTGAAAAATTAAGTCACTCTTTTAAGGTTGTCAGAGGAAAAGCCTTTTTTAATCTGTGAAACAAAAAAACTTTGTTATCTTTTGATGCTCATCGCTGCTTAATTTTAAGGGAATTTTCTGGGTATTAATAAAACGAAACGAAGAACATAAAAAATTTGCTTTCTGATTTTGATTATAAAAAAAATGTTTTTTAAAAGATCTCGCAGATTTTTTTTCATAACTAGTTGTCGCTCGTGACTTTTTCTGCCCGGTATTAACAAAAGGTAATTATTAGTCTATGTGTTCTTTCAGGATATGTTCTTACATCTATGCCTTACAGGGAGATTTATGCAGCCGTTCTGGAGATAACTTCTAAACAACATCCATCCATCTCCACACAAAAGACAGGCGTGAAGTGGAAGCAATTCCGCGTTTCATCTGACGAGTGTGCGTCCCGTAGGCCTAATTTAGTCCTCTTTCCCTTCCCACCTTTTTTCCTATAAGGAAAGGATAGGAAGTGGAAATGGACTTTCCGGATGAGAGGATGCATGGGAAGGGAAAATATGTTCTTTCTGTGCATCCTCTCCTCCGTCGATGAAAGGTAGGCAACGAATTTGCAATTGCGTATGTCTATGGGCAACGGTCACTTCGCTATTTCAGCGATTTCAAGTGGCCGCTCGCTCGTTTGCCACCTTATGATATAAAAAAAAATCTAAACATTCGCATTTATTTTATAATATTAGTAAGATAAGTTAGAAGTAAGATTATCTGGTTATAGTCGAAGTAAAGTTACCCTAATATCAATAAGTCTGTGGGAATAATCCTCGGCACGCGCTTATTTGTCTGTGTTAACCGATCCCGACCCTTGACTTCCATGAGCACATATCCCCTGGGAACGCATACACATTTCAACTATAAAAAACGATAAATTCTATATTTTATCACCCCATTTATACAACTATTTAAGCTCATAAATAGAATTGGCATATTTTATAAAATTGAACACGCACTGCCCCTAATATAGGGGCAGTGCGTGTTAGGGTCCTTCAAGAAGCGAGCTTATCACCACCTCAAAGGTCGGCATCGCATCCGCGGTTCCTCTGGTATTGCTGATGTCCATGGGCGTCGTTGAACACCTCGGTGTTCCCGCTGCTCGTTTGCCCCCTTCTGTTTTAAAAAAAAACTAATATAAACGCGAATGTATAGATGAATGCTTATTAGAAGGTATTTCCAAAGGCGCTATGCTCTTAATGAAAGGTATAGATTTAGAACATAGTCAGGAAGAACGCAGGCTACTTATTAAAGTTATTTATATTTCCACACGGACGAAGTCGCGGGCTACATCTAGTTAAGTAATAAGACATTTTATCCGTTCAATATTACAACAATTTTAATATAAGTAAAAACTTACCTAAATTTTATCTTCGCGTAGAAAAAACTAAGAACACTAAAAATACTGGATCTCATCATCAACCTGCCCTTATCCCTATCGAGGGTCGGCACAGTATGTACTCCTCCATACATCTCTATCAGCCGTCATATCCGAGTCTACCCCCTTCTTACGCATATCCTCTTTCACACAATCATTCCATACTTTTTTTGGTCTTCCCCTACCCTTGTAGCCATCATCATTCAATCTCATTACTTTTTTGCTTATATCATCATCATCCCTCCGCATTTGTCCAAACCACGCTAATCTTTTACTCCTCAATTTCTCGATCAATGGCGCTACTTTCAAACTTCCTCTAATATACACATTTTTAACTTTATCTTTTCTTGTAAAAATACTGGATCTATAAATAAAAAAAAATACACAGATGTACATTTTTTTATAATCTTTATTCAATGTTTTTTTCTACTTTCAAATAAAACAATCAATCAAATCCTTATCAAAGTCGAATCAGATTATTATTTTCGCACATTACTAACGTATCAGTGGTGGCACAGGCCACTTGTGTCACCCCAATATTTATACAACCCTAAGGGTGTGAGATGGAATTCATTATGGGTGGATTAAGAGGGATGCTGTTGGTCGCGATAGCGAATTAGTATAAAATAAAAATATTTACAGTTGAATAATTTTATAGGGGTGTGAAAGTACCAGAGTTTTTTTTAAGTTACAAATAATAGCAACACGTCAATAATGGAAACACTATCGCGATTAATTTTCCCCGTTTTTGCAACATTTCTCACTGATGCTTCGCTCTTATTGGTCGTAGCGTAATGTTATATAGCTTAAAACCTTCCTCTATAAATGGACTATCCAACAAAAAAATAATTTTTCAAATCGGACCAGTAGTTCCTGAGATTAGCGCGTTTAAACAAACTCTACCGCTTTATAATATTAAGTATATAAATGGATACATTTGTATTAACTTACTTATATAACATGTTATTATTTCAACTAAGCTCTAGACTAGTGTTATAGTTCGCAATTTTACTTACTAATATAATAAATACGAGGGTTTCGATGTATGGATGTTAGTTAGAAGATATCTCCAGAACAGCTGCATGGATCTCGCTGAAATTTGACATAGAACATATAGAGTACTAATTAAGTTTTTAATTTCACATGGAAGGAGTCGCGGGCGACAGCTAGTATTTGAATAGTGAAATTTAAACCATTTATCAATTAGGCTATTAGTAGGTTATTTCTTGTATAGAAAACACATATATTTTTACGCGAACTTTTCCAATCTAAAGAAAAAAACAAGTACTGAAGAAGATTATATAATACCCAAATGTCCAAAGTATCAAGATTTGTTTGAAATATTTATCATATGTTATACCACGACGTTGTAATTACACAAAAATTTACATATTTTAAATTCATTGCTGCATGTGAAACGGTTTCACAATTTATTCATGGTACAAAAACAGCAATGTAAATGAATTCTTATAAATACTCAATAAAAATTGTAATGCGGAACGATAATACCGTTCTTGTTGAGTCATTGACCTTGAGACTTGATTTTAGTATTGGACGCTGACGGACGCGCGCGTTGAATCAATGTGAGTTTTATTTTGTTTAAGTAATACGTTTGTTTAATCAATATTGATAGTTTAATAATTGATAAATAAAAGGAAATTATATACTATTTTACTGGTAGATATTAATTAATATTTTTTCCAATTACACAACACTCACGTATTGTAATTGTATAAGGTTGTCTTAAAAACACCAAGAGATGGCAGCACTTATTTTTGGTTAAACGTGAAATTTACTTTCTATACTGTTTTATTTGAGATGTTAGTTCAAAAATTAAATTTTTATCATATGTTTAAGTATGTAGGTTTTATTTTCAGATGGCTCGATACTTACTTCTAGTTTTAACAACAATTGTGGTATTTTTGGTGTACTTTTTATATCTAAAAGCCCCCCCACCATTGCCCAAATTAGACGTAAACGAATGGTGGGGTCCAGAGGATATAAAAATGAAACAAGATCTCAGCATAAGACCTTTCAAAATAGAATTTTCTAATTCGGTAAGTATAAATAAGGTTTTAACCAAATTAATCTATCTTAAACATATGTCGTGGCTAATTCTAAAACATGGCCATTTAAATATAGCAATTAAAATTTAAGCCGTTGTTTAGCCAACTTACTGTAAGTTTCTAAGGCTAAAATCGCCGTAGAAAACATATTGTCATCTCTGTCGTTTGACAAAACTGATTATAATATGTTTTAAACCAAGATTTTGGCTTGGAAACTCAAGGTTAAATGTAAGATATTTAAAAATTATTTCCGTAACAACCCTGATAGTCGAAAAGACTTCATAAAATGGACAGTTTTTATTTATTTATTATTATTAATTTGACTTTTTTCATAATGTTTCAGATGATAGAAGACTTAAGAATGCGTCTAAAAAGACACAGGTCATCTCCACCAGCATTGGAAGGTGTCGGTTTTGAATACGGATTCAACAGCGGGCAAACAGACAAATGGCTCAAATACTGGGGTGAACAGTATCCGTTTAAAGAAAGAGAACAATTCCTGAACCAGTTCCCGCAGTTCAAAACTAATATACATGGATTGGATATACACTTCATTAGGGTAAAACCTGAGGTATGATAACTTTTTTAACTAGATGGCGCTACTAAAATAATACACGGAATTTAAATCGCGCTAGTGACATGCGTGTTTGGTGAAAACATTTGTAACTATTTGGATATATTTGGTTTACCAATCACGTAATAATAACGAAGTGATGGCCCGACCTCGAGGTTCCTGAGGGAGCCCTAGAGCTTAGTTACTCTTAAACGAGGATCAGGCTAAGTACCATGTGTGCTTCGCCATCTCAAGCCCGGTGAAGCTGTAAATGCCTCCTCAAGGCAAACAATAGCGATTCAGTCACAGAAATATATATATTTTTGGTACTTACAAAAAAATTGCGCCGTTAAAACACATACTATCTTACTAATATTATAAATGCGAATGTATGTATGGATGGATGTTTATTAGAAGGTATCTCCAGAACGGTTGCATAAATATCGCTAAAATTTGGCATATAAGTAAACATAACCTGGAAGAACACATAGGCTATTTACGAAGTTTTGTTTACGTGCTAATGTTTGTCTTTTGCTTTGGGTCAATCATTTTTTCCAGGTTCCCAAAGGTACAGAAATAGTCCAAATGCTATTACTGCATGGCTGGCCGGGCTCAGTACGAGAATTCTACGAGGCAATACCGCGGCTTACCTCCGTCAGCAAAGATAGAGACTTTGCTATAGAGGTTATAGCTCCCAGCTTAGTTGGATTTGGATTCTCTGACGTAAGTTAAACGTAACTAGAGATAGGCTATTTTTTGCTAATTTGTCAATGGAAGTGATTAAAATGGTGAGGATCAAACAGGAGAACAAAATCTGGTACTTCGATCCTTCGTGAGTGGGATAACGGTAGAGATATTATGGCTTTTCATCTCGCTTACCATGGGTTTCTGAGACCAATATATCTGTTTAACACATATTTTCTGTTTTGTCAAAGATATTGACAGGGATATGTTTTATACTCAGTTTTTGGTTCTCAGAAACCAATGATGAAATTTAACATGGATACAGAACATAGCCTGAAAGAACACATAGGCTACTAATTAAGTTTTTAAAGCCGTGCGACCGGAGCCGGGACGAGACCAGTCGACAGCTGCTTAAAATAAAAGAAACGGTTAAATCAATGGCTTTGTAAATAATTCTTTATTGTCTCAAGGCAGCTGTCAAGCCGGGGATGGGCACCGCGCAGATGGCTGTGGTCATGAGGAACCTGATGAAGAGACTGGGCTTTAATAAGTTCTACATTCAGGGTGGGGACTGGGGATCTGTGGTTGGTGGACATCTGGCTACTCTTTTTCCTGAGGTAAATAAAGACATTCAAATGGCTATATACGTTAGGTCCTTCGAGCCGGACTTTTACTGAATTGATTGGTGAAAATACTTAAGAAATGCGTAAAAAGCACCAGAAATACATGCGAAGATTAATTTAATTTAATTTATACGTTTATTAACAACTAAAGATGTTTGCTAGTCCCCAAATGGAAGGCATCTTCATATAACCCTCTGGGTTAAAGATTGAACTGTGTTTTTGTTTGTGATTTAGATTTAAAAATAATCCTTTTATTTATCAATTTAGATAGATGGATGTTTTTATTATTATTTTAGAGCGTCGGTGGCTCAGTGGTCAAGCACTTGACTTGCAATCTGCAGGTCCCGGGTTCGAATCCCGTCATGTACCAATGTGTTTTTAGATTTCCGATTTACATATGTACATTTATCCGACGTACTTACGGTGAAGGAAAACATCGTGATGCAACCTGCACATATCTGAGTAGTAATTCAAAGATATGTGTGAAGTCAACCAACCCGCACTTGGCCAGCGTGGTTGACTATGGTCTAATCACCCTTAACTTAGGGTAGGCTCCGAGCCCCTCGGTGGGGACGTATAGTGAGCTAATGATGATGATGATGTTTTTATTGAAGTTATCTCCAGAACGTATCAATGGATCTCAATGAAATTTGGCATACATGTAGAACATATATTGTTACTGTTATCAGGAAGTCCTGGGATACCATACCAACCTGCCATTCTCAACAGCGCCCTCCAGTATGGTTATACCTATAATAGCATCTGTCTACCCTTCGTTGGTGTTCAGCCAACAGGAGATTGAAAGAGTCTATCCCTTGACTGACTATTACTCTATGTTAATAGAAGAAATGGGATATCTACATTTACATGCGACCAAGCCTGATACTATAGGTGAGTTACACTATTCCAGTACAGTAAGACAGCAGAAATCGCTGGCATAATACTAAACATTAACTGGAGTCAGTCAGCCAAAATACTACATGATATGCAGCTACTGTCTTACTGTACTGGCATGTAAACTAAGTTTAAATGACAAATATTGTTAAGTTGTATTGTCGGGAGTTAAGACTTTCGTAATTTAGTGATGTCCTGTCTCACCAAATTATACCATTCTTTGTAGACAAGATTGTAGAAAATTTTAATCATTAAGAAATCTATATTAAAAATCTTTTCTGATTAACTTTTATTTAATCTGATTATAGTTATGGAAATTAAAAATTACATTCTGGCATCCATAATCGTTAAAATCTTTCTAGATATTACGCGAAGCAAACTGCTTTTCAAGATAACTTAAGCATCTAACTAAAATTTATCGCATTTCATTAAAAATTGTCTCGTCTTCATCAGATCTAGAATATGTTTTATTTCATCTATAATACATCTAATAACCAAATTATTTTTCCAGGCATAGGCCTAACAGATTCACCATCCGGTCTTCTAATCTACATCCTACAGATGTTCTCAACATGGACATGTAGAAAAGACGTATCTTTGCCAGACGGTGGTTTGGAATTGCATTTTAGCAAAGAACAGATTATAGACAATATAATGTTCTATTGGGCACCAAATTCTATTAGTACAGCGATTAGGTTATACGCTGAATCATTTAGTAAGAAGCATTTGGATACTAAATTGGATGAGTAAGTGACACAAATATTATAATAATATTCCATATTTAAAGCGTTGGTGGCGCAGGAGAGCATAGGTGGCTTAGGAGAGCGTTGGTGGCTTAAGAGAGCGTTGATAGCTTAGGAGAGCGTTGGTAGCTCAGAGGTTGAACTTGAATCTTGACTTGTAATCTGTAGGTCCTGGGTTCGAATCCTGCTACCCAATGTGTTTCGATATTCGATTTACATATACATTTATCTGACGCTGGGTGAAGGAAAATATAGTGATGTTGCACATATCTGCGAAGAAATTCAAAGACATTTGTGAAGTTATGCACTGGGCTAGTGTTATGGCCTAGTTACTAACTTAGGGTAGACTCAGAGCCCGAGCTGATGATCAAACACCAGATAATCTTTTGCCGATCTCTAAGTGCGAAGTTTACTCATCTCTCAAGTCCAAAGTATGTTTTCTTACGTGGGTTTGTGTCTATCCAACATGAACTATAGTCTAAACTAACTGATTTTGACCAGTCATCATTGAGTCGACGGTATATTAATTATTTTTTTAATGTTTACGTTTGTTTTTAGGATACCTAGCTATGTACCAACTTGGGTGCTACAATCAAAGCATGAACCATTGTATCAATCGCCATTAGTAACAAGAATCAAGTTCCCTAACATATTGAACGTCACAGTATTGAATGATGGCGGCCATTTTGTCGCATTAGAACTGCCGGAAGCTTTCTCTGATGACGTCATCCAAGCTATTGGGAAATTCAGAAATTGGAAGGCTCAGAAGACTGAACTTTAAAATTTAATAGTTGTTTTTTATTGTATTTTTTATATTGTTAATTAAAAGTTTGTAAACTAAATCTGTTCTAAAATTACTCTGTATATTTGACTCATAGATTATAAAATATTCTTTTGTTCTCATAAGTTTCGTAAAACTGTGTTTTTTTTTATAAAAATCAAAGGTTATTTTCAATGTGTATATTCTAAGTTTGTCATTGGCTAACTAAGCCACCCTAGGGGCGGCGCACGCCCCAACCAACCCCTAATTTGACAGGCGCGTGCCGACAAAGATAACTTAGCTGTGAGCCACAAAACCTCCACTGAACCGGAAACAGATTTGTAATTTATTTTAACATTTGTAGCTGTGGGAATATTATAAAATAAGTCAATTTTGCTTCCAATGGAAATATTATAAAGGTTATAAAATGATTGTAAATAGACTAGCTTTCGCTCGCGACTCCGTTTATGCGGAACTAAAAAATAACTTAATAAGTAGCCTATGTGTTCTTCCAGACTATGTTATTGCCATCTATGCCAAATTAAAAAAAAAGCAGTTGAGCCGCTTCGCAGATAACTTCTAACAAACATACATCCATCTTAACTTTCGCATTTATAATATTAGTAAGATAAGAAAAAATAGACTTTTTTATTTACGAAACAATGGATTTTCACTGTTGTAATTTATTTACAAAGAAACATTGTTATTCAAATACAAAGTAAGTTAATAACTTTGTGAAATTGAAGTAAACACAATAAATCTACAAAGTCACTGTTTACTTCACAATTCCTCACGTTTTCCTTTGTGTTGCAACCGTCGGAACTCGACCACAGCTCTAACAATGTCCTCGGCCAATACAACTGGTAATTCCAGCGCCAGGAAATGTCCTCCTGTATCCAAAACTGTCTCGTTCACAAGATTAGGGAACTTCAGTTTGTACATCCACGGAGGTATGTAAGATATTTCGTATTTAGCTTGTAATATCCATGCTGGCACTGATGATTGGATACTGGAATACAGAGAAAGAAATCTACTCTGAAAACATAATTAGCCTATGTGTTTTTCTAGAATATGATCTATATCTGTACCAAATTTCATCAAGATCTATTTAACCGTTTTGGAGATACCTTCAAACAAACATCCATCCATCCATCCATCCATCTAAACATTCCCATTTATAATATTAGTAAGATTAAGAATGGGAGATGCCAGCAACATCTTTTGCACGCCCGATGCAATACCACGTCCGAACAGAAGACAGGCGTCAAGTGGAAGCTAATTTAAGTACAGTCTGATGAGTGTGCGTCCCGGTGTCCTAATTTTAGTCTCCTATCTCTTATTATTTATTAAAAGGAAAAGATGGAAAAAAATGGATTTAACCGAGAAAGGTAATTATCTCTTTCTTTGCGTTTCTTCCGTGTCCATTAAAAGTAGGCAACGCACTGCATGTATAACGCATCTGAAGATGCATGTGTGTCGCTCCGCTATTTCGGCATTTTCAAGCCGCTTGTTCGTTTGCTGCCTTAGAATATGTTAAATAATATTAACCCTTATGTTCATTTCGTATAGTATAAAATATACGATCACTATAAAATAATTTTTAACTTAGTTTTTTTTTAACTTTGTTTTTTGCTTTTATTAAAAAAAGAAATCTTGCCACAATAAAGGTTAAATACCTGTCCGTACGAAGACTGAAATATCTAGGACTGAAAGAGTCTGCGTATATTCTTCCTGCAGTGGCCACAGAGTCAGAAGCCCAGTATACCATCAGATTGTCCACCAGCTGTTCCTTCGTGTAGTGCAGTTCTAAACCACCGTCTGCTCGGTGCTGATAGTATTCACGGGTACCTACTGATATCTTCTCGAAAAAATACGCCAGGAGTCCAGCTGGTGAGTCTGTTAGTGCTATATCTAAAATTGGGAGGTGTAATTAAATTTTTATGCGTCAAAACCAGGCGTAAAGTACACCAAATATGTTGTACTAATTTTCACAAAATTGACTAGACAAAAGTCGTAAAATTTCTTAACGCATTTTCAACTTAAAATCAAAATCTACTAAACTTCTAGTCAGTTTAAAAATAATTAAAATCAGAGCACTAGGGGCTGAGTTACGCGGTAAAACAAATAAACATACAGATGAATTGGTAATTTCCTTCTTTTTGAAGTCGGCTAAAAAGTATTTGTCGCAATTCGTGCTTGACGCACGGTTAAAGGTGCGCGTCCATTGACCCGCGCCGGACGCACGGATTTCTTTTGTGTTACGATGCCGGCGCGGATATTAGCGTAGCGTTATTTAAAATCATACAACGCAAATTAAAATTGTTCATACGTACTTCAAGACTACAAATTATATTAGAATTGATAAAGTAAGTCTACTAATTAGAAATGAGGCACCGAGGTAATGGAACGTCCTCAAAGAAATTAGAATTATGGTTACAGCAATATTTTATTAAAATTACAAACACACATATACACAAACACACTCTCTCTCACACACACAGTAATTGTTTTTCTACATAACAATTATAAAATTTACATGTAAGGGTAGTCCTTTGCTCCTTAAGTATAGCTCTTCCTAGTTAAGGAGCCACGGCAACATTGAATTTTGTTTTTTCTTTTTTGTATAACATTAAAGATTTTTTTCATTTAATTTTCTATCCGTCTGTATGTCTGTCTGCAAGATCGCGTATGTTACGAGTAATCTCCGGAACAGCTGGACCGATTTTATATACCTGATACAGGCTGGAATATACTGTATTTTTACTACTCACCGACAGTATCAGGTTTCGTCGCCTGAAGATGGAAATATCCTGACTCTCGTACAATCTTACTAAGAAAGTTAGACAGTGGATACATTCTATCAGCAACTTCTGGTCTTACAACCAGAGAAGGGAAATAATCACCGACGATTCTTGCAAATGCTTGCAATGGAGAAAATATTGTTGGCATACTGCTGTGATAACCTAGAACTTCCTGGAAAAATAGAACAGTATTATTTCTTCAAATCAGATGTTCTCAAAGTTTTTTTAACTACGACACTCGTTTGGTAAGCGAAGTATTTGAAGCTTAATTCTAAATTGATTATTCTAGGCTTTAGAATTAGTTATTCTTTTCTTTCGTCTCTCGGTTAATTCGCATTCCTAAACGCGTCCGAGAAAATATCTCCAATAATATTATAATCATCATCTAAAGAAACTCTGTGCTCCTTTTCAAGGAAATTATACCGACTAACGAACCTGACGCAGTTAAAATTAATGTAGAGAAGTGAATAAATCCTTATTAAATCGCAAAAAATCTTTGATTATAAATTACTAATAACAGTGGTAGAGCCCGCTTTAACATCTTCGCACGAATTGTCCCGGCTCGCCCCGTGAAATACCACGACCACATAGAAGACAGGCGTCAAGTGGAAGCAATTCCGCGTTTCGTCTGATGAGTGTGCGTCCCGGAGGCCTAATTTAGTCCTCTTTCCCTTCCCACCCTGTTTCTTATAAGGAAAGGATGGGAAGTGGGAGTGGACTTTCCGGATGAGAGGATGCACGGAAAAGAAAAATACTTTCTTTCTGTGCATCCTCTCCTCCGTCGATTAAAGGTAGGTAACGCATATGCAATTACGTATGTCTATGGGCGACGGTCACTTCGCTATTTCAGCGATTTCAGGTGGCCGCTCGCTCGTTTGCCACCTTATGATATAAAAAAAATACTCCTAGTTGATTTTAGACCAATGGGCGACTAGATCGATAATTTCCTTTCAAGGTTGTGGTTTAAGAATAGTTTAATGTTCATTTTGCTGTTTTTAAGTTGCCTGTTAAAAGCGTTTTCGGTACATTACGGCATGCACCTTTGAATACTTAAAATACTTACATTTGGGAAGAAAGTTGCCATATTACTCATCACAACCGACCCCCAATCAGCGCCGTGTGTGTAGAATTTCTTATGACCCAATCTATGCATCAGATTTCTTAAGACAACCGCCATTTTGTCAACACCGAAACCAGGTCTTACAGCACCCTGGAATATAAATCTTACTTATATTACAAATGTTTGGATGCATGGATGGGTGATTGTTTATTAGATGGTATTAGTAGAAGGGCTGCATGGATCTCGCTGAAGTATGAACTAAACACATAGGTAACTAATTAAGTTCAGACATACATTCAAACATAAGCATTTATAATATTAGTTGTAAGCTAAAATTAAATATATTGTAAATTCTGCAATATTTTGGTATTTAACCTTGTGAACTTAAGATGGAAAATTATTAAATACTTGAACTTACATCAGAGAATGCAAATCCGGGTAAACTAGCTGCTATAACCTCAATCACAAAGTCTCTGTGTGGTGAGACTGAAGTTAGGACAGGTATCAAAGCATAGAAGTCTAGATAACTGGATGGCCAGCCATGAAGCACTAATAATGGGACGACCTCTATGCCTATAGGAACCTAAAATATATGTAGTCAAAGAATCAAATTCACTTCCCACTTAAGGTCGGTTTATACAAGGGCAGAGTTGAAGCGCATCGAAGCGTCAAAGAACTTATCATAAGGCGCAAACTAATTTGGAGATTTTAAAAAGACGCGCAAATTCTTTGGAAATTGAACAACGCGGATTGGTTCGCGCGAATTCCGTGCAACTAAGGTTACCAGGTCGCCAAACCTAATAACAGGACAGATCAACCAGTTGCCCGCACATTTGGGGTAGAAAACTCGGACATCCTACATTATTGAGGATTATGTCTCAGTATTAGATACGACACTCGTTTGCGAAATGTAAAAAGCCTAACAAAGGCCGGGCAATCCGGACACCGTGTATTTTGGCCGGAAACGCAACCAAATAGCCTACCTATGTCCTTTATCCGGACGGCTCGCAAAACTGTGCAACTCTCCCCTGGTATAACCCGAACCTTAGAGTAGAAAATCTTAGAGGATATTGTCATTATAACAGCTATAGGTTTTATCATGAATTCTTAATTGTTTGTGTGCTCATACAACAATGGCTTGCCTGATCCATTTCTTTATAGTCAAAGTTTTTCACTAACCTTTGGTATAACCCTTACAAAGTGTACATCAAGACCTTGGATATTAGTCTTGTATTGCGGGTACTTATTAATCTCAACAACTCTGTCTTGGTATGGATACTCCTCAGCCCAGTATCGTAACCAGCGCGGTATTTCATTTGTATTGAATCCATATTCTGATCCTGTACCTTCTAGAGGTGGTGTCATTTGTCGAGTGTTCCGTAAACGATGTCTAAGATCGGCAATCATCTGGAATTATTACAATGTTTATATTTAGTAAATATATAACTAGATGGCGTCACTAACGAATTAGCTCGCGATAACGAAATGTTCGTATTATGCCACCTCGTTTATTAAACAACTAACCGTTGCCCGCGACTCTATCCTCGCGAAAATAAAGAAGACTGAATAAGTAGCCTAAGTGTTCTTCCAGACTATGTTCAACATGTATCCAAAATTTCATCAAAATACGTTCAGCCGTTCCGGAGATACCTTCATACAAACATCCATCCATCTAAACATTCGCATTTATAATATTAGTAAGATAAGGAAAGGCACTATAGGACCAAAAAAAAAAGGTAAAGTAATTTTCCTATTTTCTGTAAACCTAACTCGATAAGAACATTAATCAGTAGTCTAAATTGATTTTAAATTCTCCTGTTTTTTATGGACGGAGTTTTTTTTTATATAACAGAAGGGGGCAAACGAGCAGCGGGAACACCGAGGTGTTCAACGACGCCCATGGACATCAGCAATACCAGAGGAACCTCAGATGCGTTGCCGACCTTTGAGGTAGTGATAAACTCGCTTCTTGAGAACCCTAAGTCGTAGCGATTTGGAAATACCGACGAGATCCATTTCCACTGGCGCGGTTACCGTATAGATAGAAAACACGGAATAAGTCGTGCCAGTGAAATATGTCTTAAGCGGAAGAGTTTGATTACTTAAACGCGTTATTCGCATTAACAATCTATCGGATTTCAATGATTATTTTTGCATTTAACAATTCTATAATTGAGCAAATTTATTGGCTTTCAACGTTATATTAACCTTAAACGTTCAGTGAAACCTTTATACCAATGTTTTATGCAATTCTATACAAACTACTTTAAAAAAAAATTACTATAAAATAGTTAGTAACATAGTAGCTATAATTATATTATCTTATGTCTTTAAATGAGCAATTCTTGTATTTATATAATTGGAATCTCGGAATCGGCTCCAACGATTTTCATAAAATTTAGTATACAGGGGGTTTCGGGGGCGATAAATCGATCTAGCTAGGAATCATTTTTAGAAAATGTCATTTTATTCGTGTTTTATCGATAATCAACTTAAATATAAACTTAACTTTTTCTATCGGTGAGTTCGAAAAATATTATTCATATTTCATCATTTTATTAGTAATTCGTACTTAAATATAAGGTCATCCAGTTACTATATCTTATATGTACATAAATTACAACATTGTATGTGCAAAATACATTTAATATTATTCGTTTAAAAATATATTATTAATTGCTCGTGAATTCGTCCTCGAAGAATTAATAAAGATCTAGCAACAAATATCCTGTCGCCCGCGACACCGTTCGCGCGGAACCAAAAAACTTAATTAGTAGCCTACGCGTTCTTCCAGACTATGTTCTACATCTATGTCAAATTTCAATGATTCGTGCTGCTGTTCTGGAGATAACTTCAGACATCTATCCATCCATCCATTCGCATTTATAATATTAGTAAGATTTTTATTATTTATTTGCCTAAGTATAAAAACGAAGTAACTGCTGCCCATTTAAATCTGTTGTGTTTATTTCTAGTTTTTTTTCTAAACGTCTAGCTGAGTAAAGGATAACTCTTAAAAATAATGGAGTTTTAGAAATCACTTACCGATGCATTAAATTCTACCACAAAAGGTCTGATACTTGTATCTTGGATAGATTTTAAATGTCGAGGGCCCCACCATTCGTTTACATTAATTTCTGGTAATGGAGGTGTTTGTATGAATAAAGATAAGAAAGATATTAATAAACTTAAAGACTCGTTATTACTAAACATCTGAAAGAAAAATCGTAAATTATTTTAAAATAACTCTAAATACTTTTTTTTTATATCATAAGGTGGCAAACGAGCGAACGGCCACCTGAAATAGCTGAAATAGCGAAGTGACCGTTTCCCCTAGATATACGCAATTGCGTATGCGTTGCATACCTTTAATCGACGGAGTAGAGGATGCACAGAAAGAAAATATTATCTCTTTCCATGCATCCTCTCATCCGGAAAGTCCACTTCCACTTCCTATCCTTTCCTTATAAGAAATAGGGTGGGAAGGGAAAGTGGAGTAAATTAGGCCACCGCGACGCACACTCATCAGACTGTACTTGGAATTGCTTCCATTTCACGCCTGTCTTCTGTATGGTCGTGGTATTTCACCGGGCGAGCCGGGACAATTCGTGCGAAGATGTTAAAGCGGGCTCTACCAGTGTTATATTTCTTCGTCTGAGTGAGGAATGAATTAAAAATAAAACTCTTTTTATTGTCTACGTCAATTTTCATTACTAAAAGCAAATAATTTTTTCATAAAGAAACTTAAAAGTCACACAAACCACTTTAGATTTTTAGAAGATTAATTTATTATAAAAAAATTCTTTAAAATTCACATTTAAATGTCAATAATAATATTCACATTGTAATATTAACATACCTTGTATTATATAAACACGTATATTAAATATATTCTTTTTTTTTATATAATATTTATTTACTGTTAGAACAAGACACACGAGATGCTTCCAAGCAAATATGCACTCATTTAAACATTATATATGAAACGGAACTATTTTATATTGTGTTGTTAAGGAGCGTATTCATTAGTCTATAAAACGCGACGTTTTATTACTTTGAATAGTTAATTGGGTTTTTATGTACTTTGGTTATAAAATGTTTTTATAAGTACATAATTACAGTAACATATATAAGGATAACTAAGTAAGCTCATAGCAATTACTCCTGACTTCATTTGTTACTAATCTTATATCTTTAAATGAGCAATTCTTGTATATATAATTGGAATCTCGCAATCGGCTCCAACGATTTTCATAAAATTTAGTATATAGGAGGTTTCGGGGGCGATAGATCGATCTAGCTAGGAATCATTTTTAGAAAATGTCATTTTATTCGTGTTTTATCGTTAATCAACTTAAACATAAACTAAACTTTTTCTATCGGTAAGATCGAAAAATATTATTCATATTTCATCATTTTATTAGTAATTCGTACTTAAATATAATTTCAAAATAACATCCAGATTTTCTTACTTAATATTATAAATGCGAATGTTTAGATGGATAGATGTTTGTTTGAAGATATCTCCGGAACGTCATGAATCTCGTTCAATTTTAGCATAGATTTCGACCATAGTCTCGAAGAACACAGGGACTACTATAGGCTACTACCTAAGTTTTTTTTTAATTCCGTGCGTTCAAAGTTCCGTGCGACATCTAGTTTAACTATATTTATATCTTGACACAGTTGTTATTATTTTTTAATCAATAATGTTATACTATAAGTAATAGAAAATGTATTTTAAGTATGAAATTGCTTTTTATAACAATTATTTGAGCTTCATAAAGGTAAAGAAAAAGGTCCTCACTTGTGATTGTAAATCGGAATGATTATTAGAAATTCACCATTACTTTACTAATATTATAAATGCGTGTATAGATGAATGGATAGATGTTTCTAGATGAAATTTAACAGATATATAAGAGTCTAGAAGAACACATAGTCTACTAATTAAGTTTGTTTTTAATACCGCTCGAACGGAGTCGCGGGATTAAGCTAGTATTATAGTCAATACGGGAAAGTGTGACCGACCTTTATATTACGAAAACTAATTGAGATTATGATATAATTAACATCTATTGTCTTGAGAAAATAAATAATTGATTCACATTTATTACTACAGACTAGACTTGTCACGCAACTTTTCAACTATCATTATTTTACGAGAAAAATCTTAGTGAACTAACTATATTAAAACTAATTTTCATGTAGTAAATTATTCCATGTGCTCGGCTTACAATTAGTGCAGTCGCGCGGCTAATCGCATAGTGAAAAAGGGGTCTAAATCAAAAGAGGTAAATGCACTCCGGTTATTAATTTCTGCAAACTGTATCCACATTAAGTTATTTGCGCAGACGGTTTAATATTTATTGTTCCAAAAATTTGAATAAAATCAACGTCAAACATAAAGCTAGTAATAATATTTTAAAAAAAATCAACCTACTTAGTAAAGGTCAATAAAGAAAAGTATAATTTTAAATATTTTTTTATTTATTTGTAGAAAAAACCTATATTAACCCCAAGTGCTATTAATTACAAATTAAAAATACATGAATTGAAAATAATTATACTGACATTTCGTAGCATTTTTGCTACAGTGAAAATTTGCTATTACATAACATCAGGCTTTTGACGTTTCTTCATCATTTAAGAAAGACAAAAGAATTCAATATCAGTAAGTTGATGAAACAACTATATTTACAAATACAAGGCAACATAAATTAGACTTAATAAGAGACATAGTTGACTATAATAATAGGACTATTATTACAATGTAAAAGCTGTTATAATTATTATATATAATTATTTATGTCATGTAAACTGTAATTAATAACGTTTGGGTATATAGATAAAGATTGTCACGCTGTATTTATGTAGTTACACTTATTTATATAAAGAATAATAAATGCCCCAATTTATATCGTAGTCGTATAAGTCGGGGTAACTAACTTGGTCAGACCAGAGATCAACAGTTTAGTGCCAAAAACCCTATGCAAACTACCAATTATAAACTTCGTGAAATGTTATATGAAAAGAGAAAAATATTATATTACAATTTAAATCTTGAAATTGACAATCTTAGCAAATACCTTGTTAATTATATTGTTTAATGTAATCGACTAGAGTTAGTCGCGATTAGCGTTGCTAAGCGTCCGGATATAGTCAGATATTGGTAGGGTTTTGGATTGCGTGTCCGGCCAAAATAAACAGTGACCAGGTTGTCCGGCTTTTGTTAGTCTTTTTATATTTTATAAATGAGTGTCGTACCTATTACTACTGAGATAAAATACCTAATAATATAGGGTGTCCGGCTTTTCTACTCAAATGTCCGGCCTGGCAACCATATCGTGATCAACCTATTGGCCACCCCATATCTAATTTTTTACATGTTATAGCTATAAATATATTTATAGGCGTATTCGTACTGATATTTCAATCCAAAGTATTGTGACGTCGTACAATGATGTATAACTTTCACGCGAATACTATATTTCGAATGACTCATTATTTTCATTCATATAAAGGAAATACGTAAAATACACGTGCAATGTTCGTTTACACATTACCTTAATACAATTATTATTATTCAACAGGACCGGGAAGATGCAAAAGAAAAAAGAGGAAGACCCAAAGACCAATAGACAGATGTCATAGCAAAAATAGCGGGAAAAGCTTGTATGAGAACAGCTGTAGACAGGGACAATTAGAAAAACATGGCGGACGTCTATACTCTGCAGGGGACATGACAGTTCTTTTTTTTTTACACAACTAATTATTTATGACAATTACTGTTTTATGTCATGTTAAATACAAGACTTATTATTATTGTAATTAGTCAATTGACTACTTGTTTATTTTCTCTAAAACGGTCTTTAAATTCATCTTTCATTTTGTTAATCAATTTCTTCATGGCGGATCATAAAATTATTTGTACGAATTTTAATTAAAAAGAAAATAAGATTATTAAATTAGAGTAACCGGTTGTAAATGTATTGTCAGACATACAAACATCGTATCAATTGTGTGAATTATTCAGGTATCAAACACGATACTTGAATACACAATATCAATTGAAAAAAAAAAACAACTCACACCCATTTTGTGTTCAGTGCGCTCGCGTTTCTATACGGAGACGGACGCGTCTTGTTCTTTCTTCAAGGTCAAGGTTAGTTCTCTTATAAAATTATTTTGCATTTATGTTTATTTAAATTTATTTTATAAATAATTTATGATAATTGTTTTTATTTTACTGTTTTTTATATATGTAAATACATCTTTTCAAGTAATAATCGCAGTTCAAAATCCATTTACTTTACGATTAGATAATATGTTTATCGGGAGGATACTCGTATTAGCAACAGAGTAAAAACAACTTTAATTCTTAAGTTATTAAGTTTGTAATGCATTATTCAGAAACTACTGGAGCGTAGCTAAAAATTTTTTTCACCGTTACTATGGGTACCCACTACCATCAACATAATAGTGATATCTTAGCCGTTTATAATTTGTTAGGAGAAATCTCCTGAACGGATGTATGGATCTCACTAAAAGACATAGATGTAGAACATAGCCTGGAAGAACATATAGGTTACATTTTTTTTAATTCCACGCGGGTGGATGACAGTTCGATTGTCATGATTTTAATTCGTAAATTGTAACATGCCTAGTCAAATGATAATAAAAAATAAATTAACGGTGTTCCCATTGGGTGACATTATGCAAATATAAGATAGTGTTTTGTTTTTATTATTAACTTACGATGTTCGAATTAATTAAGCGCCAATGTAATTTACTAGCAATGTAATTTGAAAGCAAAATTGCCGAATCGTTAATGACGTTTTTGAAGGTCAACAATATACTGTTAAAATCCAAAAATAAATTTAGCAATTTAAAAAACTTATAACTTGTCAGATTTGAATTCGTTTTTATTCGACTGTTTTTCATGTGTACGTAAATTTGTTTTTATGTTCGTGGGTTTGTGCATATTTAGGGTTGCCAGGCGTAAAGCGTCGGTTGCCCATGGGTCAAGCACTTGACTTGTGATCTACAGGTCCTGGGTTTGAATCCCGTCATGTACCAATTTGTTTTTCGATTTCCAATTTACATATGTACGTTTATCCGACGTTCTTAGGGTGAAGGAAAACATCGTTATGCAACCTGCACATATCTGAGAAGAAATTCAAAGATATGTGTGAAATCAACCAACCCGCACTTGGCCAGTGTGGTTGACTATGGCCTAATTACCCCTAACTTAGGGTGAACTCCGAGCCCCTCGGTGGGGACGAATAGTGAGTTGATGATGAGGTTGCCAGGTCATCAAACCTACCTATGTCCGCCTTTGTAGGGACTCCTGGCAACTCAGACCACAATCTTGCCTTATAATAGTGTAAATCGACTCTAACGCGTCATTATTTATGTATTTAAGTAATCACGCGTCGAATTATTACCAAAATTTATTGCATCTCATTGCCTTGCTTAGTCACTAAATTCTACACCAAGTCATCGATCCTCATTGCTAAAATTATGCAAGTCATTGAACATAAATCTTTTATATGTTACGTTACATAAAATAATATGTTACGTTACATAAAATAATATGTTACATTGCATAAAATCTGTGTTATCTACAATGTCATGGCTTTTTTAATAATGGCCAGAATTATCTTTATTTATTTACTTTAATCATTACGAGCGATAGCGCGCGACTCCTTCCGAGCAGAATTAAAAAAAAAGCTCTGACAACCTATGTGTTCTTTAACTTCGTTACATCAAATTTAACAAAGATCCGTTGAGTTGCCGATGATACCTTCTAACAAACATACAACCATATAAACTTCGTATTTATAATATTAGTATGATTTCATTCGTATAAGATAGCAATAGCAATTATTCCAATACAAATAAATGGCAAGTGCCTTTTGAAACTTACCTTCTACTTTGGTTATACAAATGACTGTCTCTTAAATAAATTGGGGTCAGACTAATATTGATGCCATTATCTAATTTAGAAATATTGTCGCTAGATGGCGCGATTACTATTCGTGCTGCTATTAGTGGTGCTGGGCGCGCCAGTATACTTCCTATTCTTCAAGAGCCCTCCCTCGGCACCAGAGATCGATCTTGACGAATGGTGGGGACCTGACCAGCTCAAGACGAAGCAGGACACCAGCATTAAACCGTTTAAAATCAAGTTCGATGAAACTGTAAGTGACACAAAAACTTACAAGAATCTAAAAGCCTAAAGAATGCTTTCTCTCTTTCACACACAGATTTGTTGATAAAGACAGATAATTAATTACCCAGTTCTTTAACATTTAAGGAAAATATTTCTCTTCCAAATCTTTTCTCATAAAGCAAGGATAGGAAGGAAAGTGGATTTGATGAAAGAGGGGCTGCATAGGAAATTGGAATATTCTCTTTCTGTGCGTCCCCTCATCCATCGATTAAAGGTAGGCAACGCATATGCATTTTCGAATGACAATTGGCACCGGTCGCTTCGCTATTTCGGCGAATCAAGTGCTCCGCTCGCTCCTTATGATGCAAAAAAGAAGAAAATGATTTTTTTATAATTCACATTTATTTATTTTAGATGATAAAAGATCTAAAAGACCGTTTGAAGTCACATCGGCCGTACATCCCGCCGCTAGAGGGCGTTGGATTCGAGTACGGGTTCAACAGCAAGCAGATGAACAGCTGGGTCAAGTACTGGGCCGAGGAATACCCCTTCGCTGCACGCGAGCAACTTTTCAACAAATACCCGCAATTCAAGACCAATATCCAAGGTCTGGATATTCATTTCATCAGAGTCAAGCCTGAGGTATGTGTCTTATGGTACAAGTTAGTTCTACATAGAGTTTCGACCTACTTAATATAATCTGTTTCGTTCCAACTTAAACTTTCCAAGTTCCTGACAGTTTATTTTATCTGTCTACTTCTGTCTCATTAGTTCGAATCTTCACATCGTCATCGTGAACTTAATGATCGACAAGGGATGGATAAAAATTGATGCTTTGCGACGAAGATCTTTGTTCGACAATAGAAAAACAAATAAAGACAACTTTATCAATAAATATTTGTAATGTGTAATTTAGGTGCCAGCTGGAGTCCAAACAGTTCCCTTATTACTGCTGCACGGCTGGCCGGGTTCAGTGCGAGAGTTTGATGCTGCCATTCCCCTGCTCACAGCTGTCAGCAAGGACAGGGACTTTGCCCTCGAACTCATCGTGCCAAGCTTGCCAGGATATGGATTCTCTTCTGTATGTTTATCTTTTTTAAAAAATCTTGACAAATACAGTCTTTCTAGTCTAATGGTTTGATTTGGGTTTCTTTTTTGAGTACCAAGTAATGTAGCGTTGTTTTTACTTGCAACAAAATAATTTAAGTTATTATAATAACTTAGAAATTATTAGTATAATCTCCCATGTATAGTCATTTTCAGATATCTCGGAGGCTCTAAACTTCTTGCGAGTTGGTGTAGGCACTGCGACATGTCCTTGAGCCGCCAAGATATTTGAAATTATAAAACTTTATGTGAATTTAGTAAGACAATTATTATACTTATAGCCGGCAGTACGTCCTGGTCTCGGGGCTGACAAGATGGCGGTTGTATTCAGGAATCTGATGCACCGACTTGGCTTCAAGAAGTTCTACGTTCAGGGAGGAGACTGGGGAGGAATCATCACTGGCAACATGGCTACTCTATTCCCTCAGGTATGAACATCATTAATCGCTATAAGCTAATTAAGTAATAACTTAGGACAGAAGTTCCAACTTGGTATTACATGGATCTCACAACTTTAGTAGAAAAATTATGTTGCGAGATTTACCTTTTGGGGTCAAGTTTATCTTGTCAATCAACATATAGTTTTTTTATTCCTTCTAGGATATTCTCGGCTATCACTCAAATATCGTGTTCTCGATGACTCCAAGGACCACGCTGATCCAAATCCTAGGATCTATCTACCCGCCTCTAGTCGTGAGCTCTGATTTGGCAGATCGCATGTATCCATTGACGCAGAAATTCTCTAATCTTGTAGAAGAAATGGGTTACTTACACATTCAGTCGACTAAACCCGACACTGTTGGTATGTCTTTTTAAGTTTTTTGTTCATTTCTGATGGATTAGGTTGAAAAAAAAACAATAAGACTTATCGTTGGTTTCCGAGACCAAAATCTCTGTATGAAACAGAGATAACAATATGTTTTAAACAAGGATTCTGGTCTCGGAAACCCACGATTAATGACACAAATGATTTGGTAATGTCTTTTATGTATGTAAATTAAATTTTGTAGACCTAGAGCTCTAATGTGATTCGCCTTGCAATACCCACAGGTGTAGCCCTCACTGATTCTCCATCTGGTCTTCTGGCTTACATCCTGGAGAAGTTCTCCACCTGGACGAAGCCGGAGTACAAACTCCTGGCTGACGGTGGCCTTTACTCCAAGTTCACGAAGGAACAACTAATAGACAATCTGATGATGTACTGGGCGACCAACTCTATAACTACGTCTATGAGATTATACTCGGAGACTTTCAACAAGAGATATACTGGATTGAAACTTGATGAGTAAATTTACCTTTTTTTTTAATCTGTATCTCTCTCTTTCTTAATATCTTTCTCTCTATCTCTCTCTCATGAGCATGGTCTAGGTTATCTTGAACCCTGTCTAATATGGTTAATCAAACTAATCTGAGGTTAATTTACAGTGGATATTTATTCTAAATATTTTTTTATTTATTTATACACTGTTTAAAATGAAACACTATATTTTAAGTGAAGCCTTTTACAATACATTAGTGAAAACTGCATATGAATGTGTAAAGCCGTTCCTAAGATTAGCGACCACAAACATACAGACAAAACTATAAATTCTAGAAAAAAAAAATAGTTTAGAATTCTTTATAATTAAAAAATATATTATAGGGGGGCTACAACCGTTATACTCTTAAATTATGCATAGAAATCGACAAATTATATTAGGATGGGTGGATTTTTACATAGTCTGCAAGAACGCATAGTATGTTTTTTTATTCCGCGCGTCAGAAGTCGCAGGCATTTTAAAACTTAAATCTTCCACAGGGTCCCCACACCAGTACCAACTTGGTTGCTCCAAGCTAAGAACGAGATATCTTACCTACCAGGTTGGATTGTGAAATCCAAATACGTAAATCTCATAAATGAGACCATCGTGAATGATGGAGGTCATTTCTTCGCTATGGAGATGCCAAAATTCTTCGCAGAAGACGTCCTCAAAGCTATCGGCGAGTTCAGAAAATGGCACAAACAGAATAATATTAAGACTGAACTGTAAATTTCTTGTTACTTTTTGATAATAAAAAAATTTTCGTTGTTATTTTGATTTGAATTCAGATTATTATTATTATTTGACCTTCAGATTATAACCTCACTTTACTTTATTTTATAAAGATAATAAATTGAGACAAAGTACGATTTATTATCCTACTGTTAGGAAGAAAATCCGAAACTATGCCGGTGTATCGACACAACACTAGTCCTATTAACGTATCAACGTTTATGTCCCCTCACTAATCAATCTGACACTTGACTTTATAACAAAAGCGCGGTATTCGCGCCAAATGATTCTAACTAATAATGTCTAAAACTACGAACTAACTTATTAACTACTAAGCGTCAATAGCCTAATAGTTAAGGGTACGGATTTCCGATCACTAGGTCGAGGGTTCGAATGCCATTCGACTATTGTAAACCATATCCTAACACAAGCATAGAGCTTAGTTGGAATGGTAAAAGAAATATTAGTAAATTTAGAAAAAAATCTGCTAATATTTAAAAAAAAACTACTAATTGCTCTATAAAAGTCGTTGCATACATTTCCTAAATATAAATTAAATGTAACACATTAAATATATTAACAAGTACCAGGATATTATCAGCTCACTGTATGTCCCCACTGGGGAGCTCGGAGCGTACCATAAGTGACCACTGGGACAATGCTGACCCAGTACGGGTTGACTTCACACATATCTTATGATACGATGTTTTCCTTCACTATAAGAACATAGGATAGTACATATATAAATCGAAAAACATTGGTACATGGAACGAACCAAGGACCTGCAGATTGCGAGTCAAATGCTCTCTATAGCAACGAACGCATTTAAGTACGCGGATATAGCTAAAAATAATTATCACGATTTTCGATTCGATTTTCGATTTTGACGTCCCGGAGGCCAAAATTAGTCCTCTTTCCCTTCCCACCCTTTTTCTTATAAGGAAAGGATGGGAAGTGGAAGTGGACTTTCCGGATGAGAGGATGCATGGAAAGGGAAAATATTTTCTTTCTGTGCATCCTCTCCTCCGTCGATTAAAGGTAGGCAACGCATATGCAATTGCGTATGTCTATGGGCAACGGTCGCTTCGCTATTTCAGCGATTTCAGGTGACCGCTCGCTCGTTTGCTACCTTATGATATAAAAAAAAACACATAATCTTATCATGATAAATAACAATCAATGTTTGTATAAATACAGTACATAGAAATACTAAAACGGGACAGATATCGATATAAACTTTGCAATCATTTTTTTGTCATCGAACAGAGATTTTAACTTAAAAAAATATAAAAAATTAAAACAATTGTTTTTTAAATAAATTAAGCTTTTTTTGACATTTTGATATCTACTTTAAGAATACTAAGCGATTACCTTAGCGATCGTTTAACGATTGATTTTATCACAACAACGGTCGCCGGTTTCTGTTAGTATATTCAAAAAAAAAACTGGCTACCTAACTATGGTGTAATCGCGTTAGAGATACGTAGACGATGATTTGACATAAATGAGAATGAATCGAGTCTTTCATATTTGTATCAAATATAATTTACGTATGAATGTTTAGATGGATGTTTGTTTGAAGATATCTCCATAATGGCTGCACGGATTTTGCTGAAATTTGGCATAAATGTAGAACATAGTCTTGAAGAACACATAGGCTACTTATTAAGTTATTGTTTTCATTCCGCGAGGACGGAGTCGCAGGCGACAGATGGTATTAATTAAACATAAAATATAAGAATAGGAATAAAATGACCTTCAAGTGAAATTCTTTATCTGAAAGTAAGGTTTGCAAAAAAATATTCGAAATAATAAAATTTAATTATTTATTTCTACAATTAAAACAATATCACACACACTCCGCTGGTGCAGCGACCCAAAGTGGGTCTTGGCCTCCGACACGAGATTGCCAAAGTCGCCTGTCTTGCGCCTTCCTCTGCCAGTCGACACATCGATACATAGTCTACTTTTTAATGTAACGTATTGGTATATAGCCAAAAGCATTTGAACAGAGGCTTCCGCGTCGTTAAACGCCGTTCATCGATGATGATGATTATTCTGATAACGATGAAGTCAGTGGAGTTGAAGAGAAAAAGAAGAAATTTTGTAATTTTTTTTAATTTAATAAAAATTTTTTTGCTAACCCTACTTCGAAAGAAGCTATGACGTCACAAAATGGTCGAAATTCATTCCTATTATCAATTTTATCGCACTATAGCGACCTAATTCAAACACAATTGTTAAGTTCACTGCATTTCAAGGTCACAATGACGAACGCTAACTGTTGATAGGTACATTATTACTAAATGTGTTTAGTCATTCGATATTGTGTGATAAAAAATAATATACAAATATAAACGAAGAATATGTGAGGTAACAAATATTTATCAATTCCGCGTTGAACATTGAACAGATTGAAGTCAGTACGATTAGAAATTTGTTAGAAGGCGCGCGTATGTTTGCTGATCTGTGAGTAATTTGAAATAAACAACTTAACTAACCTAACCTAACAGTAAATTTTAATTTTATATCATTAAATCGTTTAATTTATTTTAATTATTTGCATTATAATTAAATTAATAAAAAATAAATCTACTAAAAGTATTATCATTATTGTCAAGTAATGATTATTAGAAATAATGATAATTTTTAAGATTAATTTGAAAACGTTGTTGTTGAAGTCAATTATATTAATTTATATTCTATTCTATCATTTAATAATCTAAATTCTACTAAAATAAACAATCACCAAGAATAAGTAAAGCTACAATCATTAATTTTTTTATTATTTTAATGATTAACATGTTTCATTTCATTAAAATTAATTTAAAACTACGAAACACAAAGATATAAAAATAAAATCTTTATTTATATAAAACTAGCTGTTGCCCTCGATTCCGTCAGCGCGGAACTAAAAAAAAATCTTAATCATTAGTCTATTTGTTCTTCTAGACTATGTTCTATATTTGTGCCAAATTTCATCAAGATCCGTTGAGCCGTTGCTGAGATACCTTCAAACAAACATCCATCCATTCTCATTTATATCCATCCATCCATTAAGATTATGATTTTGTTTCAACAGTTGAAGATGTCAAAGCTATTAACAATAATAGCAGCGGTCGTCGCGATAGTCATAGCATGGAGTCTTCTAAGCCCCAGTCCGAAGCCACCAGTATTCGACCCAGAGGAATGGTGGGGCCCTATGGAGCTGAAAGGCAAACAGGATACCAGCATACGACCGTTTACTATTAAATTTGACGATGCAGTAAGCAACATTGATTATATAAATAAATAAATCGATTATTAAGGCAAGAAAGTTATGGATAAAATACAAAGTAATAGTGCGCCTGGTTCCTAAACTAGGTTCTAGACCTGTATTATAGAAGCCAGGACTCTTACATCTTCGTGCTATAGTTTAAGTAAGAGATTATTATAAAATTGCTTGCCTTACTTAAGAATTAAAAAGAAAACAATTTACAATTAAAAAAGCTTAATTATATGTATGTGGGTGTGTGTTTATGTAAGAAAATGGATGGATTTAAAAGATTCTACACAATATAATAAACCCTTACTAACTATAAGTCTTCCCAGGATATTACGAGTCTATTGTGCAATATTGGTTCATCCAATTGAGAGGTCACAATAGACAGAGGAATTCGGTTTGTTCAAATTTAATACGTATACTTATGTAACTGTTGGTTGATGAACCAAAGCGTCTTGACACAAACTGGAAACGAGAATGCTATGTTCCTCCACATGCGTTTTGGTAGAAGAAACAAATGGTTGTTTAGTAGACCTGTAAATATTTGATGATTGATTAACTCTTTCAGATGATCAAAGACCTAAAGCAACGCTTAAAGGCACACCGTCCATTAACACCGCCTCTGGAAGGCATCGCTTTTGAATACGGATTCAATACCAAAGAATTAGAAGGCTACTTGAAGTACTGGGCGGAGGAGTATCCTTTCAAAGAGAGGGAAAAGGTTCTAAATCAGTTCCCACAATTCAAGACGAATATCCAAGGTCTTGACATTCACTTTTTAAGGGTCACGCCAAAGGTAAGATAAAGAATATAATAACAACCTCTATAGTAACAAATAGTGAACTTAGCAAAGAACGTTATATTTTGTACCTATTTAAATTTCCCCACTTTTGACCCGACAGCAGCTGTGAAGTTCCACGGGAAACTGGAACGGAAAGAGAAAGCATTTTTTTTAAATAGGTGGTATAAAGTCCCAGTCTTTGGAAGGTTTTGGGCTCAACAACACCACACAACGTTTAGAATCGTACCACACAAACGACTCGATCGCTATCGAGTGCTGTCAAACAAAGACTATAGCCAATACACTACTGGATTAATTAATAATAATAAACATATGTTCTTCCAGGTACCCGCTGGTGTAACGGTCGTTCCATTATTGATTCTCCACGGCTGGCCAGGATCTGTCAGAGAGTTCTATGAAGTTATTCCCTTGTTGACGAAACAAAGACCAGGATATGACTTTGTGTTTGAAGTTATTGCACCCAGTATGCCAGGTTTTGGATTTTCTGATGTAAGTTAATTAAAATATAATTTATATTGATCAGTGCCCCTATATAGATTACTTCATATCTTTTGATACATATATGACGACATTGATAACGACGACATATTCAGAGTTTCAGTAAGAGCGTCGGTAGCTCAGGAGTCAAGAACTGGAATTGCAATCTGCAGGTCCTGGGTTCGAATCCCGCCATGTACCAATGTGCCTTTCGATTTCCGATTGCATATGTACATTTATCCGACATTCTTACGGTGAGAAGAAATTCAAAGATATGTGTGAAGTCAACCCGCACTTGGCCAGCGTGGTTGACTATGGATTAGTCACCCCTAACTTAGGGTAGGCTCCAAGTCCCTCAGTGGGGACTTATAGTGAGCTGATGATGATATCTTCTAATTCGTTGGTACCAATACCTTAGTGATAAACAACGTGTGAAATCTGACATTTGTTTAATTATAATTCAAGGGAGCTACCCGTCCAGGAGTAGCACTTGCGCAGATGGCAGTTATTTACAGAAACCTAATGCAAAGACTTGGCTTCAAGAAGTTTTACATCCAGGGCGGGAACTGGGGATCGGGCATCGCAGCTGCTATGGATACTTTGTACCCTGAAGCAGTACTCGGTCATCACGATAATGGTGTCTTCATTCAAGTAAGATTTATTACAAGAATAAACAACAACTGAACTCTGTAACTTAAAAACGGTATGTAATTGCAGCACTCAGGAAACGTTAAGTCGCCTTTACTGTAATTTTATGGCCTAACTATGGACTAAATGGCCAGCAAAATCGCGCTTAATATGGTATTAGGGAAATAACACAACAAAGGTTAACAGTCCTACAAAACTCAAAAACTTCAAACGTTTAATCTTAGTAAGTAATGTATGTCGTCTAAACCAATGTTCGCTTTTTAATCGTGTTATTTTGTCTTTTAGTCAGGCGCTGCAACGCGTAAGATGATCCTTGGAGCATTCTTCCCATCGCTGGTCGTGGAGCCACATTTAGCTGATCGCATGTATCCCTTGTCCTGGCTGTTCTCATATGCTTTGGAGGAATTCGGTTACTTACATCTTCATGCGACTAAACCTGACTCTATCGGTATGTAATACTTGAATTATTTAACACTGTGCCCCCTTACAACCACTTTTTCGCGCTTAAAAGTATCCTATGTCCTTTCCCACATGACATTATATGACTCTAGACTATCGGTGTATCAAATTTCATTTAAATCGGTTCGTGAAAGTCGGAGATACAGACAGAGTTACAGAGTAAGGATTTCTTTGTCTATCAAGCCAATGATTTTACTTTACGAAAAAAACTACAACTTTTAAATGTGTTATATATCGCAATATAAAAATAAATCCAGGTCCAAATCTTAAATGAACTATACAATCCCCACCTAAAAATTCAAACTCTCCTTGAATATGTAACTAGGACTTCAAATATGTCGGCCTTGTACTTTTTGGTTGTTCATGTAAAACTTTAAATTGCTTCTCGGATATGTGCAGTTTTTTCTCCCGACGTTTTCATTTACTTTAAGATTTTATTTCAACAGGAGTTAGTTTATCTGACTCACCATCTGGTCTGGCTGCTTATATCCTGGAGAAGTTCTCGACATGGACTAATCGCGCTCATCGTTCTCTCCCCGACGGAGGACTTAAGAAGTTCAGCAAAGAACAGCTCTTCGATAATATAATGATCTATTGGACTTCTAATTCTATTAATACTGCTATCAGAATCTACGCGAATGTTCTCAGCAAGAAGTATATGGAATTAGATTTGGATTCGTAAGTTCGGCAAACAATATCTTAGTTGTTTATCCATGAGTTTATTTAATAGTGGTTGAGCCCGCTTTAACATCTTCGCACGAATTGGCCCGGCTCGCCCGGTGAAATACCACGACCACACAGCATAAAACATCTGCCCAAACGAATTTTCATATTCTGTGGTAAACCAAATGCGTTCCAGTGTTTCGTAAGTAACTCTTTTTTATATCATAAGGTGGGAAACGAGAGAGCGGCCACCTGAAATCGCTGAAATAGCGAAGTGACCGTAGCCCATAAGACATACACAATTGCATATGCGTTGCCTACCTTTAATCGATGGAGGAGAGGATGCACAGAAAGAAAATATTTTCCCCTTCCATGCATCGTTTCATCCGGAAAGTCCACTTCCACTTCCCATCCTTTTCTTATGAGAAAGAGGGTGGGAAGGGAAAGAGGACTAAATTAGGCCTCCGGGACGCAAAGTAATAATCGTTTTCTTTCAGCTACCCAACAAAAGTACCGCTATGGGTGATGCAAGCGAAGCACGAATTATTCTACATGCCTCCCAGCATAATAGAAACAAAGTTCACCAATGTTTTGAACTACACAGTATTGGACTATGGAGGTCACTTCATCGCCTTGGAACTACCTCATGTATTGGCTGATGATCTCTTCAAAGCTGTTAAAGCATTCAGAAATTGGCATAAAGTAAACAAAACAGAACTGTAACATTATTTAATTTTTAAATGAATATTTTTTTCTTTATTCGTTCAGTCATTTCTTATTAACCTTTATACAATTCATCATCATCAGCTCACTATACGTCCCCACCGAGGGGCTCGGAGCCTACCCTAAAAGTTAAGGGTGATTAGGCCATAATCAACCATGCTGGCCAAGTGCGGGTTGGTTGACTTCACACATATCTTTGACTTTCTTCTCAGATATGTGCAGGTTGCATCACGATGTTTTCCTTCACCGTAAGAACGTCGGATAAATGTACATATGCAAATCGGAAATCGAAAAACACGTTGGTACATGGCGGGATTCGAACCCAGGACCTGCACATTGCAAGTCAAATACTTGACCACTAAGCCACCGACGCTCTTATACAATTGAATAACAATAATACTTACATTATAATCGGTTATGAATTAAAAAAATATATTATGTTCCAAATTCAAATAATTTAAATAGCATTCCATACAATTTAAAATGATTTTAACGTAATTATTAATTCACTGGATGAAGAGTCACTGCACATACAGTCACTGTCAAAGAAGATTAAAATAAAATTTAAAAAAAAATTAAAAACATTACCTAATAAATCTACTATACAGAAAAGCTGACGCAAATAGGATGGAAATTTAAAAGCATTTTGTATTAAAAAAAAAATTACAAACAGTATTTTTATTATCATATTTATTAATGATCATTTAGTTGGATAAATGCATTCATACGCGACGCACGTATGTACTACACTGTTATATTACATCGTGTTAATCGACAACTTCTATGTAAGTATTATTTATACTAATTATTTGATACTCCAAATACCTATAATTTATTTTATTTAAAACGCGTTTTCTTATATTAATTAATTGAATTTTTCTGTAATATTTATAAGAACACATATATTAAATGTACAAAAATCTATTGCTAATAGAAACCGAATTCATCATCATCAGCTCACTATATGTCCCCACCGAGGGGCTCGGAGCCTACCCTAAGTTAAAGGTGACTAGGCCATAGTCAACCACGCTGGCCAAGTCCGGGTTGGTTGACTTTACATATATCTTTGAATTTCTTCTCGGATATGTGCAGCATCACGATGTTTTCCTTCACCGTAAGAACGTCGGATCAATGTACATATGTAAATCGAAAATCACATTGGTACATGGCGGGATTCGAACCCAGGACTTGCAGATTACAAGTCAAGTGCTGAAACCACTGAGCCACCGACGCTCGAAACCGAATCAGTTCAAAATAAATTAATCCGTGGCCCAAGGTCAATTCCAAGCAATTCAATTAGTTTATTTCATAATTCATAAACGCGGCCTTCAAAAACACGGAGTTAAAGTAAAAAGATAATTTTCTCGTTTCGTATGATAAGTTTAGTCCTTAAGAAAAATTATCAACATTTCCGAATAATCCCTCTGAATCAGAGTGACAATGACGAAGCTGCTCACCTTGGCAGCAGTTGCCATGCTGGGAGGCATAGCGTGGTGGCTGTACAACCCAAACCCTCATCCGCCAATGCTCGATCCTGAGGAGTGGTGGGGCCCTGTGGAGCTGAAGGGGAAACAGGATACCAGTATACGACCGTTTACAATAACATTTGATGAAATTGTAAGTTTTATGATACCTCTTATTAAGTTATAATACAAATAACTTAAACTTGATTTTTGTTAACTTTGTTAATCACACGAGGTTTTTCAAGTTAATTCAAGTCACAAGCTATCACCCGTGATTCCGTACGCGCGGAATTAAAAACTTAATAAGTAGCCCATGCTCTACCTCTATGCCAAATTTCAGCAGGTTCCGTGCAGCCGTTCTGGAGATACCTTCAAACAAACATCCATCCATCTAAACATTTGCATTTATAATATAAGTAAGATTGTTTATTAAGAAATTCTTGTTAATATTTTACCTTATCAGTTTGTTTTAAAGTATGAAAAAAAAAACACAAAACAGTTTTTTTTGTGTCCCCGATAAGCCGAAAGATACAAACTTATATTATAGAACACGTCGATAAATTGCAAATATTCAAAGTGCTGATAACTATTGCACAGGCGCTCCAACTCTAAATCGCTTTGAGACTATTTCTGCAAACGAATTACGCATACAAACTTAGTTTTCGTGTAAGCTACACATGAAAAAAGTTGGAATAAAAGCTATTAATGGGATGAAAAAGTATAGCAAGATTTTTTAATAATTAGACTGAGATGAGAACTGATCCTGAAATAGAACTGAAATTAGTACTTAGTTACATCAGATTTGTATGTGGCGTGTGGTGGCGGCACCGACTAGTTTTGTATCCATCGGGTGCCCTTCATCAGGGTGAATGGGACTGATACGGACGCGACCCGTTGTTCACTGCGCGCCTGTGCTCTTATGGCGCGCCTTGACGGGACGAGGTGCGCGGCGTGCTCCGGTGTCGTCGACAAGGTTGATACTAATGCGTCACTGGATCCAAATAATACCAGTCCTACTTACCTTGATGAAGTCCCTTCCATGAGTTCAAAACTAGTCTGTGCCCTCACCGGACGAATATACGTGAGTGTTTTAGCTTTTGTTTCAAAATGTTTATGTTTTAAAGTCTGAATGATTTGTAAGTTAATATTTTATGAAATACAGATGATCGAAGATCTCAGAAAACGAATCAAGAGTCATCGTACACTGACGCCGCCTTTAGAAGGCATCGCTTTTCAATACGGCTTCAACACTAATGAATTGGAAGGCTATTTGAAGTACTGGGCAGAGGAATATCCGTTCAAAGAGAGGGAGAAGATGTTAAATCAGTTCCCACAATTCAAGACAAACATTCAAGGTCTCGATATTCATTTCATCCGAGTCAAGCCGAAGGTAAGTGTAGTTCTAGAACTAGTTTAATTATTTCAATCATCATCATCAACGAAATCCACTACTAAACGATAAAGGGACAAGGGAAAGTTAAGTTATTAAGGGAAACAGTGGTAGAGCCCGCTTTAACATCTTCGCACGAATTGGCCCGGCTCGCCCAGTGAAATACCACGACCACACAGAAGGCAGGCGTGAAGTGGAAGTAATTCCGCGTTTCGTCTGATGAGTGTGCGTCCCGGAGGCCTAGTTTAGTCCTCTTTCCGTTCCCTCCTTTTTCTTATAAGAAAAGGATGGGAAGTGGAAGTGGACTTTCCGGATGAGAAGATACATGGAAAGGGAAAAAAAATGATATTTTTTTTCTGTGCATCCTCTCCTCCGTCGATTAAAGGTAGGCAACGCATATGCAATTGCGTATGTCTATGGGCAACGGTCACTTCGCTATATCAGCGATTTCAGGTGGCCGCTCGCTCTTTTGCTACCTTATGATATAAAAAAAAAGTTACAGTCACATGTCGCGTTTAAAACAGATTTAACTTTTGTTTCATACTTGTACAAGTATTTAAAACATACTATTTACTATAAGATTATAAATTAATTCGACCGATAAAAATGACGTCATCTAGCTTTTTAACAAAATACTTTGTTTAGGTTCCAGCAGGAGTTAAAGTCTTACCATTGTTAATTCTCCACGGTTGGCCGGGTTCTTTGAGAGAGTTCTATGAAATCATTCCCTTGTTAACTCAGCAAAGGTCTGATTATGACTTCGTGTTTGAGATCATTGCGCCCAGTATGCCTGGATTCGGATTCTCTGATGTAAGTTACAATATATCTTCATATTTACTATAACATTTGAATGATAAATTGACGATATTATTATTTAACTATTTAACGTCAAATCTCATTTCTCCGTCTCGTATCGTTTAATTGTTGATAAGCCTGATAGAGTCTTGTGATGTTCATTTTTTAATTTGTTTAATTGTAGTCATACTTTTCTTCATGTACTTTACAGAGAGCAGTCCGTCCTGGACTAGGCCCGGCAGAGATGGCGGTCATGTATAGACAACTGATGCATAGATTGGGCTTCAAGAAGTACTACATACAAGCCGGGAATTGGGGCTCCGTGATATCTGCGGCTATGAGTACCTTCTACCCTCAAGATGTATTGGGACATCATAGCAATGGAGTTTTTGTTCAGGTTATTTAGCTATGATTATAAACGTACTTCGGATGAACAAAACAAGTTTTACTTTTTTACACAAAAGCTAGGAACGCGCCTATTTAATAAACTAATAGTAGTCGAAGTTGATTATTCTGATCACTTAAAAGCAAATACACGTTCTTCTCTTACATATGTTTCTTGCACAAATAAAAGTAACTTTATAAATATTTGCGTCTTTACAGACATCAGGGTCGATGCTCAAGACAATTCTAGGCGGATTCTTCCCCTCTTTTATCGTGGAATCTCATCTGGCCGATCGCTTGTATCCCCTATCCTGGCTGTTCTCTTATTCTTTAGAAGAGTATGGATACTGTCATCTTTTGGCCACGAAACCAGATACTATTGGTAAGAAACTCCTGACATACATAGATATGCTTAAAAACAATATAATTACTTTAGCTTATTCCCATTACTTCGCATGGGTAGCAAACAACCTGCTAATTGTTGTACTTATTGTTCGATTTGTCATCAGGTATAGGTCTCTCCGACTCTCCAGCTGGTCTGGCCGCCTTTATCATGGAGAAGTTCTCCACGTGGACTGACCGTAGTCATCGTTCTCTACCTGACGGTGGCTTAACATCATTCACTAAGGAACAACTGATTGACAATCTGATGTTCTACTGGGCTTCCAACTCCATAAACAGTGCGATTAGGATCTACGCTAACGCTTTTAGCAACAAGAATTTAGCCATGGATTTGGATAAGTATGTTTTTAGCCAACTTCAGCTATATATTAAAGTAAACCTTTCAAAAATCAAAGTAGAAGAAAATTACGAAGTAAAATTTCTGTCAGCAAACAGTTGTAGACTTAGAATTTCTCTTGCGAATTTATAACTAGTCAAGTTTTTTTCTTACTTTTCTTCTTTATTGAAGTTGTAGATAACTATTATTTTTTCAGTTATCCAACCGCAGTACCGACATGGGTGATGCAAGCTAAGCACGAATTATTCTACCAACCGCCTAGCATCATAAAATCCAAGTTCACTAATGTATTGAATTACACCGTTTTAGATTACGGTGGTCACTTCATAGCATTTGAAATGCCTCGAGTACTGGCTGATGATGTCTTCAAAGCTGTGAAGGCTTTTATCAATTGGCGTAAAATTAATGACAAAGAAATGTAATTGAATATAAAAATATAATCTGTTGTGTTTATGATTAATAAAAATTTTTGAATTTAGAATTTTAGGTAATTAAAGTATGAAATGAAACACAATTTTGGTTTATTTAAATTATATTAAATCGATTGAATACGTTTTAATAAAATAATACATTATTTTTGTAACATATTGTATTTTTTCAAATGTGTATTTGACAAGATAAAAAGTGAGAGATAAATCTACAAAAAACACTACGACTTTGACTAAAATATAAAAAAAAAAAATAATGACAACACAAAATAAAATTAAAAGAATAATATAACAAATAACATATTTAATTATTAACTTAATTATTAAGAGTTAAAATATATTTTAAACTTATTTAGCATAGAGATCAAAATGTGTTAACGTAACGATTACGTTTATTTATCTTTGCCATCTTTATCTTTAAGTCTACCGTTCCCATTTTTAGTGTCATCGTTACCCTGGGCTGGTGCAATCATTAAGAGATTATTTCCATTTCGTTCAGCAGCCAAATTCCTAAATGGGACATTCTGTCTCCATTTAGAAGGAAAATAATACTGAGTCCTCAAAATCTTTACATGATCTTTCCCAAAATAATAATCTTTGTTAAAACCAACACTTCTATGGATATTTCTACGAAGATTCTCTTCGTTTTCATCACCATATTTCCCAAAATCTCCATCGATCTTCGGTCTTTTGTCATCATCAAAGTAAGGTCTTTTGAGACGTAGAAATCTAGATTGTGGACTCAAAGGAGACTCGCATTTTACCGCAAGATCGGAGTCTTCCTTATTGATGAGTAGACCGTGATTCTTCTGCCAATCTAGTACTTCGCAGAGAAGACCGATATATCTGAAAGAAAATATCAATTAGAACTTAAAATTCTTCAATCTTTTTAGCTCCGCTTTTTATGCGTATCTTATGTTATAGGGAAACATCAATCCTAATAAGCCTCAATAGCCTAATGGTTGAGGGTACGGATTTCCGATCACAAGGTCGGGGGTTCGAATCCCGCCATTCGACTATTCTAAACCATATCGTAGCACAAGCCTAGAGCTTAGTTGGAATTGTAAAAGAAATATTACTAAATTAAAAAAAACTGCTAAAATTTGTATTAAAAAAAATTGCAGGCATTAAATTTGTGTTTCGTGTGCTAAGTTAAAAAAAACTGTCTCCTTAAGCTTCCATATATTTACATTGATGATTACAAATTGTAGTAATTCTAAATCACCTTATCGCCATCCTAAGTATCTCATTCTTGGATAACTTCTTGTCCGGTGGATGTGTTGGCACCAATCTTCTTAGTTCAGCGAAGGCACCGCTTACGTTCTGCTGTCGCCAGCGCTCACGGCAATTCGTGAACAGCTTGCGAGGAGGTCGCAATAAGCAGTTCAGTTGTGGTAAGTCTTCCGATAGACTCTAAAAATTTGAACATCGTACAAACTTTGACTTCAAAAGCGTATTGTTTTCAATTATTTATGTCAAACTAGCTGTCGCCCGCGACTCAGTCTGCGCTGAATTGAAAAAAACAATTAGTAACCTATGTGTTCTTCCAGACTATGTTCTATGTATGTCAAATTTCATCGAGATCTGTTCAGCCGTTCTGGACAAAATTTCAAACAAACATCCATCCATCCATTCAAATATTCGCATTTATAATATTAGTAAGATTGTAAATTCATTTGGAAATCGGCAGAGCCCCGCAACTGGCTTGCATGCGCAAAAAAAGAGGCGTAATAATTACATATCTCACTAGCTGTCACCCGCGACTCCGTCCGCGTGAAATTAAAAAACTATTGGTTGCAGCGTAATGTTATATAGCCCAAAGCCTTCCTCTATAAATGGACCATACAACAAAAAAAGATTTTTACAAATCAGACCAGCAGTTCCTGAGATTAGCGCGTTTAAACAAACAAACTCTTCCGCTTTATAATAGTATAGATTATATTACAAAACATCATCACAGCTTCGCAACTCATTATCTCCTAGTAATATCATCACCAACCTGAACACTCCTCGTCTGTCGATCATCATCACTATCCTGCAAATACAAATCATCACTTAACATTTCACTATCAGGCTCTTCATCAGAGGATTCCTGGTCTGATGCCATCGCTGATGGGATACCTGTTAGGAAAGAAATAAGTATCGGTTACTATAGCGTAGTATAGTCTACTAAACATACGTATTTACTAATATTTTCGCTAATTTTCTAGTACTGATCTTTATGCTGTTTTAGTGAGAAGTCCATTATAATAAACTAGTATAAAAACGGCTAAAATACTCACGTATATTCGTTTGGTGGTGGCACCGACTAGTTTCGAGCCTATCGTAGGCCCTTCATCAGTGAGCGACGGGCCGCGTCCGCTAAATAATACCAGTCCCACTCACCCTGATGAAGGCCCCCCCGATAAGCTCGAAACTAGTCAATGCCGCCACCGGACGAATATACGTGAGTGTTTTAGTCATTTTTATAAGTTTATTATAATGTAATAATAATAATAATAATAATAAAGTTTTATGTGTTAAATGTCACACGAAAGTTTGAATAATTTAGTTTTACCGCAAATTAGTTAGCGAAAACATAATTACTTCCTGAACCTAGCTTGAGGCAATTTTGCAGGTATACGTATGGTCATACCATTGTGAACTTAAAATTGATTTTAATGTATACAAGGTGTTAGAATTGTATTCTTCTCTGAAATACATTCGAGTTCAATAAGCTTAACCAAGCCGTATTGGGCCATCGTGGTTGACTATGGCCTAGTCACTAACTAAGGGTAGGTGAGCACCTCAGTGGGGGCGTATAATACGGTAACAGTGGTAGAGCCCGCTTTAACATCTTCGCACGAATTGTCCCGGCTCGCCCGGTGAAATACCACGACCACACAGAAGACAGGCGTGAAGTGGCAGCTATTCCGCGTTTCATCTAATGAGTGTGCGTCCCGGAGGCCTAATTTAGTCCTCTTTCTTTTCCCATCGTTTTTCTTATAAGGAAACGATGAGAAGTGAAAGTGGACGTTCCGGATGAGAGTATGCATGGAAAGGGAAAATATTTTCACTCTGTGCATCCTCTCCTCCGATTAAAGGTAGGCAACGCATATGCAATTGCGTATGTCTATGGGCAACGGTCACTTCGCTTTCAGCGATTTCAGGTGGCCGCTCGCTCGTTTGCCACATTATAATATAAAAAAGGTGATAAAGCTTGCTTGCTTTTTTCTCTCGGAGATGTTTGTAATAAGAGGTATTATAGAGTAAAAATAATTCATAACACAAGCAGCCGGGTCCAAACATAGTGACATCCGGTGATAGTGACATCCGCAGTTACCAACAATAAACGTTTCGTAATATTATAGTTTTAATGTATTATTTATAAATGTTATATATCCTTTTATCGTATTGCACAGACTCTTTGTGTAATTTTAGCCTTTTACGTTACTTAGAGAAATTTTTCTCCCAACAAATAATCGGAGTTTACTCATGTTAAGAGTTTTCGTGGCTATCTTTAGCCTGAAGGAGTTTAATTTTTAATACAAGATCATGGGTCATATACATTAGTTTCCTTAATTAAGTGTTATTTAACATAAAGAAATTTAAATCAGGTACCTAAGTAGTATTTTTTACATCAGTATGGTTCAAAATTTTCGTTCAAATTTGTTTCGAAGGAAAAGCGCATATCTCTAAATTTTATTTTTTTTTGCAAGTTTATTTTGCTTTATTGTTTATATACAATTTCGATATTTATATTTTTGTTATTTAATACTCACAATTCCCAGACAATTTATCACTCACGGTTGGCATAAACACTAATTAAAAAACTTTTAACATAAACACAATGGCACTGTAAAAATAAATTCCACAACTAAGAGATGTTGTTCCTCTGACGTATGAAATGCGACTGAGGGGATAATATGAAAAAATATTTGAATTTCGAAAAGGGGGTTGGGAAATCAGTTTCTGATTGGTGGACAGATTCAGTACAAACGACCAATAGCTGTGTTGCTGTGGGTGTGGTTTTAATGTTATTACGCGATATATTCACATTCAATCGGACAATAGCTTTATCTTTTATTACCAGCTATAAATTTACTGATTTTAACTTTAAATATGGCCATACATATCACATACTAATGTTCGATTTTATTTGATTTTTAAAGTAATAAAAAATCGTTTTAAAATACCTCTGAGGAATATGGATCTTACTAAAATTTGACGAAAATGTAAAACACAGTCTGGAAAAACATATTGGCTACTAAATAAGTTTTTTAAAATTCCACAAGAACGGACTCGCGAGCGACAGCTTGTTAGTAACAAAATAACCAGTCGATTGATAAAAAATGTCTGTAACCAGTAAATCTACCATTTATACTGTGTGCTTTTTAATTAACTTAATTAAAAACTCCTTACTGTTTCAAACCTTTGCCAAAACCAAACAATATTTGAGAAAATCAGTCTGTGCAGAATAATCGCCACGTGAATAATTAAATGAATGTATAATATTATATTAAACAATATTGATCGGCAATACACGTGTTACAAAATGGCGCCACGTTTGATGTGTGTTTAATCTGTCACGACTGTCACGATCTTTCATGGAGAAAGTGTTGTAATCTAACTGCAAACTCATAGTCTTTAAGTTCATTAGTATATGTTTACGGGGTATCTTTCTCATCCGAAGTCTGAATTAAGGAGACCAGTTTGAGTACCACAATAACCGTTGGTGTCTGAGACTATAATCTTACTAATATAATAAATGCGAATGTTTCAATGGATAGGTGAATTGATGTTTGTTTGAAGGTATCTGCAGAATGGCTGAACCGACTGAACGGATCTCGATTAAATTTGGCATATGTACAGAATATAGTCTGGTAGAACACATATCCTACTAAGTTTTTTTTTAATGCCAGGCGTACGGAGTCGCGGGCGACCTATTGTCTTTTATAAAACATATAGTCATCGTCAATATGTTTGACAAAACAGAGATAACTGTATATTTAGAACGGGGATTTTGGTCTCAAATATACACAGTTAGTCTTTCATGATTATTTTAATAGTAAATCAGTAAGAAACTATAAATATTCCTTTCAGTTTATGGTAATATATGTTGTTTTCATTTCCGGTATCCAAAATGCTTGAGTATTGCAGAATTATCAATTGATACGGTTGCTCTATTGACTTTGTATATAAACAGATGCTAGATTTGATGTCGGACACTTGGATTCCTGACTAGTATAGTGAGCATACATCTCTTGCAGATGGTTATTTTACGTTATTATTACAATTATACTGCAGTATGGTGAGTACAGAGTAGTTTAAAGTCAAAGTATTGCTCTAGTATCGGCAGTAGATTATATATAATTAATATTTTTTTTTTTTTTAGGGACTTTTGTTCTATTGAACATGTCAGTCCCATAATCAACAAACAGATAATCAATCAACTTAGGAGCTAATTACAAGAATACAGTAAACTATACAAGCAAGAATAATTATTCTTAAGGCTTACTAGATTTTAAGCTCTTACCAACTTAAACGTACCATTCCTTAGGGTTCAAATTCTTCAGATTTGCATGATACGTTCGAGCTAGGGATTTGATATTGTCTTCAAGTCAGTGTGATGTAAGACAAGCCATTGTTGTTGTCCACTAATTATCAAGGGTGTTAGTGATAGAATTACTTTATCAGTATCATAAATGGTCGACAAAAAATGTCATTAACAAAAGTCTATTTACACCATTCAAAGAATTAAGACACTATGGATGTTATTTAAACATGATAGTGATTAACCCTTGATCTGTTGTTCCTGTTAATTGATAAACATGAGACAGGACGCTTTGTTAATTAGTAAATAGCTTCAAATGTCCTGATAATACAGCATTTTAAATAGTCATATTCATATAAATATATTAATTTCTCACTCATTTCCTTTCATCTATTCATTATATCTACTACACTTGGTATAAGAAACCTATAGCGTTGAAGTAACTATTAAATGACCTTAAATAATTGTATAAAGAACTAAAACCAGCATCAACATCAACCTTTGTCTGCCCACAGCGTGACGTAGGCCTTACCCCAGCCATCCTGAGTATGCGGTCCTCCGAATACCGTTTGCAACCAAAACATTCATAACCTAAATTATTCATAAGCCTAGATATTATAATCCCTATATAATTAATTAAATCCCCTTTCATTTAAATTGCCATCTTTTATAGATGTTATATACTTTTATTTTTCTTATCTTAATCGTTAATACAAACTAGAGAGTTGGCGGAAAATCTTTTGTTATAACGTACACGTGTAATTATGACAAAAAAAAATCGCCGAGCTATTTATATATTTACAATATAAATGTGCGTAAAGCGATAAAGCCGCCAGTGTCGGAACAATCGCTGCGGAAGACGCGCGTCGATTTAAAATCGCGATAAAATAAAAGTTTATAAATCGTGAAAATAAAAGTTACGACATTTCGCATCGGGACCGTTCCTTATGTCATAATTTGTGATCGTTTTTCGTAATCTGTGTTATTTGCTGGAACTAATTTTAGGACAAGAATGTTTTGTTGTGTATTTTGAATTTCAAATTAATCCGAAGGAAGATCATTGTGTGAATCAAGAATAGGTATTTTTGCGTATAAAATTATTTACGTTAACGTTTTATTAAAGAATAAGTTTTATTTAAAATCAAATGATTTCGTATTTGTTATATTTTTTTTAAACTTTATCGTAAAAGTCAATGACATACAAGCTTACAATAAATGTATTAAAAATATATGAAAAATTACTTCAAAGCTGCGATTACTTCCAATAATATATTCAATAGGTCAATGAACTTAACCTCAAAAATTTGAGCTGTCTAAAAATTCACTAAAACACGGTCACAAAGTCAGTAAACTCTATCTTGATAAATATCTGTTGAACGTCTGATGATCAGGGTTCGATCCTTGTATCTTTGCCTCTCTTAGGAATAGTTTTTACTTATAGCAATTTGTGTTCGAAAATTAAACCAATTTTTGATAATTTCGCGCCAATAACCTTGTTTTTTTTAATATGTTAATATCATAAACATACCTTAGTAATTGTTAGAATACGTTTTATAATTAGCTTAATTTTCAAAATAATTTATATTATTTTAAATTGTATTTAATAAAAATATTTTTGATTATAACAGTTGTAAAAAAACTTATTATTACATTAAATTATCAAATATTTTTTTATCAAAACATAAAATATCGTAGGCATGAATTGTCTTGACCTTATGACGCCGACAATTAACCTAGAGATTATAGAAAAAAAATCTAATGCCAGTTTAAAATATTTAACAATTTTTTTTTAAATCGTAACATTATTTTGTAATATAGGTTAGGTACTTTAATACGAACACACATCATGCTGTCCTTTTCCCTCGGTAATGTCAGAACAGTAGTATATCTATTAGCCTTCTCTCTCACACAATCAACGATCGATCGGAGAAAATATCAAACCTTTCCTTATTACCATAAAGACCCAAAGAAATCGAATACATCCGAAGAGCTGGCAACCCTAATCTAAACTCGTGTGACCATATCCAAGTCACGTGATCGTCTGCATTTGTTTGTAGACAAACAAACCGTCAGACATACATTGTAAATAATGATATCTATATGAACTCAAACATGGCGCGACCCTTGCGACCCTTAGCGTGATTACACCGTGCTTATACGTCATTTCACAAAGATTCTTAGACCTTTCCCACACGAGCCAACTCTTCTCTAACTCTTCAAAAACCTAGCGATTTCAGTCGTCAAACGACTAACGAAATACCAAGTCCTAAAGGTTCATACATCGGGCATCCCAAAACCAATTCGTTCGCAACCTATTTGTCAAAAATGTGAGAAATGGCGCGCAAATTTTCAAGATGGCGGAGCGAAATACAGTTGACGTGTAGTCGCTATGCGTAACATGGAATAGACGACTCGCGTTGACGATCTAACGTTGTATGTACCGAACGCGATTCACGCGACGCAACCATAGTTAAATTACAGGGCCTTAGTAATAAATTCATGTATTTTATGAGATCAAAATAAATAACTAATAAAGAAAAACTTAAACCAGATTTTTGAAGCTGGCTCGGCAATTTATAACATCTTTCTTCCTATTGTTATTAAAAAATGTGTATAATAATTTTACATTTGTTACGAAAGTGTAAAGACTAAAAAACAGTTAAAAAGGTAAACAAGTACCAGTGCAGAGACGTATTTAAAAAATTAATTAGCTATAGACATCGGAATAATTCTATATGTGATTAAAATTAAACAAACTGTGAAATAAAGACTTTGTTGTATGTAATAAATATGATATAAAAATCATGGATCCTCAAGAATTAGTACCATTGGAAGGTAAGTTATTAATTCACCACTGTATTCATAGTTTTAGCCATTATTAGTTAAAATCATTTGGCGCGAATACCGCGCTTTCGTTATAAAGTCATGTGTCAGATTGATTAGTGAGGGGACATAAACGTTTATACGTTAATAAGACTAGTGTTGTGTCGATACACCGGCATAGTTTCGGATTTTCTTGCGATATAGAATGTATCATACTAGCAGTTGTCCGCGACTTTGTCCTCGTTTTCACCTAAAAATAATGTAGGTTCCCAACAGTGAAAGAATTTTTCAAATTCCGTTCAGTAGTTTAGGAGCTTATTCAGTACTAACAAATCTTTCCTTTTTATAATATTGGTATAGGAAGCTGATTCATTTCCTAACTCGATATAGCATTAAAATATAAATTGGTCCTAACAGATATAAGGACATTTCAAAATCGCGCAATATTTGTGTTCAAATTCTGAGTTGTTAATTGGATTATTAAAAAACGCGGACGTATAAAAGCCGATCTCCTTGAAAAAACTTCTAAGTAAATCTGATATCTTAATAATATTATAAATGCGAATGTTTAGATGGATGGATGTTTAAAGGTATCTCCAGGACGGTTGCATGGATCTCAAATTTGGAACAAATACATAGCCTGAAAGAACTCATAGACTCCTAAAACAGTTTTTTTTGTAATTCGGTGCAGACGAAGTTGCGGGCGACAGCTACATAAAACCTACATAAAGATATATTTTGATGTGAAAAGTGTCAAAATTGGTATCAACGTAATTCGGATTGCATTGTTAAGCCGCGTTTCCACTACGATTCGGACGGACGACAATGGATAGAAGACCCACTATTTCCGTCCATCTGATTTTAATTCATTCAAGACATTTGATTAATCATCGTTTACTTTTACAGCGGGCCTTGCGAACCGTCCACGTCCGACACGTCAGTTCAGCCAGCTAAAGTCTCGGGCCTGCTACCAGGGCCCCATAAGACTATGCAGACTATTACTTTTGATGATAGTATTGCCTTGTATGTTTATCTTCATACCTTTGTATATGAGGTAAGTCAATATTACGACTAATTCGATGGCTCATAAATAGGGTCGTTCGTATAATAATATTCAAACTTTATCTATGCTCATGGCAGGTGGGACGTTGTAGTTGTAATTGTAATTTCGAGCCGCCGTAAAGTATGAATTGTACTATACAACCTTAAATTTGTCATATAAATCGAAGTTTCAGTGTTAATTAAAGCTAAAACTAATGGAATGAACGCAATGACCAAATGTTAAATGAAAGAATATCCTATACAAATATTACGGGAAATAATAGCAAATTACATCTTGAGTCTTACGTAACTCCAGAACGGCTGCATCTCACTGATATTTGTCATAGATGTAGAACATAGTCTGGAAGAACACATAAGCTAAGTTTTTTAACTCCGAGTCACGGGCGACCGCTACTGTATGAACAATATTGAAGGAACAAAAAGAACTGTCATTATCCTCTTGACAACTGAATATTGTTCCTTATCATATCATATTAAAACTTCAATTCGCTGATTGCTTAGGCTTTAGATATCAAGATAAACTTTAATCTTATAAAACAATGATACAAAGAAGTTTCATTTGTATTAAGTAGTCAATTTATGTCTCTTTTTGATGTCAGAAACTCTGGAATAAAATTCCTATTGCTAATAAAAAAATCAAGTAAAGGAATAATTAGTTAAAAAACTTTAATAATGAATTTATCATAAAATAAATTCAAGCTTGGTACTTTCACGCGTTCCGACGAAAATGGGTCTTGATAGACAGATGAACGGACAACAAAGTGATCCTATAAAGGTTCCGTTTCTTTCCTATGAGGTACGATACCCTAAATATTAGATATGATCATTGAAATTCTAGCTGTCGCAAGCGACTCCGTTCTCGCACAGTTAAAAAATTTAATTAGTAGTCTGTGTTCTTCCAGACTATGTTCCACATTTATGCCTTTCAGCGAGATCTATACAGACGTTCTGTAGATACCTTCTAACAAACATCCATCCATCTAAACATTCGCATTTATAATATTAGTAAGATACGCGTATACTTTCGAAATTTACAAATAAATAACAGACTTACGTTGGAAGCAGTTTTTAGAGTTAAAACATTCTGTTGACATATGACAGAATACATGTCTTCTTTGTAACTGTCTGTGTTACAGGTACAAAGTATTCTCCGGTCAAATGTATCCTATGAGCATGACAGACATGCGACTCATTGACAGCAAGATCTCGCCCACATGGTGTCAGGTACGTACGTTCGATTCTCATGAGAAATTCATACCAAAGTAAAAATACTAGAATCATTAATAAAACATTTAACTCTTAACTTCGGTTTCGATTTAATGTACAAATTTGCTTTCTCTTTTTTTCTAAGAGAGTAAGAGATAGCAATGTGCTACAATACAAGAATGCACGGAGGCTTAATTATAATCATATTTCCCCTCCCTGGAAGGGAATTTGACGATGAAGGGGATGTACAAGTAAGGTAAAAAAAATTATTACGTACCCCTCCTCGGTCGATTAAAGGTCATCTACATCGCATGTCTATGACTAGCAATTGCTTCGCTATTTTAGCGAATCCAAGCCGCTTGTTTTTTTTTATATCATAAGGTGGCAAACGAGCGAGTGGCCACCTGAAATCGCTGAAATAGCGAAGTGACCGTTGCCCATAGACATACGCAACTGCATATGCGTTGCCTACCTTTAATCGGCGGAGGAGAGGATGCACAGAAAGAAAATATTTTCCCTTTCCATACATCCTCTCATCCGAAAAGTCGACTTCCACTTCCCAATCTTTCCTTATAAGAAAAAGAGTGGGAAGGGAAAGAGGACTAAATTAGGCCTCCGGGACGCACACTCATCAGACTGTACTTGGAATTGCTTCCACTTGCCGCCTGTCTTCTGTGTGGTCGTGGTATTTTGCCGGGCGAGTCGGGCCAATTCGTGCGAAGATGTTAAAGCGGGCTCTACCACTGTTTGTCTCCTAATGCTATAAAAGAATAGTACACAAAGTTAGTTGATTGATTGGAATGTAACAATGAATCGAGATACAAAATATTAAGTAAAGTATCGATACTATTGGGACGTGATTGTGACGTCATATCTCCAGACTTTAGTAACAATCTATCAATACAGCACTTTCACTATGATAAACTGTCATAATATTACATATTCTTAAAATATATTTATGTAGTTACCGATCGATTGTAAAATCCGGGCGTTTGTAATTTGCTTATGCCATTTGTTAAAATTAACCAAAATGCGTATCGAACAAATAAATTTAAAAATTAACATTTCTACACTTAATAAAATTGACACTACATTAGCTGTCATTTATCTCAATGAGAAAATATTCCTTTACAAATTGTCAAAAGATAAAACCTTACTTTGTAAATTAATTCGTTCGTTGGGAGGGGGGGAAGACTTGTAAAGACTGATATCTAGGGGAGAGACTTGACTATTTCAAACCCCTTGGTGGACCGGGATCTCCAAAAGAAAGCACCGGGACTATGCACAGGACGTTACGACCTAGGGGACTACAATTTATCTAGGCAACTAGCAAATAGGCGACATTCACAATTTGTCGTTGACATGTTTATAGTTAAAAATTCCTTTTCATATGTTTATCATAGCATCAGCATGTAAGTCTGTCTGTCAGTGATAAAGTATACAAGATAAGATATCACATTGCTTCTAATTGTTATGCAAGGACAACTAATAAATATAAACGTAGGATTCCATTGAAGCGAACCTTGTAGAGTCACTGGCTTCAGTGGTTAAGCACTTGACTTGTAGATCCTGGGTTCGAATCCCGCGATCCACCAATGTGTTGTCGATTTTTATATATACATTTATAAAGTTTTTACGGTGAAGGAAAACATAGTGATGCTGCACATATCTGCGAGGAAATTCAAAGATATGTGTGAAGTCAACCCGCACGGGGCCGTGGTTGAGTATAGCCTAGTCAATTCCAACTTAGGGTAGGGTCCGAGCACATCAGTGGGGACGTATAAAGAGCTGATAAACAAAACAAAAAACAACATTTGTTGCACATAGGGTATAGGCTCATCCGGTGAAATTCCACTACACAGTAGGCAGACGTCAAGTGCAAGAAATACCACCGTTCGTCTGATGTGCGTGCCTTAGGCTTTATCCTCGTTCTATTTCCACCATTTTCTTATAAAGAAATGATGAATAGAAAGGGAACTATTCCATTTCTATATCACTTCCTTCGTTGCTTAAAGGTAGACAACGCATCTGCAATTGCGTCTGTCTATAGGCAGCGGCCACTTCACTATTTCTGCTTTTAGCTTTAGCTTACTGTATGTTCTTTTGCCACTTTACAATATAAAAAACGTTGTCTCTGTTTTCTCAAGGATAATGAAAGAGAGGGCAATATTTAATAATTGTAATTATCACTGCAGTGGAGTTCCACGCTTTTATGGAATGTCAAGTGCAGTATGTCTAAATAAATACATCGTTCACGTATTGAATTTGAATAGCCTATTTCTATCATTTATTTATTTATTGTTATAACATAAATCAATAATCGATTTTGGGATACATTTAATCGATATAAAGATCGTAATTGCAATCGATTCTCGAATTACGTACTCCAGTACAATCAATGTTTATTTGGGATCGATTTCAAGGATCGAATATTGATTATGGTCGTTAATGTCGTCACAAAATAGTACTTTGGCAAGTTTCCAAAAATAAATGTGACTACAAAAGATTTTATACGTTTGGTAAACTTTACCAAATGCCTATGATTGCATATCACATGGTCGCCATCAAACCTATAACATATTAAAGTTTGCAGTATTATTTAGCGCCAAGTGGTGAAGTCGAACGCTACGTTCAATGCCTTCGTGGTACCAGGTCCGCCGAGCCTGGCTGATGAACTGGTACCAGTCTCCATGACCCGGGAGTTGGAGCTCGAAGACGATATGAAGGAATACTGGGGTTTCTATCTACTGAAGGGGTCATCGGTTACCGTGTCTACTTGTGTCAGGTACCACACTTAAAGAAAAAAACATCTAGTAATTTTAAAAATTAATAAAAAAAATGGGACCCACTTATACGCAAAATCTTTCGATCAAAAAAAACAAAAGTACGGGAAAAGAAGAGTACGGGAATCGCAAGTCTCTCTCGCAAGTCTCCAGCACACACATTCATCAGACGAAACAAAGAATTACTTTAACTCAAGCATGTCTAAAATTTACTACGAACTCTACCATTACTTATAAGAAAACATGAAACAAGACGAATACAAAAAGAAAAATAAATTCTGTTATTTATTATTTCTAGATGGCCAGGAGCTTCTTTAATTATGATAAAAGGTTACAAGCATCTTAAAGAATGTGCATACATCGGTGATAACTCATCAGAAGAATTAGATGAACTTCTTGAAGCTTACAAACTCGGTCTTCTATCTAATACTACGTTACTGGAAAAGGTGCAGGAATTAAAAAAAGTCGATGGAAAAGCCAACGATCCTGGTAAGTAGTGTTAGGAACAAAATCCGACACTATCCCGATATATCGGCGCAATCCTTATTTAAATATCAACGTTCATATCCCCTCACTAATCAATCTGACACTTGATCTGTAACAAAAGCGCGCCATTCTCTCCAAATGATTTTAACTAATAATGTCTAAAAGCTTGAAAATCTTTACTAATAAATGCGAAGGTAACTCTGTATGTCGCGCTTTAACACCTTAAGAAATTTGGTATACAAATAGTTTAGAGCCCGAGAAAGGACATAGGCTACATTTTAATGCGAAAAAAGAGGTTGTAAAGAGTTGAAAGTGGGGGTGGAAATTTATATCGAAGTAACGTCATTGTTACAGTTAGAAGCTTGAAACTTTTTACGCTGTTAATATGACATGACACAAGTTTGTAATTGTTTTACCTTCAGGGCTGCAAAATAATAATAGGTATTAGGGGATGGAAGTGTGTATAGTTTTAGACACTTATTAATTACAATCCTTTGGCGCGAATGGCGCGCTTTATTGCAAAGTCAAATGTCAGAATGATTAGTGAGGGGACAAAGATGTCGACATTTTAGTAAGGCTAGTGTTGTGCCAATATACCGGTACAGTGTCGGATTTTCTTACTAACAATAGGAACATGTAAGGTTTATTTCAATGTTGTGTTGTAATATTTTATACGTTTAAGTAAAATTATTTGCATAAATAATTAAAACGATAAATAAAGACGATATTTCACGCGAAAAAAATCGCGGGAAAAGCTAATACGTTATAAGTAATATAACAGTTCTGTGTAAATAGTCTTCCTCGATATCAAACATCCATTTTGAAACGAAGTTCCTCAAAGTGTCGAAGCACTTCTGATATCTCAAACAATAGCTGGGCTATCAGAGTTCATTGAACTTTGTTAAGAACACGACAAATAGAACTGATAGGTTTGTTGTGCAAACTGTTTAACAGAAACCCTTACCCTGGTCATACAGAGAAAGAGACAATGGTTAAGAACTAACTATAGATATTTTAATAAATAAAACCATGTTTTACAATTTAGAATTTTAGATTTATCTAAAACTAGCTGTCGCCCGCGACTCCGTCCGCGCAGATATAAAAAAACTTTTTTTCGCAGCGTAATGTTATATAAATAAAAACCTTCCTCTGTAAATAGACTAACAAAAAAATAATTTTTCAAATCGGACCAGTAGTTCCTGAAATTAGCGCGTTTAAACAAACTCTACCGCTTTATAATATTAGTATAGATTATATGAGAGTTGACATTGATTGTTGCTAGATGGCGTTGGGAACAAATTAGATCACGGTATAGTAATATGCATGTCAATTTTTTTAACAAAAGTATGTTTTAAGGTGCTATGAAACGTCACAAAGCCGGTGTAAGCTTCCACGATCCTATGCAACAAGGAAATATGACGTCATCGGATCCTGTACCAAGTGTTGACGTCACTGATCATGATCCCAAAGTATGTATAAAATACAACTAACCGTAGGTTTCTGAAATCAAAATCTCTGTATAAAAGTTATCGTCGTCCGTCTCTTTATTTTTAACAAAACTGAGATATTTTGGGTATCAAAAACCCACTATAAAAGTCAGATTATTTAACCGATTGTGGTAGTTATAAGTACTTATTTTACTGTTGGTTTGAGAGACCAAAATCTCTATATGAAAACATATTGTCTTCCCTGTCATTATCATAAACAAAACAGAGATAACAATATACCTTGAAGTGGGAACTTGATCTCAGAAACCCACGGTTAGTATGACTGTATTATATTATTCTTGATGCGCACATAAACAAGATAGCAATGAGATTGAATGCAGTTACAAATTAGAGGAAGACATGAAAGTATGGATTGTGTGAAAGATTAATTGATTGAGTTGTATAGAGTATATAATCCTACAATTGTATGGAAAATATAAGAAGATTTTATAACAATTTTGTAGGAATTAAGAGAGATTTTGGAGCGACTCCACGCGATACGTCAGGCGGCCAAAGACGAGCAGCTGAAATACTACCGGCCTCCTTCGCATCTGATGTCTCTCACTGAACTTCACAGACACAGAGACACAAATGTTGATAGAGACACAAGACAGTGGCTTTCTTTTAAAGGTAAAGTTCATTAAATTAAATTATCTTACATCCTGTAGCTTGAATATCTGAACTAATATTAACAAATAATTTTAATTAACAATAACTTAATCATCATCATGTCTCTGACTATCCGTTGGTTTCTGAGACATAAATTTCTGTATAAATCATATCGTCGTCCCTGTCATTATCCTTGACAAAACAGAGTTAACAATATGTTTTAAACGGAGATTATGCTCTCGGAAACCTACTTATATTGTTATTTACAAAACTATCGGCGTATCTTAGTGTTGCAACTCGCTAAGTGTCCCGCAAACACATTTTACTTTATTGTCACTTTATTCCATTTCGATAACCTCAAATAATAACTATGTTCCAATTATTTGTCTAAGTCATTAATTGCTTCAATGATAACGGTTACATAAAAGCACTCTTAATGTATGTAATTCAAATTTTGATTAAAAAAATATTGTTATTATTATTATTCCAAGCTTTCATTTAGTTTCGCTTCTCCTGAGGTTTGCCATCAAATCTTGGAAAATTTAAGCTCCTTTCGGTTACTGATTGTTTTAAAAATAACGCTTGTTAAGACATCACTAATGTTAAGGCGCATCACTAAAGTAAATGGCAACACTGGACGTCATACTGTTTTTTAAAATGTCAATGTCAGTTTTCAATAAGTAAATATTTTTTTAAATTTAATTATCTACTCGGACCATTCATCATATAAAACAAATGCGCAAACGCAACACTTTTTATTCATACAAATTTGTTGCTCATTTTAGATATAGATGGCAATAGTAGCAATCAAGATGTTGTTAAAAATAAATCGTTAGAAAAAACACTGGATTCAAACAATACTATAGAAGCTAAGGATACACCAGACGAAATAAAATCTACAACAATAAAATCTGAAATCACTTCAAATATAAACAATACAAATGAAACAACTACGACAGTTGTAACAGAGAAATATGAATCTCCTACAAACGTTAAAATGGATACTGGGAATCCAACAATAGAGGTAAGTTTATAATTTAATAATAAGCATAATTAACTGCACAAGCGAGAAACTTGGGATGAGAGAACCTCCACGAGGAAGAAAAATATTACGTTCACTTTCAATCTCGCTTATTTAAGGCTGTGTAGAATTTAAGTTAGTTATCACGAGTTCGCACAGCAGATTATTTAGTGGAAAATGGCCTTAATTAGAAGAGATTGCATGATAAATATTGGCAACTAAAAAACTACAAAAAAATAGCATGGAATTAAATAATACTATAGTGATATAAAATAATTAGGTTTATTTAAATATAATAAAACCACAACTATTAAACTAGATAATAATGGAATGTATCATCTAGAAAATATTTGTAGATAGATAACAATAGTAAATATTATCAAAAACCATGATAAAAAAGTGAAATTACTAATATTATAAATGCAAATGTTTGGATGGATGGATGTTTGTTCCAAGACAGCTCAATGGATTTCAATGAAAGGCATAGTTGTAGAACATAGTCTGGAAGAACATATAGGCTACTGATAATTTTTAATCATGCGCAAACAGAGCCGCGGGTGACAGCTAGTTATGTTATAAACATTGTTATCTTCTATTACATAAGAATTTAACTATCTCTTATATAAAAGCCCTGGTATATAAAATGACGCATTTCATTGTGACCTTAACGAAATATATAACAATAAAGTTAATTTCACGCAAATTATGATGCGCCAATTAAATGCTAATTCTTTTATATAACATTGTAAATTCCGTATTGTGGAAAGTTTACCTTATCTGATATTTTCTTATCAAATATATCATTGTTAGGTTATATCTTGAAACAAGAATGGTAAAACTAAGGCTTGATAAGCTTGAAGAATGAAGTTGTAACTAATAGTAGCTGTTGCCCTCGACTTTGTTTGCGCGGAATTAAAAAACAAACTTAGTAAGCCTATGTCTTCTTTCAGACTCTTCTACATCTATTCCAAATTACAGCAAGATCCATGCAACTGTCCTAGAGATACCTTCTATTAAACATCCATCCATCCAAACATTTGCATTTATAATGTTAGTAAGAAGTAAGATTATAAATCGAAAGTTTGAATGGATAAATGTTGGAATGTACCTCCGGAACTGATTTTGAGAACATAGTCTGGAAGAACACATTGGCTAGTAATTAAGTTTTGTTTTTATTCAACACGGTAAAGTCGCGGTCAGAAGATAGTATTTTATAAGTGTTTTGACACAATGATAGTAATAATATAGAATGAGCTTCACCTTAAATCAATAAAAAAAATAATCTCATTTTATTTTGATTTATAAAATAGTGCCATCTATGTAATTTTTTTGGAAATAAAATTATTATACACTAGATAGTGCCGTTGTGTGAACATAGATGGGGTTAGTAGTTTGTCCAAAGGATTTAAAGGAATCGTATTTCGTAAAAATCTTACTAATATTATAAATGCGAATGTTTGGATGGATGGATGTTTGTATGAAGGTATCTCTTGAATGGCTTAACAGATCTCGATGAAATTTGGCATTTATGTAGAGCATAGTCTGGAGGAACACATAGGCTACTTATTATGTTTGTATTTAATTCCGCACGGACAGAGTAGCGTGTGACAACTAGTATTAGATTTAACAACCAAATGATAACATTTTACTAAATATTTATCATAGTTTACTGCAAATAATGTTGTATATTCATTCAATTATAAAACACATTCATATCAGCGCTGATTTAATTAATTTTTATAATAATATTTACTTATCCTTAATCATCTCTAATTAAATGTTATATGTAGAAATGGAATTAGTTAATTATTTGCACAGATAAAATTACATCCGAAAGAGTTTGAGCAAACACTACTCTTTAGTAAATCAACTAAATTGACTTGCAGATCAGTTGATTCGCGTGTGAAATCAGTGAACCGGTTCACAGCTCAGCTCAACTGCCTGTGTAGTAAATCCTCTAAGATTTTGAATTGTGAGCTACAAGTCACTGGACAATTACTTACTAATATTATAAATGTGAATGTTTAGATGGATGTTTGAAGGTATCTCCAGAACGACTTAACGGATTTTAATGAGACTTGGCGTACATATAGAATAATAGTCTGGAAGAACACATAGGATACTAATTATGTTTTTTTTAAATTCGGCGCGGACAGTCCTGGGTGACTGCTAGTATATATGTAAATCAGCATAGGGTACCTAGCACGAAAGTTTACGAGAAAGTATTCGTAACGTCATTGACGGAATTTATATTGGATTTGTTGTTTGATTTCGCTTCGTTTCAAACGTTACAAAGTTCCTTAAGATATTTATTTTTATTGTCATAATAATTTTATTTCACAGTTAAATACTTCGGATACAGATGTAAACTCCAAAGAAGTATTTGAAGATGTTCTGAAACAACTTCAAGCATTAGGAGACAGGGGAAAGAAGGTTCTGTACCGACTGCATAAAACAATGGGCGTTGATTATCAAGAAAAGGTAAAATTAATCAATAATCACTTTTACGAAAATACAATTAATACTTTCAAGTTAATCATTTTATTTTAACAACTATTTTTTCTTTCAACTGCCTTCTGTAGTTTGCAGTTCAAAATATAAAGCTTATAAACTTTCTAACCCTAAACCATCATTATCAACCTGCTTGCCCTGCGGAAGGTCGGCACAGTATGTACTCCATACATCTCTATCAGCCGTCATATCTGAATCCCTTCTTGCACTTGCAATCCATACATACTTTCTTTGGTCTTCCTCTACCCTTGTAGCCATCCACATTCAATTTTATTACTTTTTCGCGTATACCATCATCATCCCTCCTCATAACATGTCCAAACAACGCTAATTTTACTCCTCAATTTCTCGATCACTGGCGCTACTTTCAAACTTCCTCTAATATACACATTTTTAACTTTATCCATCTTAGCATACGCATTCCAGCTAAAAATATGAAATATAAAAAAATTCTCTAAAACCATAGACCATTCGTATTTATTCCAGCAAGCACTAAACAGATCTTTAATTATGAGTAAGGTGACAGGAAGTGATGAGGAATTGGATCGTTTGCGGAAAGTGCTGGTTGAGGCTATTGATGAGGAGAAGAACAAAACCCAGAGACAACGTAAGTATGAACTAGCTGTCGCCCGCGATTACGTCCGCGTTCAATTATAAAAAACTTAATTAGTACTATGTGTTCTTTCAGATTATGTTCTATATGTATGTTAAATTCCAGTTAAATTCACGCAGCTGTTCTGGAGATACCTTCTAACAAACATCCATCCAAATATTCGCATTTTTATATTAATAAGATTGCTGAATGCAGATGTAGTGTTAATCAAAATTCTACAATTTCTTTTAAAAATTTTGTTTAACCGCGAGTATACTTAACTAAAACCCCTCATATTTATCGCCCTCGCCCTCTGCCCAATCTTTTGTGCATTCAAGAGGTCCTTCCCACCCTTTTTTTTATTTTACTTCATCATTATCATCATCAGCTCAATATAGATCCTCACTGAGAGGCTTCGAGTCTACTCTAAGTTAGGAGTAACTAAACAAAGGAACTTTAACTTTGAATTAATATAATTCTAGAAAGAAGACGCGACACAAGAGAAGAAGCGAGAGCTAGAAGGGATCTGATGCTGGCTCAGATCGAGCTGAAGAAGGAACTGAACGAGGACGACGAGGCGAGGAACACCGCACAGGAAGATGTAGACGAGGTAAACCTTTGAAGACTTTCTTAACTGTTATGTAAAAAAATTAATAAACTCTTTTATGTCAAATTTACAAACATCGAATTTCATATTTATTTACAGCCTAAAAAATAAATTTGACGCTTCTATTTGTAAATGATGATATTTTCATACAAATTTTCATCCCCATTTTCAACCCCTTACAACCCCTTTGTAGCGTTAAAAAGTAGTATATGTCCTTCCCCAAGCTCTCCACTATCTGTGTATCAAATTTCATTTTAATGGGTCAGTAGTTTTTGCGTGAAGGAAGGACATACAGACAGACAGATATACAGTCGCATTTATATTATTAGTAAGGATTAAAAAAAACTTTTCATGTGTTATCATCAGGGTCTGTCTCCGGACGGTTACGCTGAAGATCACAGCCAAGTGAACGAGACGACAGCATTCGACATGTCCAACTCGGAGTTCTGGTCCTCCTTCTCCAGCAGCGAGGAGGCTCTGCTGGAGTGCGAGGGTCTGCTGCTGAATCTGCCGCTCACCCCGCACCCCGCCTGCACCTCCAACCAGCACCATCCTGATGCTGCTACACCCAACGCACTCACATACCGGTCTGTAACACAATCGACGTCATTTTTATGTAAATACTAGCTGTCGCCCGCGACTCCGTCCGCGTCGATATATAAATAACATCACATCCATTTAAACATTCGCTTTTATAATATTAGTAGAAAAAAATGAATAAATAGTATCCTATGTCCGTCTCCTAGCTCTAAGCTACCTCTATACCAATTTTCAGGCATATCGGTGAAGCCGTTCTTGAGTTATAAATAGTGTAACTAACACCACTTTTTTATATATATAGATAGTTACAATTGGAACCACCAATAGCCTAATGGTTAATTCAGTGGGGACGTACAGTGAGCTGATGATGATAAGTTTTCAGGGTGCCAGCGAATGGATACTACTTCTTCGTGTTCAACTCTGAGAACGAGGTGCAGAGGAACTTCATCCGCGCGCAGTTCGACCTGCAGAAGACGAGGTACGAGGTGGCGCGATCAGCTCTGCGCGAGTGCACCAACACCACCACCCGCTGCGACCTCCCACTCGACATCTTCTCCGCACAAAAGGTCCGCTAATCCACCTCTTACTTATATTATAAATCACGATGTTTGGATGGATGGATGGATGTCATAGATGTAGAACATAGTCTGGAAGAATACATAGGATGTTTATTTAGTTTTTTTAATCCCGCGTGGACGGAGTCGCGGACGACAACTAGTCTTACTACTATCTAACTTTTTACTAATATTATAAATGCGAATGTATGGATGGATGTTTGTTTGAAAATATCTCTAAAATGGCTCAATGGATCTTGCTCAAATTTGGCATATATATAGTCTGGAAGAACATATAGACTACTTATTTATTTATTTATTAATTCCGCGCGGGTGAAGTCGCGGGCGACAGCTATACACAATAATAGAGGGCGCTGTAATAAATTTGTTATATTTTCTTTTTATAAGTAAACACTGATCTTTAATACATACTGTTAGGAAGAAAATCCGACACAGTGCCGGTGTACTGGCACAATATCTACGTTTATGTCTCCTCACTTATAATTCTGACACTTGACTTGGTAATTAAAATAAGTAATGTCTTAAATAAGAAATGGACTTTCCGGATGAGAGGATGCATGGAAGGGGAAATATTTTCTTTCTGTGCATCCTCTCCTCCGTCGATTAAAGGTAGGCAACGCATATGCAATTGCGTATGTCTATGGGCAACGGTCACTTCGCTATTTCAGCGATTTCAGGTGGCCGCTCGCTCATTTGCCAACTTATTGTATAAAAATAAGCTGTAATAGTTAACAATAGAAAGTTGTATGTATGTATGTATGTATGTATGTACGCAGGTAGTTCTAGAAGTACCTCTGAGCAAGAACGAGTCTCTGTGGAACGAGCAGTTTGTGATCGTGTCGGAGTGCGAGCCCCGCACTGCTGTCTACCTCCTCTGCGTCCTCGCCGTGCCCGTACTCATACTCATCACTGCCTTCCAGTAGACCACTCATCACCTCGCTCACCTCGCTCTCCTCACTCTCCTCACTTACTCATCACTTCACCGTAACAACATAGGATAAATGTACATATGTAAATCTGAAAACGAAAAACACATTGGTATATGACGGGATTCGAACCCAGGACCTGCAGATTATAAGTCGAGTACTTTAACCACTGAGCCACCGACGCTCGTGATACCCTTTCTTACTAATATTTTAAATGCGAATGTTTAGATGGATTTTTGTTTGAAGATATCTCCAGAAACAATCAACAGATCTAGATGAAATTTGGCATTTATATAGAACATAGACTGAAAAAACACATAGGCTACTAGTTTTTTTTTTTAAATTCCGCACGGACGAAGTCGCGGGCGACAGCTAGTCTTATACATACATTAAATTGGCTTCAAATATGTAAATTGATTTTAGCGCCATCTATCTGTTGATTTAGTTTTACAAATTATTAAAGACGTTTTGTTATTGCTAAAATTCTTAATGTCAGTTATAAAAAATTGAATTAAATCAATTTTGTTATTATATTATACTTTAGTTTTATAAAAACAGTTACATTTAATGCAGGTTTCTGAGTCAAAAATTCTCCGTTTGAAAATTGTTATCTCTGTTTCGTCGAACACAATGACATACATATGTGAGTGTGTCTTAGAAACCAACTATTAGTGATATAAAAAAGACATTGTATTTTCATGGAAATCTTAATTGAATTCTTTTAATTCTTGATTTTTTTTTTAAATCGAATTTATTTTATACCAATCTATATAAAGGGACATACCCATACTACATGACCTTTTTTTTAGTTTTTTCTACCCCTCCCACCCCTCGGTGACCACTCGTAGTACAAGCCAAGACACCCCTTCCCACTTTTAGTTTTTACATAATAATTCATAATTAAGATTTTTAATCATTTCACAAGCGAAAATTGAAAGAAAAATTTGGCTCATACTCTTCTTTATAGCATAAGACATGCATACTTAAATTATTAGTGAATTATGTATTATGAAAAAAACAACCAACGACTACGTGACTAAAATCTGATCCCCCCCCCCCCGCTCCTGTCACTGACTAGTATTTTAAGGACTCCCCCCCTCCCTTAAACTTGTGACGTAGTATGTGTACGTTCCCTTAGTTTAAACATATGAAGGTTATTTTCAAGGTCAAAAGCAAATTGTACCAAATATTTTAACACTAATAGTTTTTTTTTATTATAATTTTAATATTATGTTATATTTAATGTTTTATTGTATTATTAATAATATGAGGCTGTAAATGTGATACTAGTCATAATAAGAGATATTATTATTATTATTAATGTCGAAAATAAAAAAATAATTGTTGTGAAAATTAGTTTTATTTTATAATAAATGCGAATGTTTAGATGTTTGTTAAACAATATCTCCAGAACAGCTGCATGGATTTAGCTGAAAGGCGTACATATAGAACATAGTCTGGAAGAACACATAGCCTATTATTTTTTTTAATTCCGAGCTGAAGGTGTCGAGAACTACAGCTAAATTATTATAAAATTATTCAAAATAAAGTGAGATATAATAATACACTTATATAAATGAGTATTTAGCCATTTTTATATCGGTTTAGCTAAATTACTAACTAAATTACTAACTAACAATAAATAGTAATCAAAAATGAAAATTAGGTTTTGCGATAAACATATCGTAAAAAATATAGCAAAATATTAACATTTCTGAAAACAAATTCGTCGAGGATACGTGAGAAGGAAACCAGAGAGAGATGGTTCATAAAAAACAATTAATTACTTTAATTTTTATAAAATTAGTACAATGAAGGTGTACTGTAACTTCCAGCGAACAAAATCATTTCAGTCTTCGTATCGACGATAAGAAATGCGAACGGACGATCCGCGTTGAATGTTAAAGTTTTTTTATCCGTCACCAAAAATTCTGCAACTGATTTAGCTGTGATACCTTTTTCTATGACCTCTATATCTGCGATCTGTGATATCAAAGAGGCGTAAATACCATAATTACTTATTCCCTTCAAATCTGCAAGATTGGGATAAAAAACTCTTTTCACTCCCATATCATACAACAACTCTGGTAATGTATCAATTTCTGTAATTATTTTAAACCTCGGTAATTTCACATTAACTAACTGTTTTCCATTCTGTTTATACAAATTAAAGATCGTTCTTAATCTTATAGCTTTTAAAGAAAAGAATATATCAAACACTGTACCTTCAATCGGCAATAAAACTAACATAGAAACACGATTATCTGCACTACAAGGAAGTTCTAACACTCTAGCTCTTATTCTTGGTATATCAACTAAATTGTAATATGATATTTGATTCATCATCATCACATCACCGAGATATTCATCATGTTGTGAATAAAACGGCTGTAGAGTAGTATAAACAGTATTGAAAGGAAATATCCAATCACCTCTAAAATATGTCGTGTCCATCATCAGAAGGACTGTGTAGTTAAAATCAGTCGGATAAACTCCCTCAGTGATTACGCCATCCATGTCAGACTCTATAACAGCATTCGTTTCAGCCGCTGCCTGCTCCGGATCACTAAAATCCACTGACAAAACTCTAACTCCATTATGTTTCTCGGATTCCATCTTAAATCGCTTCTTCACCTTCATTATTTTATCTACAACAATTACGCTGCTACGTTTATTTATCAACTTCAATTCTTTATCCGTAATGTTTAAAATGTCTCGAATCTTGCGTCGAAAGCACTTCATCTTGTGATGTCTTGTCACCTTCCATATCTCCGAAAATGTCGTCCCTCTTGCTCCATCTGACAGCAGCATTAATTGTAACCACGTTGACATCGGAGAGAAAACAAAATGACCACCAGTATCATGGGATACTCTGTCCAGAATCTTTATAGAGAACTCGTAAGCCGGTCTTTTCATCAGCATTAACGCAGTTCCATGACTACAGTGGTAATTATTAGTAGCCACAACTAAAAATAGATTTGTTAATATAAAAGTTCTAAGAACCATGTTTACACAGATCTAGTGAACAATTGTAATAAAACGTATTATCATAAATGCATGAATTCAGAACTCAAATAGGTCACAATAAATTGTTTTAAACAATCAGCTTTTAATATCGTTGTTGATAAACCGAGGTCACATATCGCATCCTCTCAGAATGACGTAAGTGTCGTTTCTAGAAATATACCAAAAATCTTGCTAATTTTTAAACTAAACAAAAACTGTATAGTTAAACAAATTTATACATAGTTCATCTTTTTTCCATTTTTAAAGTTCCGTACCTCGAAATCGGAGTGGAACCCTTATTGGATCACTTTGTTCTCCGTCCGTCTGTCTGTCAAGACCCTCTTTCTTAGGAATGAGTGAATGTATCAAGCTGGAATTTATATTAATTACTCACGTCAACAGTCCCTTAGTGCTTTAATAAAACAAATCTGCTAATATTTTTATTAAAAAAAAAGTTCCATTGGAGATCCGTGGGTCCACGCAGTCACATTTGCGGTTGGCCAACGAGATGGTTTTAGTGAGTAAAAATCTTACATAACCCCGTCTTTCCCTCGAAAAGGCGAAGTATATTTTCTTCGAGATAAAAAAAAAATTCGCCGTCTGATACCGAATTCACTGGCCGGCAGTCATAAAGCGACCTGAGACAGATAACTCTAGATAATTTTTTTAAAGTTCAAATAAGAAGAGTCAAATTAAATTTAGTATTTCTTATTTATATTAAGGCAATGCTTGTAATTCCATGCAAAAACTCTCAGTAAGTCTCTTAGCGACGGTGCGTAGTTTCGCAAGTTGTCATGTGTACGAAGGGCTATAGATAACATTTGCAGAAAGATCACAACGCGTGTGTCCACTAAAGAAATACGAGTAAAAAAAAACTTATTTTTATCTCAATATATTTCTAGAATATTAAAGGGATAAGGCTATATTTTTGCATCTGTGCATCGACATTGCAACTTTGCGTTGATAGGAGTAAAATTTTTCAAATTCCCGTTGTTGTTTCCTGTGTATTATGACACATAACCTAAAAAATATGACAGCAGCGAGTAGGTATTTCCGTGTTATCTAAAGGGAAAAATAATTTTGCATAAATAAAGCCAACTATATATTAAAATGGTTCATCAGTCTGTTTGTGTAGCCTCGACAAAAATAAAATAAATATAACGTTTAATTTTACGAACTCTGTTACCTACATCGCATATTTTTCGAATAGAAACAAACCCAAATTAAAAAGGATTTCTTTACTGATATTAAGTAAATAAGTTATCAATAGATGGCGTTAGCAGTATTACTTAATACCTTCTTATGCTTTCAATTTCAAAGTCGGTCTTATGCAGCAAAATTTGCTACGTTTTTTGCCCAAATAAATTTTCAGTTCCGTCGCACAAAGGAACGAAGACTACACGATAACAACTTAAAGTCGTTTGGAAAGTACGAATCCACGATAGTTGTCTTATTTTGATGTCGAATTTAAGCCATCATGACTATATTAGACCACTGTTGGGCATAGGTTTTTGCAATACCTTTTATAGTACTATACGGTTATTAACTGGAGCATTAACTCGAGAAAAAAATAGGTTATGGTGCATGATTGAAGGTTTCTCTTGGAGAAATTTATTCCGGAAAAAACAGTACAGAATTACTTCATATTAATACTGATAAAAAAATAGATAGACGAACCCAGGTTAACAAGTATATTCCTGGAATTCCCAAATAAGTATTGCTGGCTTTATCAGAACGTCGGGTCATTTGATAACCTGTTTACTAAAAGGAGCTACTTTAATATCAGTTGTCTTTACCATTTTGTTGAACTTACACGAAATGGCGATTTTAACTTTAATAATTTGTGCGTTAATACCATCAATATTAGCTCAGTGCACTATCGAGAAAGCTGGACCATTTTTATCAAGGTCTGTATTTGAGTTTTCTACAGAATTAATAAAGAGAATCGCTCAAGAAACTGAAAACCATTTCGTCGCATCAACTCTTTCGCCATGGACATTACTGGCTTATACATCACTAGGAGCTTCGGATAACTCCTACGAGGAATTAGTTAAAATACTAAGATTGCATCGTCACAAATGTTTCATGAATAAATTCTTTGATGTAACAAAAGAGATATATACACCAACAGCGGAAACAAGTCTGGAAGGTGCATCCGCCATATTTGTCGACGAAAATATTCAGGTAAATGATCAATTTCAAAAACAAGTAAGAAGAGCTGGCCTCGGTGATATCAAACAAGTCGCCATAGACAATTACGAATATGTTGCTGCGACCATAAACAATTATGTTAAAACAGCTACAAACGGTGCTATAGATGAATTAGTTGTAGCCAGTGATTTGGAGAATGTTGTTATGATGATTGTCGACGCTCTTCGATTTAAAGGTACATGGGAAATACCTTTTCCAGTAAACGAAACGCAACAGATGCCTTTCTACGATGAAATGTCTAACGAGATAGGTAAAGTAAACCTCATGACTATAACGGACAATTACAATACTAGATTTAACAGTGAAATCAATGCGACCGTTGTTGAATTGCCCTACAGTGATCGTAGATTTTCAATGTTGGTATTCGTTCCGTACTTCGAAGAGAAATTAAACAATGTTATAGATTCATTAAAGAAGATTACCGTGAAATCTTTGTTCAAAGATTTCGAAGATAAAGGTCCTATTGAAGTAAATGTTAGAATGCCACGCTTCAAGATATCATCAGATCATAATAATTTAAAAGAACTCTTAATAGATATGGGATTAAGGTCTATATTTGATCCGAGTCAAGCCTCGTTCCCTAAAATAGCTGATTATCCTCTGTATATATCTAATCTTATTCAAAAAGCTGATATAGAAGTTACAGAAGAAGGTACAATAGCTAGTGCTGCGACTCAAGCACAGTTCTCATTTAAAAGTTTCCCAACAAATGTGGACGCGAACAAACCATTCTTCTTTATGATTGTGGACAAAAAAACATTTATACCAGTTTTCGCTGGTGCTTACTCCAAGCCAAGTGTATACTGATTACCATTTAATACGAAAAAATATATGCTTTTGTTATATTTTAAAACATAGGTAAAACAGTTTGTTATATAAACAGAAATATATATTTTAAAACTTAAAAAATTATTGATTTATTTTAAACATTTATGCGAATTCCTTCAATATTATCTGTGGCACGAATGGGTCGCCTGGGGCAATACCAGGACTACACAGAAGACAGGCGTCAAGTGAAAGCGATTTCGCGTGTCGTCTGATAAAGTGTCCGTGCCGTAGGTGTAATTTTAGTCCCCTTTCTCTTCCCATCCTTTTCTTATAAGCATAAAATAGGAAAGGGAAGTGGATTTGGTTGACTGATTGAATTAAAGGTAGGTAACGCATTTACAATTGCGAATCTATGGGCAGTGGTCGCTTCGCTATTTCGGCGAATTTAGGTAGTCGCACGCTAGAATCTCTAACTTATAATATAAAAAAAACTATAAAAGCCGATAAAATCTGTATCCATATTTTAAAATTAATATTCTTATCGAAATTAACAATGAGCACCCCTTAACACGCTTTGCCAAAAACAATAATATAACTTTACTTTTTTATCCTTTATTATCTGCAGTGAATACACCATTCGTGGTATTAGAGTAGGGCCAGGTAAGGCGACCGCCCTGGGCGCCGGACACAAGGAGGCGCCGCAGGCCCCACAGATATAAAGAGGCGCTTGTGATGCCTCCTGATATATTTTTAAAAGATTTCCCCAATACTAGAAAAAAAGACGCCGTACAAATCTCGCCCAGGGCGCCAAAAATGGTAAAACCGGCACTAAAAAAATTCTGTCTTTCGTAAGGTTGTGTTATTTCACTGACCAAGACGGCCAATGCAGTGATAAATGTTTGCGACAGTTTGTGAGCTATTCATCTGTTACTTTTATAATTACAATATATCAAACAAAATATTAGATGTGTAATTTAAAATGTTTAGTATTTTGTTTATTTATTTAGATTTTCCTAGACTTCTAGTTTTACTTTTATATTTTTTTTTAATAATTCTCACGAGTTGTCAATGTCATGTCATGTTACACTTGTCAGTTGAAGATGACGTTTTAGACGTGACGTGTATTTACAAATCATAAATTATACACATAAAAACAATTAAATCTTTTCTGCACCATGAATAATACACTTAGCATAATATACTTAGCATCTAACAAAAAATCTACAAGACAAAAACACATAGGTTTTATATTTCATGCAGAGAAGAACAAGACATTACTTAGTTCGACACCGAAGTGAATTATTCTTTTCATTTCCTATTTAATATTGATAACGTTAAATTCAAGACAATTCTACTTTGTCATTGAACTGTTCTTGTTTTTCTCTCGTGAGATATATTTGTTCAACTATGGATTTATCTGTCAGTGGAAAAACACTAATTGTAAGACCAAAAAAGTAAGTTGTTTATGCAATATAATACAGATATATAATTTTACCACTCCATTATCTTCAAGAAATTATAACATAATATTTATCACCTAATCATCTGATTCATAGATTTATAGACACTTTTAATGTTATGGTGTATATATAATCTGTTTAATATGAATAAATATATAAATAAAATAAAGAAATTAATCTTCATCTGTTTCAATTTCAAAAAAACAATTTACTAACCTAAAATTCTATTTAATATTCTTAATACATGGGAAACTATAATAAAATTAGGTAAATGTAAATCTTTTTATATATATTATAATCTTCATGGCTCCAGGCTCCTTTGGATGCTGTGCCCTCCAATTACTTTTATGCCCCACTATACCTAAATGTATGTTATACAGTAACTATTCAAATAATATCTTAATTATTAAGATGTAAACTATATTTAAACATTCAGAGATTTTGATTACCGAGAAGTGAATCAAAAACTCAAACTTTGATGGGACAATATTGGGTACAGGTAAAACTAAACAAAACCTTACTTAACTATTACTGTGGTTAATATTTTTTTTTCTAGTTTTTTTGGTTTTAATTTTGAATTAACTTAAAATTTATATTTATGCTAATTTAACACAATAATTGTATATACAGGTTGTTCAGATGTATAATGCTAATTAATTTCAAAACATCCTGTATATCTAGTTCATTATGTATTGTAATATAATCCAATTTCCAAATTAAAAACATCATTGAGATGCAATATAAAAATGTATAGGTACATTTATTTTCTAAGACGGAAATCAATTTGCCAAAGTCCATAAAATAAAATCCAAAAATGTTCTTTTTGTTGAGTTATTGCTAACAATTTTTTGTTTGTGAGAACTATTCATTGTAACATGACTAATTGCCAGAATTTGAACAAAATGCTAATAAAAATGTTCACGTTTTTTATTATTACTTCCTTCTAAGTGATATGATAAAGTGAATAAAAGTGTAGGTGGTGTAGTGGTTAAACAGTAAACTTGTCATCTACAGACTTAGGTTCGATCCCTGCCATGTATTGATGTGTTTTTTCTATTTTTAATGTATTGCCCATATTCTTAAGGTATGGGAAGACATTGTGGTGCAACATATATATAAGAAATTTAAAGATATGTGTGAAGTCAACCAATATGCACCAAGATTACTTGTTCATACATCTAGACATCCCCCTATGTGTTTACATCTATATATATAAAAGAAAGTCGTGTTCGTTACATTATTTATAACTCAAGAATGGCTTTACCTGTATGATTGAAAATTGGTGAGGAGGTAGCTTAGAGCCAGGAGACGGACATAGGATACTATTTATTAATTTTTTTTTCGAATTTATGCCTTGAAGAGCAGCTTTTTATTTAACTTACTAATATTGTAAATGCGAATGTTTAGATGGATGTCATGTTGTTGGATGGGTGGGCTACACTAATTAAGTTTTTTTATATATCCACGCGGACGGAGTCGCTGGCGACAGCTAGTTTAAAATATTAGTAAGATTAGATTTCTTTATTCATAAATAAGTGTTTTTTTTTCAGTGTTAATGCTGAAGTGACACCAAAGTATGTTTTATCAAAGGAACAAATAGATTTTTACAAGAAAAATGGATTTCTAGTTGTCAAAGGTTTAATTAATTTTGAATGTTTGTACACAGTCAAGTGAGTGATTTTATTTTTTTTAATTGTTATTCAAATTAAATAACGTAAAATTTTATTTGGAATATAAAAAAAAAAAATTAAATCAAATGTGAATTAAACAACGACCTGTATGTCTGATTAACTTAAAGGGTGATTTTTTTACTTGTAAGTATTTTTTTATATGTATATAAATTCCATTATGAACTAAACGACTGAACAGATTTTGACAAATGAGATGTCTTTCGACTCGTATTCCACATTTGAGTGTCATAAATCGTGTTTTTCAACAAATTGTAGTTTTTCTTATGTTTTTTTAGGAAACGATTCCTTCAAATAGTAAATGGTTTAGAAGATACAGGCTTCATGACTATTGTGAAGGAACCGGGGTTGGCAGAGAAAGGTGCTAAAGGACAAGATGTCATAAATAAGGTATTTTTAAAATAAAACTAACTTTGACTTTAATCTATGACCACTGACCTCTATACATGGACAGGCTATAAGCCTTTGTATTTTGTGCCTATTTGATCATCGCCATTTTGGCGCTGACTGTTGCAGTTCGTAGGGGTGGAATTTAAAGAAAAATTTTTTGTGCGTCAACATCGCAATTTTTTGTTAATGTCTTATTTCTTCATGTTATAAAGGATAAAATAGGTTATATGAGAGTTCTAGTAAAGTTCTATGAGAACAACCATCGAAAATCGAAAAAATTCTTAATTGATTTTACTTAACCTATATCTAGTGAATTGTCAAACTAATCTATCGTAAATATAATAATAATTAACTGTCAGGAACTATAACAGATGCGCTCAAGTCGGAACAATTTAAAAGCTGCAATTTCTTTGCAATGTCCTATCCATTTATAGAAATCAGTGTCACCTTTATACGCGTACTTTTGACATTGTCAAAAGTGACAGAATTTATATATATAGTATACGCCGTATCTCTAACTAGTCCATTTCTCTATAATCAATGGAAACTAATAATTTTGATTATGAAAATGTTGTTTTTGTATAATTGTTGTTATTAATAATGTAAATAATTAATTGTGTAGTTTTTGATTGTATACGTAAAAAGGGGCGTATTTATCTGACTTAACCTAACTCAGATTTTTTTGAAGATGAATAATAATTACATGATATTATTGCGTATATTATTAATTTATCTAAATAATTACTTATTAATTAATGATTGAATAATTTAATAATTTCGTATTTAAATAATTGAAAATATAATTAATTTTAGACATTATTAGTTGGAATCATTTGACGCGAATGACGTGCTTTCGTTACAAAGTCAACTGTCAGAATGTATAGTGAGGGGACATAAACGTCGACATTTTAGTAAGGCTAGTGTTGTACTTAATATTTATAAGCGAGATTAATATTTAAAATCGACTCTCGCTTATATTTGAAATGTAATTGGTCACAGATCAATGATATTCACTTCGATGAGGAGTTCAGCTCGTATTCCGAGGATCCTCGGCTCCTGGACGTGGTGGGGCAGCTGATAGGAGATAGCATCACTATCGTACACTGTATGTTTATCAACAAGCCCGCCGGCACTGTTCGACATCCGCCACATCAGGTAAGACCAACTGTCTTCCAGGGCAATTTATAAAGCGGTGGAATTAGCGATTTGCAGATGACATTAGCTCACTCGGAATCGGCTCCAACGATTTTCATAAAATTTAGTATATAGGGGTTTCGGGGGCGATGTATCGATCTAGCTAGGAATCATCTTTAGAAAATGTCATTTTGTTCGTGTTGTCCTCATTGAGGGGCTCGGAGTCTACCCTAAGTTAGTGACTAGGCCATAGTCAATGCTTGCCCAGTGCGGTTTGACTTTACACATATCTTTGGATTTCTTAGTGAGCTGATGATCAGATGACATTAGAGGAATGACCAGGTTCTATTATATGTTTACAGCATTGTTTTGTTAAATTTAACTAAGTATTGGAAGATACTAAAATAATATGTTTTACATTTACTGGTTTTTATTGTGGAAGATATCAGCTTATATGTTCCCACTGAAAGGATAGTAGCCTCCCCTAAGGGTGACTCGGTCAACAACACTGACTTAGTGCGGGTTTGTGCGAAAGACGTACAAAAACACACAGCTGACGTTTATAAAAACAAAGAATTCTAATATGTTTTTGTGGTAATTTTTTTCGGCTTAATTTAGTGTTATATTTAATTTTGTCAACCAAAAAAGATCGATGACCTCTGTAGATTGTTATAAACATAAGTATTATAGACAGGATGCACGATCAGCAATTAAGCACTGACGAATTCATCCATTATTGTCAGCAATATTAGTTTACCTTACAGTTCTATTTAAAGTTAGTCAGAATTTAAAACTCGCGGTTTAAGCATATACCGGATTCGGATCCTACGGTTATATTATACCGTCAATAAAAAGTAGTTTAAAGTCTTGCGTCTTTTTTTAAAAGACCGTAAGTGCCGGCCACTTAACATATCGACAATATTTATCAGGACCTATGGTACTTCCCGTTCCGACCAGCGGACAAGATAGTCGCGTCCTGGACGGCGGTGGACCGCGTGCAGCGAGACAACGGCTGCCTGTTCGTGTTGCCGGGATCTCATCTCACACACACGCTTGTGGAACATCACTATCCCACGGTGAGATATATAAATATACATTTTTAGGGTTCCCTACCACGAAATGAAAAAAACGGAACCATTATAGGATCACTTTGTCGCCCGTCTGTCTGTTAAGACCCTTTTTTGAAAAAACTCGTCAAAGTATTAAGCTAGAATTTATTTTACGATATGACAACAGAGCAACTAAAGGAGCTGCAGATACGTTGACGGTTTTTGTGAATAAAGATCTCGCTTCTTGAAGGATCTAAAGTGACAGTCATATATTGTAATACGATATTTTATGCATTATATGATGGATATGGTTATTCAATAGTCCAATAGGAATGGATATATTTTCTTTACATTGGTCTATCTTAGCAGGAAGTCCTAAAACTATAACCTATTTTCTTTTTTAGTTATTATATGTAGTACTGGCATAAACTAATAAAACGTACCGTCATTAGAGAGGTTAGTCAAAATGTATTCACTTCGAAGCGATTCCATAACGAACTTTAAAATGTATGGAACTGAGGCGCGACAATCACGTAACTTATCCAACGTTATTTTCAATGAGAGAGTGAGAAACCTCTATAAGCGAGAGCATTAGTCCCAACGAATAACCTCAACAAGCGAGAAACTTTTGTTAGAGAGAAATCTTTCTCGCTTATTTACGACTGTATAAATTTTATGGTAGGACTCGAATAAGTTCTTATTCTACGGCGTGAGGGACGAGTCCTCGGCGCCGGAGGAGCAGCGCGTGCACCTGACCATGGACCCTGGGGATACTGTCTTCTTCCATCCCCTGCTCATACACGGCTCAGGACCAAATGTGTCCAAGGTAAACTCGAACGTTGGTTTATCTTAACTAGTTTAATAAAAAAATTGTCATGGAGTCATACAATTTCCTTTAATAATTAATATTCTATAATCATGTTAATTCTTCTAATCGTCTATTTCCACAAAATAGTCAGTCGATCGACTCTACGAAAGTCTCGGTCGCGTTTGTTCCGTATAATCTCTGGAACGAGTTGACAGATTTTGAAGGGACTTTGACTAGAAAGTAGCTGATGAATATGGGCATATTATAAGCTATTTTTTAGGGTTCCGTATTTCGAAAAAAAAAGAACCATTACTTTGTTATCCGTCTGTCAATACCTTTTTTCAATTATACGCTGATGAATGCCAGTTTATTATATATTTGTGATGTCAGAGATCTCGCAAAGCGATCACATGTCACTACGCGAGTGGAGAGTGTGAGTACGTGGCGGTGGAGGGCACGGTGCAGGAAACTGTCGCCAAGGAAATTGAATCCCTCGCTAAAGTGAAAAAGAATTTAGATCTTAACTTTGTGGTAAGTGATAATAGGAATAGTATTTTCCTTTGTCTCTCTCGTTGATTAGTCCACGTGTGGATGACGTGTGGTCACCACGACCTTGTTGTATTCGTTTTTTGTATAGTAAAATTTTCACTCATAACTGGATGGATGGATGTTTGTTAGAAGTCCAGCAACAGCTGCTTAAATCTCGCTGTAATGCATACATGTAAAACATAGGCTGGAAGAACACATAGACTACTTATTTTTTTAAACCCGTCCGGACAGAGTCGCAGGCGACAGCTAGTTATTTGTAATAATGAATAGAAATTTTGTTTCAAAGAATGTTAAGCGAATTCGATACTGTTTTTAAATTTCTTGTTTGTATTTTTTTGTAAACATTTCTTTCAGGACACTTGGCGCTACAAAAACAAATTGGTTAGAGGTACAAAATCTAATCTTTAATACCCCTTATATATTATTTACATCTGGACCAGGTTTAGGGTATATACAACATAAAATATATAATAAATATTATCCAATGGTCAGGGAATCTACAAAAAACATGATATTTTAATAAATGAGTCACTAAAACTTATGTAAAATAGTTATTTTTAGACTTCCTTATCTTGAAAGGTAAAAACGGAATCCTAATATGATCACTTTGTTGTCCGTCTGTCAGTCAAAACACTTTTTTTGTTTAAATAAAATTTACATGATTGTATATAATTGTTTTATTTATTCCCTTAGGTACAATCGCATATTATTATGTTATTCTAAAACGAATTTATATTACATACATTAAAAGGTACAAAAATATACATATATAAAAAAATCTTAACAAATCATCATATCGTGGGCAATTCGCAACAAAAAAAAATTTAAAATAAGCTAAACATTATAAACATTTTTTATAAATTTTCTCACAAATCAAGGTCGTCTTTACAAAGGATGAATTTAAAAAAGTAATTGCTTAAAAAAATTTGAATATTTTACGTCAATAAAAATGTACGCGTCAATGAACTCCATTAGTCAAAAGTCGATAGAAAATTATGTACAGATTTTATCAAGAATGTTTTCGTAAATATTTTTGAACTCCAAGATTCTTAATAAAAATAAAAAATAAGCAAAGAACTTTTATAAATGAGTCATCAGTTCCAGACTACCTCTATAAGCGAGAAACTCGAGTTAGAGAGAAACTCGGGGTCTCTTGGACTCTCGCTCTCGCCCGGATGTAGACTCTCGCTGATAGAGGTTTCTCGCTTAACTTATCAAGATTTCGACTCCATTTAAATATTATTATCTATCATATATTAATTTAAATTTGTTATCTTTATAGTAGTTATTCTAACATTATATTGAATTTATTTTGTACGTAAAAATACTTAAATTAAAAAATAGAGTTTCCTATTGTTCAGTTTTTATATAATTTTTAATTAGTATTATTAAAGTGCCGTTTATAAATAAATTTTTAAATGTAAAATTAAACTTAATACACCCTTAATTATATTAAAATAAAATATTCTTAAAATTATTAAGTGTTCAAAAAAAAACTACGTAACTTATAAATATTTTACACAGTTTTAATTCACTAAAAAAAAAGATTAGTATATTCAAAAATCGTCTATCTTTAAATTACAGATTTTAATACAAAATCTAAATCTCTTACTACGAAATCGATTAGAAACATATACAGTCGGACCAGGATAAGCGAGAGTCCAAGAGAACGCGATATATTTCTCGCTTATAGAGGTTTCTCTCTAACCCGAGTTTCTCGCTTATGGAAGTATTTCGCTTATCCAGATGCAACTGTATCTTTAATATTACAAAACCTCAGAACCCAGCTAACATCCATTTAACTTTCTCATTAAAAAAATCGGATACAACGACTGTATATGCCGATTTTATAATTTAAATATAGTATAAAGTCAAGTGCGCACGTAAAATGAAAAAGCAAAGCTTATTGTGACAAGGGACTAGATATTATTTGGATTAATAATAATGTATTACATAATTATACTACATTTTAAATATAATTTACATAGATATGTAATCTATAGACACGCTATCAGAGACAAAAGTGGCCAAAAACTGCCTTCAAAGGACATTTCTTGAGGTAACTTCCTCTATTGGTGAGATCAAAATCTCTGTCCTAAGGCCTAATTTTAGTCCTCTTTCCCTTTCCATCCTTTTTTCTTATAATCAAAGGATGGGAAGTGGATTTTCCAGATGAGAGGATGCATGGAAAGGGAAAATATTTTATTTCTGTGCATACTCTCCGCCGTCGATTAAAGGTAGGCAACGCATATGCAATTGCGTATGTCTATGGGCAACGGTCACTTCGCTATTTCAGCGATTTCAGGTGTCCGCTCGCTCGTTTGCTACCTTGATATAAAGAAATAACAGAGATATCAATATGTTTTAACGATTTTGGTCTCAGAAATCTACGGTTAATGCTCTCATTCATCCGATTAGTTTGACAACTCCATCTATAGATTACCTATCTACTATGGTATTTTAGTATAAAATATTTTAACACTAATAGTCCAACCACGATAATTGTAATTAATTAAAAACAATAGAAATTAAAAGTTTGCACATGACAACACTGACCCCAAAAACAAAAAATCAAACTTTCTGTCCTTACGTGTTTTATAAATTATTTCATAGTTTACAACGGTTTTTGACGTGTCAAATATGTCTTGTCTGTCTGTTTGTCTTTAATTAGACGTCTTTTAGTGCAATTTGTAAATATCGTGGATGGATTATATTAAACAAAAGTAATATAATACAAAAATCTCACACAATAAATATAATCTTAAATTAACATATACTTATAGCGTGGGGTTACTTTTTCTTGTTTAAAATTCTGAAACAAAAAGAAACAGTTATAAATTATTGTAATTAAAAATACGTAAATACATAGAAAATGCCAACACCAAAGAATATCCGTAGAGGTGAACAACGACATCTATTGATGTAAAAAGTAAACAGTACTTTAACAGATAACATTATTTTTGAAAAAAAAAAACTTGGTTACTAATGAAAATTATCTTAAACAAAGTTGTTTTATTTTCTTTTACAATCTTGATTACAAAAGAAGAATTCTGTCTCATTACAAAGATAAAAATGTAAATAAATTTGCGACGATTTGTATTGAACAGAAATATAAATTGTTAAAAACAATTAGTATGAAACGGAATACACAATGTTAACACAGACATATAACAGGCGAAGATACAAGGAAGAGGGGATCCTTTGGAAAGTTTTATCGCATTTGGGGGGTTTTAGGAAGTCGATTTACTCAAGGAAACAAGAGTAGTATGTACTAGTCGAGCATAAATTTGTAGGAACTAATTATTTACTCCCCTGTCCTTGTATCCGCCATTGAACCACAAACCCAAATAAAAATAATAATTACCTGAAAAACAGCATTTCATACTCAAATATGTAAGCAAAAAAATAAAAGCCAATATATTATATTTGATTTATTTCGCACGTTGTAATAAAAATGGATTAATAAAAACGCTAATTTCTAAACTACGAAATTACAGCGCCATCTGTTATTATTTACTTGTAACTACTAGTTTTAAAATTACAGCGCCATCTGTTATTGTTTACTTGTAACTACTTGTTTTTGGCAACTCAATAACAGATGTCGGTATATGTGTGTTTCTACTGCAATGACACATATTGCCATCTCGTTCATTGTCTTTGAGAAAACAGAGACATCAATATGAGTCAATACAAGTGCCACAGATAAGTACTAAAGCATCTCTACAAGCTTTTACATTTCGCAACTACCAAAATATATTTACCAAAAAGACATTGTAAAAAAAACGTAAACACGCATTTATATTACCAATATATTGATTTTGATCGTCATAATTATATTTATTATAAATATTTACAATATTACTTAAAAACCAATCTAATTTATTACACCCTTATTTTGTTAAAAAAAAACCTACGAAATCTACTAATTCTTAGTATTAATAGAGCTATGTTAATATTTGGTTATTTTTTACTTCGACTACATTATTTAATATTTAAATTTTTGTACAATTGTTAGGTAAAAGTTCACACATTTTGTGACGTTATATTTGTATACCTTATATAAAACAAACCCTTTTATTTAACCAATAATTTTTAATGCCTTGATATTTAATTCAGAAACAGAATCTTCGAAAAAAAACATACTGTTTATCTTACATACTAAATCCTATTTACTCCCGTATCCAAGAAATCTACGAATTCTTAATTAAAATTTCTATATACAAATATTACGATTACAAGGATCGTTAGATTATAAACTATCGTAAACATGAACCTTTTGTGTTTACTAAGTATGTCAGATACATATTTTTGCAAAATTCTAACAAATATAGTCCGACAAACTTTTTGACCCGGTGGCCAAAGGTGACATGAAATAGTTCATTATCGAATTCTGTTAATTTCTAAATAGTGTCATAAAATCCTTGTCATACTTCTTTTGTTGTCTTGTCTTGTGTGATATTTAATTCCTAAGTAGGTTTAACATATGTTGTGTCACAAAACTAGCAACGGTAGTAGGGCCTCTCTCACCGAGCCAAGTAAGTTTACCGGACTATATCCGGACGGTATCTAGTCATGTCTAGGCACATACACTCGTATAATCTCACCTTCGTGTTTGCGCTGCGAGGGCATGAAGTAGAAGTCTGGCTGTGGGCCCGGCTGTGCCCCCGCGGGGTCTGCACGAGGTCCCCGCGGACCTCGCGGTAACGAGTACGCTGACCTCTCCCTCTCGCGACCACCGTATGAACTGAGGACAAGGTGATACATTGCTTTTAACCACTGACCTCTATAAATGGTTAGGATATACAATGCTTCTTTCCTTCAACGCGCCTGTCGGTGTTTCGCGGTAGGTAAATCTATCTATATTATTAATTCGAATCTCAAATCTCGAAAATCAAATAGGCACAAAATACGATGTCTCATAGCCACTCCATTTATAAAGGTAATACTTTAAATTTGTGGTAAGTAAACCCTTAGAAAAATAGATTCAAAAATATTAATAAAATTATACTATGCCTTTCTCTTTTTATAAAACGATATCTGTTTTTTTATTTTTTCAATTTGTTTTAAATTTTGTTTGTTATTTAAAATAACAAAATGATATTTCTCGACCGTGACAGGACTCGAACCTGCAATCTTCGGATCCGAAGTCCGACGCCTTATCCATTAGGCCACACGGTCTTGTCATATTTCATACAAATTACGTAACTGTACGCGACGTGACATCAGCTTTAGTAAATATTGATTTTGTTACGAAATAGGTCAAATAGTAAATTTCATTCACAACACGACGCGAGAGAAACAATAGAACACAAATTGACATGTTTAGTTAGACGTACACTGCTAAAAAAACCTATAAAAACTTATATATAAAATTCTCGTGTCACAATTTTCGTTCCCATACTCCTCTGAAACGGCTTGACCGATTTTCATGAAATTTTGTGAGCATATTGAGTAGGTCTGAGAATCAGCCATCATCTATTTTATAATCCCGCGCGGACGGAGTCGCGGGCGTAAGCTAGTATTTATGTAAGTTTTTCATATAAAATGCGTGTTGAAATATGTATTTAAATTTAAAATATCATGTTACTAACATCCCAACTGAGGGTTTCAGAGCCTTCGCAAGTTAAAAACATTTTCCATGTTGAAATTAACAGATGTTTGCAGATAATCTTACTAATATTATAAATGCGAATGTTTAGATGCATGTTTGTTTGAATATCTCCAGAACGGTTTAACGGATCTTGCTTAAATTTGACATAGATGTAGAATGTAGTCTGGAAGAATTTAAGTCCGCGCGGACGGAGTCGCAGGCGACAGCTGGTATTTAAAAAAAAGACATGAAAATGTGTTTTATGATGAAAGATTTTCATTTTTTTCCTCTAAAGAGTCGTTATAGTAAAGCGGCGACTCACCCGTACTGTCCGCGAGGTCGTTGCAGCGACCTCGTGTCGTGGTAGTACTGCGCGCTGTGAGTGCGCCCATTGCTCGCCGGACTCCTCGCACCTTCCCTTCTGTGCATGTTGATCTGAGCACTGCTGTGACCGTTGCCCTGACCGTGTCCGGTCTGTCCGTGTCCGGTCTGATTGTGTCCGGTCTGTCCATGTCCGGTCTGATTGTGTCCGGTGTGAGCGTGTCCGTTGTTCTGTGTGTGCGCGCTGCCAGGTCTGGGAGGTGGAGGGCTGGTGGGTCTGGGAGGTGAGCGTGTCTTCACAGTGGAGGTGTTGGTGTTAAACTTGTCGTTGTCGAAAGGTTCGAAGGCGTAGTTGGTGTTGGCAGCTGAGTAATCTTTCCAAGCGTTGTTTGGTATCAGTTGGTCCTGGAGAAGAGAGATATTTGTGAATGTTATATGTTAGTTAAGTTTCATTGCTTTAATACGTGTATTAAAACTTTTTGAAAGGGATTCCAGGTTTTGTCTGATGATTGTGTGTGCTGGAATACTAATTTTAGTCGCCTTTCCTTCTCACCCTTTTCTTATAAAGAAAGGATTGACAGGGGAAATATATTTGACGGAAAAGAGACACACAGAAAGGGGAAATATTATTTTTTTATGCCGTCCCGCTTCCGCCGATTAAAATTAGACACGTCCGCAATTGGAGATGTCTCGGTGTTATGATCGCTTCGCTATTTTGGCGAATTCAGGTGGTTAACACAAAAAGAATCATATTATTGTCTGTAATGACTCTGTGTGTGTGTGTGTGTGCGTGTTACCTTGTTCCGCTTGTGGTTAGCGGCGGCGAGTGTGCAGGCAGCCTGCAGCAGCGCCAGCAGCAGCAGCGCGGCGACGCAGCCCGCCACCACGTACACCCGCCCCGCACCCCCCACCACACTCGCCCCCCACCACGCACCCCGCACCTCCTCCTCTTCCACAGGACGGGTAGATACCACTGGACAACAAGACAACATGAAAATATATTGAAGTTTTTTTTTAATTCACTCCAAAGTTTTTAAATATTTTTAAATAAAAATTCGTATCTTACATCTTCGATAAACAAAAATCAAATAAACTCGATTTCGCATCAAGTTTTTCACGTAAAAAATTTATAAAGCAAGGTTTTCGTGTAGTAATACAAAGACACTCACAACTGAGAGGTTCAAACGACAAGAAGAGCGGATCAAAGTTAAGGTTTCCGATCCTGCCCTGCAGTATGGTGTCCTGCACCACGCGCTGCCACTTCTCCGTATCGCTCTCCTTGTCGCTCGTATTGCCCGCGACAGAGACAGCGCTATCCACACCGCGAGCCCCCTCCAACCAGTTGGAGTCGATAGTTCGCAGAGTTATATCCGCTATTATAGCTGATGTTTCGTTCCTAAATGTACATACAAACATGTCATTAAATATTTTTTATTACTAAATAAACTAGCTATCGCCCGCGACTTCGTCCGCGTGAAAGTAAAAATATTTTATAAATAGCTTATGTATTCTTCCAGACTATGTTCTACACCTTTCAACGAGATCCATTCAGCTATTCTGGCGATAACTTATAACTTACATACATACATACATGTTTATAATATTAGTAAGATGTTTGGATGGATGGATGTTTGTTGATATAAAATGCAATGGATATAGAACACAGTCTGTAAGAACACATAGGCTACTAAGTTAATTTTTGTCACCAAAATTTCTGTATAAAACATATCGTCATCCCTGTCATTATCTTTGACAAAACAGAGATAACAATATATTTTAAAAGTGAAGAATACTAGTCTCAGAAACTCACTGTTATTAGTTTTTTTTTTAATTCCGTTGAAACAAAGTCACGGGCTCGTGTATACAATAACGTACTGCATGAATCCATTAAGAATAAGCGTCTTGTATCCCTTGGTGGTGCTGAGCTCTCTGCTGAGCGTGTCCAGCACCTGCTGGCTGAGCTGGTCGTACTCAGTGCTGGCGGGTGCGGGCGGACGGAAGCTGTCAGCCAGCCCGGTGATGCGCAGCAACATGGAGTACGAGGTCTCTCCAGGTACAACCGCCTCTGTTGTTATCTCTTCCTCCTCCGGTTCTGAGATAACATTTTATCACATGACAATGGGTTTTTACCAGACTTCAAAAAGAAGGATCATCAATACATGGCATCGATTCGTCCGTATCTTATATCTTTAAATGAGCAATTCTTGTATATATATATATATACAATTGGAATCTCGGAATCGGCTCCAACGATTTTCATAAAATTTAGTATATAGGGGGTTTCGGGGGCGATAAATCGATCCAGCTAGGAATCATTTTTAGAAAATGTCATTTTATTCGTGTTTTATCGATAATCAACTAAAACATAAACTTAACTTTTTTCTGTCGGTAAGATCGAAAAATATTATTCATATTTCATCATTTTATTAGTAATTCGTACTTAAATATAATTTACAAAAAACTCAATTAAAAAAAAACCGGTCATCCAGGTACTTCTTTTTTATCTGTGTTACCGCGTAACTCCGCCCTTGTTCTTGCAGGTGTGTTCCAATTGTTTTTTTAATTCTCAAAATGATTGGAAGTTTAGTAGATTTTGTGTTCACTAACCTCTATAAATGGAGTGGCTATAGACGTAATATTTTGTGCGGTGTTGATTTACGCTACTTTGGAGCTGGTATGGATTTGAACTAATAATATAGAGAAACTGTCACGTAACATTAACAGGCGCGTTTAAACTGCCTATCCAATTATAGAGGTCAGTAGATTTATTCGGTTAAGGTGTTGGGTTTGATTTTATTTTAATTTTAGAGGGGGCAAGAGCATATTGTGTTGGTAGATAACAAAGATTTTAAGAATTAAGTTTGCAAATATCATTAGACAAAAGTTAAGTTAAAACTCTGGTCTTATCATCTTTTATTAAAGAAAAAAAAATCTATTTCTGTGCTTAAAGGTCTAATATCTCTTTCGTTGATTAAAGGTAGACAATGTATTTACAATTAAGGTGGTTGTTTGTTCGTTTGCTATGTTATAATAAAAAATAAACGTGGTATATAGTTACCAGGTCCGCAAGGTCTGATGCAGACTCTCTCGTCAGTGACGTGGGGGACGCGCTGGTGCTTGCTCATGCGCTTGTTGACCGGGTCGAACCCTCCGCCTTGTGTCGGGAACATCAGGTACAGGCACTGAGAGTCTGTGAACGCTAGATCCTGCACACGAAGAGAACAACATGTTACCAAGTCCAAGATAATCCTTCTTCAACAAAATGATAAACACAGTTCGAAAGAAAGTTAATAAATATGTAAAAATTGCTTTTTTATATTTGTGTTTATTTATTTTAAACAGAGTTATTTAGGCATAGGAAAATATGAAGTTTTGGCATTGACAGGAGGGCGCTAGTGAGCTATGATAATTGAGTTTGACTTATACTCACTGAGCCGGGTCAGATTTCGCCCAATACAACTTTTTTTTTACTTTGTAAGCACGAGAATCACTTATACAAATGGATAGGCCATTCCTTGACAATTATAGCTTTTGCATCGTTCTTAAACATTAGTTTTACACACTATCATTAGTTCGAATCCTCATCACCGCTACTAACCACAACCGTCAGCGCTAAAATGGAAAAGATGAAATAGTCACAAGATATCACGGCTTATAGCCTGTCCATGAAGGTCAGTGGTGTGTCTCCAGTCGTATACCTGTGTGTCTCCAGTGTCACGTTTCCTGGTGAAGGTGAGGGTGAGGAGTCCGTCATGCAGCGCGGCGGCGGCGGCGGTGGCGGAGTGCGCGACGTCCTGGCGCGAGTCGAGGCGCGGCATCGAGTACCCGCTCAGCCACGCGTCCGACAAGAACGGTCTGCCGGAGCGCGGGTCCACCCACCCCAACACCGCGTCCGTCTGAGACTGCACACGGACACTCAGCTTTACTTTACCTTTTATTTACTTCATTGGACTCATAGACATCGCCAGGGATGGGGATCGCCAACATTAATCCTATGTTGTTACGTGAAGGAAAATATCGTCTGAGAAGAAATTCAAAGATATATATGTGAAGTCAACCCGCACTGGGTCAGCATCGTTGACTATGGCCTAGTCACCTCTAACTTAGGGTAGGCTCCTTGGGGTAGGCGAGCCCCTCGGTGGGGACGTATAGTGAGCTGATGATGAAGTCTACTTACCATTTTTTGGTTATTACTAAATCCAATTCCAGTCCACAGTTTGCTGTATTTAGTGGTGATGGTGAACTTGATGGAGTCCTTCCCTCGCTTGAGGCCGAGGTACTCCCAGGAGGCGTGGTACTCGCACGTCTTGTTCTTGGGGTCGCAGTCTGCTGGCAACTTCCACTGACCTCCACATTTGTCTTCTAGAGGGAGAAGACCTCCCATTGATGATGACTTTGTCTCCTCTGGAATTTTAAACGTGGATTTTGGTTTTAGAAATCCATATCTTCAGAACGTCTGTATGGATCTCCCTGAAATTTGGCATACACATTGAACATAGGCAGTGAGAACACAGGCTACTAATTACTTTTTTTTATTTCCTCCCGGAACTAGTCGTGAAGAACAACTTAATAAGTCTGAAATTGTCTCCCGTTCACACATCTGCATTTTAAATATGAACAAGCACATATCCATGATTTGTTGTAAAAACCAGTAGGTAAAGTGGAAGTGCTGTCTGTTGTAACGTGTGGAGGCACTGACCGAAGAAGTTGATGTTGGTGACACCGCGCTGCGCGTGTCCGTGGTACTTGATCTCGTCAGGCCGGTAGAAGTCTCCCTGCGCGGAGTTCTCCTGCCCGTGAGCCCAGATCACGTGCATCTCGTCGTCTACTATTGAATGGTCTGTCGGCTCCTTCGCCTGGGACAATGGCATTTAAAACTTACGAGAAAGAGATCAATATTCCATTGATCTCTTTCTCGTAAGTTTTTAAAAATCAAATATTTTGATACAGTGTCCATCATTTTGTAGAAGAATTTCGGGATAGAAAAAAGAGAATTTACTTTAAAGTGCCTTTAAGTTAAAAAATCGTACAAGAAGCGACATTGGTGTTTCGAGACCGCGCCAAATGAAGGTCCTTAGTCTCTGCCTACTCCTCTAAGTCAGGGACGTGAGTTACGTCGTTGTTACAACCTTATAAATAGTCTGATAATAACTAAAGGATATTTAGAGGATTATAGTTAACATTTCGTACCTTAATTTTCCTCCTGAACATGATTGTGGTGACGCCATTCTCTTCAAAGCCGGACGCCGCTGTGACGTCATCATGCCCGCCCCAGAACGTATCCACACGCGGAGTCGACCTAAGTAGGTGATTAGTTACAGTTTAATAAACATAACGATCTTTTTGCTCAGTTAGATACACATCGATAGTGTCTTGTTTTTTATTCCCTTGGTCAAAAGTTTATCATAGTTTTCCACTAGATGGCGCTATTCTTATTTTGAAAAAAATTCTGGCCAGATATAAATTTCTTAAATAAGTCTAGTAAACAATTCTTAGTAAATATGTAAAGTTTAAATTTAATCTTTTTTTTATAAAATTATCAGAAGAACAATATTAAATTTATCAGAATAGTCAAGAGACATTGTAAAATCTTACCTATCTCTTGTATAATAGTCTAATACTCTATGATAGCTCCCTCTAGCGGTGCCAATGACTAGATCTGTGCAGTCCATTCCGTTGAAATCAAACTTGGGAGCGTATTCGTGATCTGGGAAATATCCTGAAAAGATTGCTCGTATGGTTACACTATGTACCTATGTCCGAGTATGTTTAAAGTTATTAAACAGTTTAGTATGTTATGTACAAGAAAAGGTCGTATAGCCGTACTCATAAACTTTAAATGCCACTTAGGGATACCCTTAATGTAGGTTTCCTATGAGATACATTAAGAAACTGCTAAGTGACTTAAGTCTCTGAATGCGGCATTTAGTGCTATTTAAGAGAGAAGATGACAAATGTTTTTCTCGATTTTTACCAATTGTATTAAAAAAAAGAATTAAGATGGTTTTGCATAAATAAATGAAAAGAAATGAATAAAATAATAAAAAAAATATTAATTTCATAAAACAAAAAACTCGACTAATTGAGGCTTTAATTGGTGAAGTAACGCCATCTGTTGTCAGAGTTTTAAGACAATCAACAAACAGTTCAACATCCAAAAATAATGTCATAATTCTTTACAATAACTGCTTATTTAAATACTATTTGGAGCATATTTATATCTAGTAATGAGAAAATATTTTTTTACTTTTCCCGCGCAATTCTCATCTGACATGACATTTTTTTATAATTAAATGTACACCATTCTTAGTGGCCATTACGAAATGTTTTATACGAATTTAGAAAAAAAATCATTAGTAAAATCGCGTAATTATTTTCCTTCTAAAACTTAATTTATTTTAAAATGTAAATATTTACAAAACAAAATTATTTACAATAATATAAAATGTACAGTTTGAAGGTTATTAGTTGAAACGAAAAGAAAATTACGAAAGACAAGATTGAAAAAATTAAAAAAGTATTAAAAAGGATAGAGATGGAGAATAGGAAAGAAGGAAACAGAAGACAGCCGGTACCTGAAAGTGCGGAAACAAGCACAATAAAAGCAAAAGCTAATAGAAAATCACCATTTTTTATACGCTTTTGTGAATTAAGTACAAAATAAAGATAAAGCTTGCATAAATAGAAAGAGTTGTAGAATATTTAAGGTTATTTTTTAGGGTTCCGTACCTCGAAAGAAAAAACGGAACCGTATAGGATCACTTTGTTGTCCGTCCGTCTGTCTGTCATGACCCTTATTCAATAATGTTAATATACTTAAATAATTATATACACATAAACATACATTTTATAAAAAAAGAATCGTAATTTATAATTTATAATAATTATTATATTGCTTTATTTAGCACTATTTTGTTTTTAATTTAAAATAGTTAAAGTGAAATTCAAATTTCTTAAATTATATTTATTTTTATTAATATTTTAAGGTTAAAGATCAAAAGTAAATAACTTCTAATAAAAATAAATAAATAAAACTTAACATTTATAAATATATTATGTTAAATAAGCATAAAGTATACATAATATGAATATATACAGATATAACGCAAAGCGGGTACGATACCTGATTCATCTGACAGTCCTTTAACTAGTAAATTCTCCATCTCCTCCTCCGATTCCGGTTCCGGATTTGGTTCCGGTTCCAAACTCGGTTCCGGAGTGGGTTCCGGTTCGGAACTCGGTTCAGGGGTGGGTTCAGGTTCGGATGTGGGTTCAGGGGAGGGCTTAGGCTCAGGTTTAGGTTCCGAGGATGGTTCTGGTTCGGATTTAGGCTCAGATGAGGGTTCTGGCTCCGATTTGGGTTCTGATTTTGGTTCCGGTTCTGATTTTGGTTCGGAGGTGGGTACGGGCTCTGAATGAGGTTTGGGTTCTGAAGTCGGTTCTGGCTCGGATTTTGGTTCCGGCGTGGGTTCTGGTTCTGATTTTGGTTCAGGAGAAGGTTCTGGTTCGGATTTGGGTTCAGGGGTAGGTTCAGGTGTTGATTTAGGACCTGCTTTGGGTTCACGATTATTTTTTGTTTGATTACGCGTCGCCGATATCGATTGTGGTTCAGACTTAGGCTCGGGAGAAGGTTCTGGTTCGGACTTTGGTTCGGGTGTCGGTTCTGGTTCCGATTTAGGTTCAGGGGTCGGTTCCGGTTCCGATTTCGGTTCGGGAATCGGTTCCGGTTCGGATTTGGGTTCAGGAGTTGGTTCGGGTTCAGATTTAGGTTCAGGAATTGGTTGGGGTTCTGATTTAGATTTTGGAGTCGGTTGCGGTTTCGATTTAGGTTCGGGTGTAGGTTCAAGTTGTGATTGAGGTTTTGCCGATTCGGTTTTAACATTTATCTGCGCTAATTGTTTAGATTTCGGTACGAATTTAGACTTGGGCTTGGGTTTAGGAGTAGATTGCGGTTCTAACTTGGGTTCTACTGTTGTTTCCGGTACGGAATCCGGCTCTGCGGCTGGTTCCGGTACCGGAGTCGAAATGGGTACGGGATTGGAATCGTTTTGTCTTTTTGTCGGTTCGGTATCTGTAAAAACAATGCAACCATGCGGAATTATATTTACAAATAGTAAATTCGAGCGACGTTAGCGTACAGAACACATTTGTGTGTGTTTGTGTGCGTCCGTGTCTGTGTTGCGCGTGTGTTAGCTCTGTGTTGGTATTATTTTGTGCTTCTTGTGCATTTATTGTTATAGTTACTCACTGGTTACATCTTGAGCAGCTCTCGGTTTTCTTCCTGCAATTAAATTATATATACATAAATATCTATTTAAAATAATAAGCAAAATTAAGTATCATCATTAGCTCATACATATCCACTGAGGGGCTCGATGTCTGCCCAAGGTTGACGACTTCCTTCACCATTACGCTTTTCCTTCACAATTACATATGCATGATAAAATGAGTGACCTAATCTTGATTTAAAAAACAAAATAAGTGTTTGAATTTACGATTAAACATTACCTTTTGAGCTGGACACTTGGTATGACACACTAGTTGTGACTGTCACATTTTCTCCCAAATCCTTTATATCCATTCCATCTAAGAAAAGCATTGCGACCCGTTTATTTCTGTTATCATTCTCTACACTCGGTTCCGGTTCCGGTTTGCTGCTAGGTTCTGGTTTCGGTTCAGATGTCGGCTCCGGCTTAGGTTCCGCACTAGGCTCAGGTTCGGACTTCGGTTCTGCACTTGGTTCAGGTTCGGATTTCGGTTCCGGACTTGGTTGAGGTTCGGATTTCGGTTCCGGTCTTGGTTCAGGTTCGGACTTAGGTTCGGGACTGGGTTCAGGTTCCGCCTTAGGTTCTGCACTCGATCCAGGTTCAGACTTCGGTTCAGGTTCAGGCAACGGTTCCGGTTTTTGTGTGCTTGCTGGAAATATTAAAAATAATAGTGTAGTAACTTTATAAGTTAGTTGATTTAAGTATATAGTAAATTATATCTGTAATTAAAAGTGCCCCCCTCTTAGTGTATAAAATATTAGGTAATTCTTACTAGTTTGATCTGGAGGTGGTCCTAAAACTGGGAAGTTCTTGCATTGCTTTGTCAAACCACGCGGCCTCCATCCAATGCCTGCGGACAAAATTACAACAAAATAACTCACGCCAGTAACACAGAGGGGTAGACAGAGACCACATAATCCTAACACACCTCTCGCTGCTACATTCATACATCTAAGTATGTCATACACCTTAGTTTCTGGTGCTCGTGTTACAACCCTAATATGAATTTAGACATTTTATAATCTGTCTAGGAATTATTTTGGTACTGTCGCGCAAGAATCCGTCCAAACGGTTTTAAAAAAAAAATAGTAGAATCTATGTTCTAGACTATGTTCTACATCCCAAATTTCAGCGAGGTCCATGAAGCTGTGCAGATACTTTCTAACAAACCATCCATCCAAACATTCGCATTTATAATATTAGTAAGATATAAACCTGCATATGAAGTGCCATTTACGATCATAACGAACTCAACCTCTTTGGATTCTTTGAGTATGCGCCAATAGAGGGAAAACTTCTTGGATAGTTCCTTTTTAGTGTAAAGAGCCAAGTCTACAGCCTTGTCTTTCCATGGTGACTCTGAGAACAAAGGTATACTGTTAAATGTATTATACATTTTAGTACAAGAGAAAAAACTTTACTATAACTATTAAAATAAGGAAATTCATAATGTAAAAAAAAACTAATTTACCACACTTGTTTGTGTAGATTTCATTCTTCTTAAAAGTTTTTGTATAGGTATTTCGGAAAACTTTGTTATGTATCGCTATCCCCTTCTTATCCCCCTCATAAGAAAAGGTTGGGAGGACACTTACTCTTGTTGCATCCTTTGCCGTAGAAGCCATGTGGGCAGTAGCACAGCTTGGTGGGGGGCTCTACAGAGCCGACATCGAGGCACTTCCCGCGCAGTCCGCACTCGCCGTCCTCCGCGCACTCGTCCGCGAACTGACAGCGCGGCCCGTAGTGCGCTTTGTGACATTTGCAGCGACCGAGAATATGGAAACCGTGACCCGAACATGTCTCGTGGAATTTCTTGCCTGGAACATGGAATACAATTCCACTTTGATACACTACCTGTTGCCTGCAATTCCGTCTGCTAGGAAACTTAATAAACACATAAGTTTCTTCCAGACTATGTTCTACATCTGTTAGTTTAATTTCATCAAGATTTTTTTTCCGGTCCGTTGAGGCGTTCCGGAGATACCTTGTAACAAACATTCATCCATTTCGCATTTATAATATTAGTAAGTTTAACTCACGGTCAACAATATCAATATCGGCACAGGACCAAAAGCGATACGTGGGCCCCCACTCGCCGGCCTCTCTTTGCAGCTGGAGTGTACAATTCTCACAGGTGAAGTCACTAGGGAGACGAACTTCGTACTTCTGAGCACTAAATACATAAGAAACATTAACCCAAATGCTACACACAGTCACTAAGAAAGTACTTTCAGCAGACAAGATATATTTGCATCTTATCTGCTACGGTCTTTTTGCAGCTGACTGTACTTAGTGTAAATACTTCCAATTGTTTACTAAGAAGACGACTTAATTTCTCTTTGTTCCGCTGTAAGGATAAATGAAAAAGTACAGTCGAACTGAGAACTGGATAAGCGAGAAACCTCTTTAAGCGAGAGTCATTGTCCCGAAGGGTGAACTCCATTAACGAGAAACAGCCTAGAAACCTCTTTAAGCGAGAAAAATATCATGGTCTCTTGGAATCTCGCTTATCCTGGTTCGACTGTATATCGTGTTTTCGTTCGGATTTCTAAATTAGACATCGTGATCTTAAAAATGTACATACTTAACTTCAGTATATTATTTCAAAACAATTAAAAAAACTCACGTGACGTCATCTCTCACAAACTCTGTTCCTCCAGCTCTTGGCGTGAGATCTAACACAGGTCTTTCCAAGTCATCCAGTATTCTCAAACTAAATCCACCCTTGAAAATGAAATAAAAAGATTAAAAACATGTTAAAAAAGTTGCGCCCAACGTGGGGCTCGAACCCACGACCCTGAGATTAAGAGTCTCATGCTCTACCGACTGAGCTAGCCGGGCTTGTGATAGTTGACATGAAATTTAAAAAATGCTTACTTTATGGGCATACGCCAAATGCCAATGAACTGTAAACGTTGAACCTGCTAAAAATGATGTTTTTAATGAACCTGAAAAAAAAAACAAAAACATATCATCTCTCAAACGTATGTCTAAATTTAAAAGGAGTTCATTTATACAAAAAATACCTATTTCAGATAGAATAAAATAAAACTAAAATATAAGCGCCATCTATTGCTTGTAATGTAAATCGTTATTCCTATAAAACTTTTAATAGAAATAACAACACGGAATATACTATTGATGTCGCCTAAAGATAATTTGAAAGAAAGAACATATAAATGGCTGCAGAAAATTTACATAAACAGAGATTTAAAATGCATAAAATGAAATTCTTACGAAAATTACTATGAGAAAAATACAGCAATTTGGCAACAAAACATACTATGATAAATATATACAGTAAATTTTAAATTGTAAAATATAGGATGAAAAATTTTGCTAAAGTGAATTTCCACAAAAAGAAATCGTCGACCGTGACAGGACTCGAACCTGCAATCTTCGGATCCGAAGTCCGACGCCTTATCCATTAGGCCACACGGTCATATGACGTAATGATCGACAATGTAACACTACGTTTAAAAGGAATGCGCGCGCATACATTTTTCAAATATTTATACGAAAGAAAAAAACTTTCTCAGTATTTACAGCATATTACTTTTTATTTAGGTAAGAAGCGAAGTAATATGCACGACTTTTATACATAACTAAAAGCTAACAAAGCTGTTGCCCGCTAATCCGTCCGCGTGGTATAGTCTTAATTAGTAGCCCTATGTGTTCTTCCAGACTATGTTCTACATCTGTGCAAAATTTCAGCGAGATCCATTGAGCCATTCTGGAGATAACTTCTAACAAACATCTATACATCCAAAAATACTCATTTATAATATTAGTAAAACAGTAAGATTCGACTCTACTTTTTAAATGTATTTGAAGAGAAATACGACCAGTCTTTAGGAATCGTAACAAAATGTTTTAATAGTGTAATCATCAGTAAAAAACAGTTTTCTATAACTCATTTGAGTTCATTCTAGCTCTTAATTTGGCAATTTAAAATATATAAAGCGACATTTAAGATAACTGGTTTGTGACTAATGTATCATAACGACATCCCGCGCAGGAAATTGAAAAAAAATAAATTTCCTGCACACAATGTGTTTATTGTGAAACATGATATTTGAAGGCTGAGACTAATGTAACCTATTTAAATTTAAAAAAAATTACAATAATCTACTAAAAAAAATATGTAAATGTTTTAGGGCAATGGAAAGAGAAAAAAAAACGATAAAAAGTTTCGCAGCCGGTAGGATTCGAACCTACGCTCCCAGAGGGAATCTGATTTCGAGTCAGACGCCTTAACCACTCGGCCACGACTGCTTACGCAATCATCTCGAAATAATCGTATATTTACTAGACAGAAATCACAAGAAAAACATACCTTTTGGCATGCCACACGGTGGCTTTGTTCTAGAATTATCTAGAAAGTCTAAATCCAATCTCCTCGCAGGTGGGTATGTTAGGGCAACATGACAATAAGCGTAGCCCAAACATGTCACTAACACCAACACACATAATCGTGACATATTGTTATATATTTTCCTCTTGCGTCACAAACTTTGTCACGTATACGTCCTACTCATATTCACTGGCACATCACTTGTCACTTGTCACGTGTCCATTTTAGTCGCTTACACTCGTCTCTGTAACAAACAAATAAAATATATAAATAAAACGTAACAAAAACAATAAAATTTAAAAAAATTACAAATCTACATAAAATTACTAGCTGTCGACCGCGACTCCCTCCGCGAGGGATTAAAAATATATGTTGGCCGATTCTCAGACCTACTCAATACGCTCACAAAATTTCATGAGAATCGGTCAAGCCGTTTCGGAGGATGGGAACGAAAATTGTGACACGAGCATTTTATATATATAATATATTTACTAACAAAACTAAATAGTATTACAAACAATATTAAATCTATGTAACAAACATAAGGTTCAAAATTCATTAATTGAGTACACATGCATGCGACTATGTCTGCTCGGAATTAAAAAAAAACACTCTTAAACTATATATTTTCTTCCAGGCCATATTCTACATCTGTACCAAATTTCATCGAGATCTGTTAAGCCGTTCTGGAGATATCTTCTAACAAATCCATCCATCCAAACATTCACATTTATCATACTAGTAAGATAAGAAGTCAAATATACATATAAAAAATAATAATGTTGTCAGTCAGTCCGTCACAGTGTCCGCTCTCTATTTTCCACTTTCCCCTTCACAATAGAGCGATGCTCTTAGCGAATTAGCGTTAAATTATGTGTTATTAACCCATTCCACTGTACAACAATATCGAACTTGTAAACGATCACCTTTAGAATGCAGTAACAATTTGACTATTAAAAATAACGTCAAATTGTAAATACTGACTGATTCAGTCTCAGTAGCGGCGTTAGGGGAGACCTATGTGGGCCAACCGCCCAGGGCGCCGGGGGAAACGGTACTTCCGAAACAAAAAAAGGGACGCCTCAAAAATCTCGCCCAGGGCGCCGGTAATACTAAAATCGACCCTGTTCAGTCACCCATCGCATATATCATATTAACCATAAGATTATAGTTCCGTGTACATCGCCTGTCACGCGAGGTGAAAGCGACAGTATCGGACCACATGAGAATGTATAAAGAGGATTGATCAATTGATTTACATGACAATTGCGAAATAACAAGCTTAGTGTTATACAAAAGATATAAACTGTTCAGTTCAGTAATCCTCAAGAAAGGTCCCGCGTCTACCTTAAATTAGGGTAAAATATATAGATTTGGTATCTACAAAAGCTCATAACAGTATTAAGCAGTGATTACGGACGTCTATGTCGCGGTATCGACACATCTCTGACCTCTTCTATATTTATACTACGCAAGCTTATTGGTTTACACTGCTTTTTATCCCACAATCTCATCAATTTGGTCAATATAAGTCTGGCTTTGACAAAATAAGTAACAAATACTGTTATTTTTTGCAGAAATAAGGTGGAGAAAAATGTATGTTTATGTAAAATGTATTATATGCAAGCGTTATATAATACGTTATGTATCTACGCTTAGCTAATATTCACTGAGCTTAACAAAATATTGCTTAATATTATTGTACAGAATACAATGGTGGTCCCATGTCAAAACCCTATTCATTGTTTAATTTAAACCGTGTACAAACATAACGAAGTTGTAATGACTCAAATTCTTTCATATACACGGTACATTTTAAGATGTTTATCAAGATAATAAATGTTTGACCCACCTTAAGAAGTCTTATAGTTTATGAAATTACTAGTCCAATTGTATTACTACAAAAATACATGTGTTTTAAACCTTTGACCGCCGGTTATTGGTATTAGGAACGTCAACGTGGTTATAAAAGTGTATTTTACCCTTAAATATATATCACCGATACTGCGTCTGGTAAAATTAATGTTTGTTTATCGAGATCGCATTTCAGAAGCCTACTCTTAATCATGATTTCTAGAAATGTCTAAATGTCGGTTTCTAAGACACAACAACCCTATATGGAACATATTGTTACTCAGTTTTATTTAAATATTTTGGGCTCATAAACCAATGATAAGTTTCTTATGATTAGACTTACAATGTTTATAATTGTAAGACAAAGTAAAGGTGTTAAATAGTTTAAAAATTGTTTTAATCGAATAACATCCGATATGGTCTAGTGGCTAGGATACCTGGCTCTCACCCAGGAGGCTCGGGTTCGATTCCCGGTATCGGAAAACTTTTTTGTTTGAATTTTTTACTTTTTGTAATTTTTTTTACTTAATCTCTTTATCAGAGCGTATAAAATCAACTTAACTTCATATCATTTTATTTAACAACCTAAACTAGACGAAGTCGCGTGCCCGCTTCTACGGTAAGGTCTAACGGTAACTAACAATGGAACCACATTATATGAATATGTACTTTATCCCATGTTTATTAAGTTCACTTTCAAATGACCATACGATTAAAAATGTAGTCATTAATAATCATGATCTAAGATGACTAGTGAAGTTTTACATAGTGTTAACGAGCCTTAAAAATAATTTATAATACTAATTAAACTAAAATTTAACTATATAGATTTCAAAGGAATATAAGTGTTATCCCGCAATTTTTATGTTCATGACGCCATCTATCGCCAAGTAGTGGAAATTAATCATACGTTTGATATCTTTTAGTCTTTGCGCTACTATTATAATGAACTACAAGTTTGTATGTTCTTCTGTCACATAACTATGTCTACTGTAAACTTAATAATATTTGACATCAATCATTATAATAAATAGGTTTCATATTAAAAGTAATTGAAGGATATTTTGGAATGTTCTAGAAAGAACATCTTAATATTATTATTAATGATATATTTATTTTCTTACTGTCGGTTTCTGAAACAAAAACCTCTATTTAACACATTATTATGTCTGTTTGTCAAAGATTACGATATAATTAGCAGAGATTTTGGTCTCAGGAACCCACAATTAGACTACCTATTAGTAAGATTGCCTTATTTCGCTACAAATTGTTCTCTACTACATTAGAATTGATTTTAAAGACACACAAAAACGAGATACGAGTAAGAATCTACAAATTACAGAATGAATCTGTGCAAAGCGGTCAACAGCTACTTTAATAAATAAGTTAACCATCAGTTTTATGTTGTAATCGTAGGCATTACTAATCTAGACATCCCGTTGCGTGACCTGAACGTAGTCGTGACGGAAGCTTCATGTTGATCTCTTGATAAACTCTATTACAGATTTAACGGTTCAAATTATTTGTTACACTCTGCTTACCCCTGTAACGTATAATTCACAGTATGATAAGTTACTTGGTTGTAGTCATTGTGATGTACTTGGGTTGAATTAAAAACTGTTTTCTTTATAACAATTAAGATCAAATATTTTGTATCTATATATAATAAGATTTGTTTGTTTGTTTGTATTCAATAGACTCCGAAACTGAAACGAATTAAAAAAAATTTTCACTGTTGGGAAACTACACTATCTTCGGGTGACATGGCTATACTTGTTACTAGTTTTTTTAATTCCTCTTTTAATTAAAGTCGATGACAACTGCTAGTTTGTAATATTATAATATTGTTTTATTAAAAATATGATTCGTATTCTGTATAATCATTTAATAAAATCAATATATATATTTCTGGTTTCTTCTCAAGGTTGTTAGTAAAACATCAAATATAAGTTTCGTCATTACCCGGAACTTTTAAAAACAATTATTGAGTTACAAAGTTTACTTTGTTATTGCAAATGTTTGTTATGAAATGCTTTAATAGAAACAAATTTACTGATGTAAGTAGGGTGACCATGAATATAAACAGTACACTAAATTTTTTAATTTATTTTTATACAAATTACAGTGACTCTCTTCCAAAGTTGTCTTTCGTGTTCTTTAAAAATATGTGAAGATATATGTATTAGTACAAATATTGTATGGATGTATGGATGTTTCGTACACTTAATTCCATAACGGCTCTATTAATCTGTACGAATTTAAAACATAGCAATATATTACAGAATGAAATACTTCATAGACTTCAAAACTATAAGTAAATCATGGTCACCCTAACTTTATGAATACTAAAAAGCGGAAAGAAGAGCAATCGAGAGTAAGCGTGTAGATCGATGCCACGGTCCAGTGACCCACGAGACCGTAACAAATGGTCCGCAGACGGGGTCAGCGCTCACTGGTCGATTTGCTTACCAACAGCGAAAGTGTTTAGAGATTTGAAGGTTAAATAAAAAAGTGAAATTGTTCAAATACATCGCATAGTAGGAAACAAAATAGAAAAACATAGCATTTATATTGCAAACTCATATCATCATCATCAACCTGCCCTTATCCCTATCGAGGGTCGGCACAGTATGTACTACTCCTCCATACATCTCTATCAGCCGTCATATCCGAGTCTACCCCCTTCTTACGCATATCCTCTTTCACACAGTCATTCCATACTTTTTTTGGTCTTCCTCTACCCTTGTAGCCATCCACATTCAATCTCATTACTTTTTTGCTTATATCATCATCATCCCTCCTCATAACATGTCCAAACCACGTTAATCTTTTACTCCTCAATTTCGCGATCACTGGCGCTACGATTCTACGACGCTAAGTTTCTTCTTCTAAATAAGGTTCATATTGATATTATAGGTTTTTAAATTGTATATTTTGTTATCTACACTATTTTAAAGAGCAATGTTTATATTTTTGTAAGTTTGTGACGAATAAACTCAAAAACTACTAGACAGATTTCTAAAATAATATGTTTAAAAAATCTACCAGTGCAAAGTCTGGAATCATTACTAGCATGTGGTAAAAAACTGCATATTTTTAACCTAAAATATGTAAATTCAAAGCCAAATAATAATGTATTGAGAAAACGTTTAGTGAGATTATCGTTTATTGTGAAAGTGGCTTAAGTTTATTCCAATTCATGTAAGTCCATTGACAAGTTTGTTACGCGGCTGTCGAGCTATTATCACTTACAGCACGTATTGTATATTCAACAAATAAACTTTCGCTTTAACGTGTAACATGTGTAAATATTGCAAATTAAATATTTAAAACGGTAAAAAAATATTAAAACGAATTTAGTTTATTAAAACAAGCAAATGTATACCAACC